CCTCCGTATCCGTTATGAATGAAATGATCCTTGTTTATATAAATTTCTGCCGTATTAGTTCTTATTTTACTACAAGCTTTCGTCTGTTCCTACAGACATCTTCAGGTATAGAATAGATGTTGTTCTTGTTTTTTCTCTTAGTAATAAGAGGACAATGAAAATATATGTATTGTTGTATCCGAAAATGCTATTGAAAATGAATTGTTTTTGAACGCGTAAAAGCAACGCCCGAGTTTGATTTAAATTTTTTAAAGGTTGTGCGTTCATATAAAATATGGTGATGAACAAATTTTTACTGGTAAATTTTTTCTGTCAAAGTGGCATGAACTATATTGTTCAATAATACAGTAATGTCGCACTTATTATCCAAAAGTTGCACTTGGATCAGTTATTTAAATTACGATAAACGTGCAATCAATTTACAAATACATGAATTATTCACACAAAAACTAATGCAAAGGTTAATGATTTAAATGGCGAGACATCCATATATATATATATATATAATGGCCGATAATTTATTGCAGTTAATAACTCTATTGACAGTATTTAAGGATTACTTACATATATTGTGGGTGGGGAGGGAATATAAGCAAAAATGTCAGATGTAATTATACATTGAGAGGAACACTGAAGATGTAGGGATACTAAACTTTAAATTTTCAATTTTTGTTGTCTGATGGACCTACACATACAACTTAGCCAATTCCATTCAACGTTTCAACACTCGTTTTTTGCTTTTTATCACTGTTGTTTTTAAATATCCCTCATTGTGATTGCAATAGATATGTTAAGAAAGGTTAAATATGATATGAACCTGGATGCAAAGCTACTGCAGAAGACTCAGAAGTTAGTGCACTTTCCATACATTTTTGCTTTAGTAAATTATTTTCTCTTTTAATTAAGACTGCATTCTTTAAGTTGAAAGAAGTATAGTGAATATTACCAGCAATACATTTTTGAAAAAAAAAGAATTATTACCAGCAATATATTTGACTACCGACAAAACCCATCTTTACAAAAGTATATCAATGAAACCTGATCTAAAAAACTGATTTCTTATAAAGAATACATATTCTATTCATACAAACCTATCCTAAAAGTCTTGTCTGCATTAAATAACCCATTGAGGTGTTGATATGCCATAAAACAAACCAAACCAAAACAAACAATTATCTTATGTATACTAGGAGGAACACCATTTACTTACAGCCTATGTTCATTAAAATTAATAACATTGATGACACTAAAGAAACATCTGCAAGAAAACATTTTATATTACAACCCAATAGACTATGTTAAATCTTGTTTTTTATATGTCATATTACTTCAGGATATATGCAATCATCACTCTCCACAACTTCCTATCCTTTAATATCTGTCTATATCTCTGAGATGTGGTATGATGATGATTTACATTATTTACACTATTCAGACTGTTATCCTCATCTTTATTGCCATATTCACAACATTTCAACCATTGTATGCTCCAGCCATCTTCAGGTGATTGGAATTTCAAGCTGAACCCATTATTTCATCCACTGGGGTAGTTTGATCTAGTTCCATCTGCCATACCTCTTCTGGATGTCGCAGTTATTTCTTTTTAACTTAATTCTCCAAGATTTTTGGTTCACCACTGCTGTAGCCTGGTATTGAACTCAAAATTCTAATCACTGGATATAACCACTGAGCTATGTGTCATCTGTGTATGAATTTTTGGGACTTAAAAACCTAATGTCTCAACAACCATTTTTACCAGTGCTCATATTACAATTTTTCTGTTATTATTAAATCATTTTTTTTACCAGAGCTTATATTACAATTTTTTGTTGTTATTCATTGCTTTTCTCTAGCACTCCTTATTACTGGTTCCCATATTGTATTCATTTCTATGCTTGGTCAGCTCAGGAGATTTTTGTGGCCTAGCATATGTGCTGATTCCCTCAGTTTTCATATTTTCCAGTGATGTTGTCTGTTTATTATTTCAAGCTCATCCCACAGGGGACAGTGATCTCTCTTTTCCCTCCATATGTGGTCAGCTATGCCTGATTTTTCTATTTCCTCTCATGTTACCGCATTACAATGTTCTTGCAGTCTTACCTTAAGGGGGTGACGTATTTCTTCTTTATATTTCTTACCTCGGCTGCATGGGATGGCATACACATAATCCTTAGTCATGCTATCCTCTAATAAATGTTTGTCTCCTTACTATCCATCCCAGTCCTTTTTCTAGCATCTATTTATACAAGCATATAAGGTAGGTTATTTGCTGCTTCTCTCTGCCTGTCTTGCATTCAGTATATCCTGTGAGTGTCAAATTCTCCACGCTTTCTTTCCTCATTATGTGTCCTAAAAATTTCAACTCTCTCTGATTCTAAATATAAATTTAGAGGCATATAAATATTCTTTTTGTTTCCATTTTCTTTAAAACTTCTATTGAGCCATCCATGGTATTCTCAGCATCCTTCTGTATCACCACATCTCTATTACCTTAAGTCTCTTCTTCTTCTGTGAGGAAATTGTTCCGCATTCACAACCTTATTGGAGGATAGATATTGCATAGCAGTTCAGAACTCTTTATTTCTAACATTTTCCTGTTTCTTAAGGCTTATGGCCATACCACATTAAAACACCAGTTAAGCAATGTTGAGGCTAATTAGTACCTAGATGGATGACTTCTTGAGAATACCAGATGCTTTGATGTGTGGATGGTGTAATGGATAACTGCTTAGGATTGGAAATCAGAGAGCTAAATAGCAATTCCAGTCAGGCTTGTTATGTTCACTTATGCACAAATACCCTTGGGGAAGGTATGAATCCATCTCTTCTCCTCCCAGCTATGGGTTAATTAGTAGGATTTTTATCAGTTCTTACAATCTAAAAATATTTCCTAATTTTAAATAACCTGCAAAAGGGTTAATAAGCCATAAAAAACAAATCAGTCAATCCTTTTTCTCAATACATTGCTTAGTTCCTGGAAGGCTCTTTCACTTTTCCAATGTACCTTTGGATTTCATTGTCAAATATTGTTATCTGTTAAAACACTTCCAATTTCTGTACTTTGTTGATTTTGACATCTCCAATTTACAGCTTGCATCTTGTACTGTCCCTTTTGCTAGCAACCAGACATTTTATCTTCTTACAATTGATGGTTAATCCTTTCTTCCTGCTTTCCTTTACTACTTTTTTAAAGAGTTCTTACAGTGTTAAATGTTAAGTCAATGAACACTTATTACCATTGTTATTACACAGTAAAAATGCTTTCATTAATTTTGTACACATTTCATATTTGCAGAAAGCAGATGATTTCTCCAATTTCCAAATGAAAAAAATTCTAAAACAAAGCTCCCTCACCACCAAACTTGATTCTGTCCGCAATGAAATGAATAACCAAAACTCTGGGAAAATTGCCAAGGAATTTGGATGTGCGAATTCTAATTCTGTTGTTGTGCAACAGCTGGCATCAGAAGATGATTCACATTTTATTTTTGTTAAGGGTCTCCACAAACGTTCTGCCATAGACGCACTTGAAAAACACAGAAATCTTGAGGAAGATTCCAAAGATTTTGTAAAAGAAGAAACAATGTCATCAAAAAAACCCTTGCAATCTGAGAGGGATCAAATCAAAGAAGAATTAGAACCCATTCTCAAACAGGAGAACTTAGTTTGCGAAATTAAAAAAGAAAAAGATTTGGTAAACAAGGCATCGAAAAGTGAATCTGCAGTCAACACTGATACAGAGTCTATCAGCCGATATGACAGTGCATTTGAAATGAACAAAAGCCTGTTGTTCAGCTGGGCTCAATCTGTTGAATCCCAGGCAAAGTCAGAAGCAACAAGTCCTTTGAAAACTGCAGAAAAACAAAAAAAAACAGCTGTCCAGGCTTCTAAATTATCAGAAGATGAAAGCTCAGAGGATGATTTGGAATTATTCCACTCCAAGAGATTAGAACCACACAATCCACAACAGGAGCATTCTAAGAAGACTCCACAAAATGAAATAAAGGCTGAAATATTAGATGTGAGCAAACAGAAACTGGATTCTAAACTACAAGAACAAACACCTGACATTATCACTTCATTGGTTTTAAATTCTGGGAAGCCGTCAGAGGAATTCAAAGTGCCAAGAGATGTCAACACTATTTCAGAAAATGTTCTGGAATTGGTTTCTGATGGCAGTGATGAAGGTAAGATGTTATCATGATTTGCTTTAAATCGATAATTGATGGGTTTCCCATTATATTCTCCACAGGTTTTTAATCCAGAGTAATCCTTTGACAAATTTTGACACGTACGCTTCTTGTATATGTTACCATTGATTAAGCTCTCCAGATTATGATATTTAAAAAAAAATGGCAAAATAGTTGATTTTAGGGCAGTCAGCATGTCGTTTATGTCGGCTTGAATTTCTTGTATCATGGCTTCGGAAGGCTGTGTTGGTCCTGTTTTCAAGTTGAATAGTAGTGTTTTCTGTTCCTTGATGAGAGTAAATAGTTCGGCTTGGGTGAAGCTCATGTAGTCATCCATATTTCTCTTGCTGTACGCTTCTGACACCAGTGTTATAGACAATCATATGGTTGCAAGAAAGAAATACAACAACAGAAATAGTTACATGATTTATTTCAATAGGAATGTGTGGTTTTGAGACAGCTACCTTGTGGTATAGTTCATAGGCCGGCTGAAGATCTGAGTTGATCTCTCATAGTAGTTCTCGCTGGTTGGCGTGGCACTACTGCTGCTGACCGCTCAGCCTGACCATGACAGGTCTCTTCCCTGGCCTCCTGTTGACTCTGTTGTACTTCCGTGTGACCCCTTTTATGGCGTTTTTTATGGCTTGACAGGCTCGTAAAACGACGCGAGTATAATTAGGAGGGAAGCATTTTTATTGGTCGAAAAATAGAAACACTTTAAAATATTATTTTATTTTTTGACCGGAACTCGTGCGTCGGGAATATGCGTAAATGCGTAAATATGGTCATTTTGTGACGGGGCCATGTCCCGTTCACATCCGGCTCTCGCTCTCGTATGTTAGTTTATTTGCCTGCAAATCAGCCGAGATATGTCTTATTTTATTTTATAACAATATTATAAAGAAATAACTAGGAAAACAAATATTTGTATTATTTAGCATATTGTTATAAACATGTGTAGTGCCTTAATAAATATAGTATCAGCAGCTGCCCTTAATAAACATAATTTCAGCAGCAGCCCTGGGAGTATAAAAACAGGCAAAGCCTGAAGTAACTCTCTCTTCCTATTTTTCCTCCTCTCAAAGTGGGTGCCATGAACTTTTCACACTGAAGCAAAAAGGACTGTGAATGCTTCACAGAAAGCACGCCTACACAATCAAGTCACATTTAAATACATTCATTAATTTTTCATTATCTATGCAATTTACTTCGAGGAAAAGAAACTTTTAAACGTTCATTTTGTTGTTTTGTTATTAAGAAATGTTATCTTGCATTGCAAATCAATCATTCTCTATAACATCATCTGGTCAGCTGATGTACTAAAGGGCTCACTGAATATCTGATAATGGCTGTTAATATCAGATTTCTTCCATCAACCGTTGGTTGCAGTGACTTCTACAGTTGTCAAAAAGTCCAGTCAAATGCTGGACGTGATTGATCTCAAATGACCAGAAATCTGCTGCAGGAGTTGGTATATTGATGGCTCTGATGGTTATATAACGAGGGAAACGACAATTCTTTTCAACTTTAACAAATCATTTATACAAGGTAATATTAGAAAAATATTCAAGCTTCAAAATGTGGGAGTGATGGACGATTATACCTTAAGACTTGGGCTCTTAGTTGTTCACTCTGGGCATCTAATTTTGGTTTTAGGTTGGTACATGTTCATGGGCTCAGGAGGCAGCCTAGTCAGTTTTTAAGCACATTCTAATTCAAATCTAAGTGATAACTCTTTCTTGGAGTTTTTCAGTGGACTTTGCTGAACTACTCTGGAGTCTGCTGATCTGTTCCGCTCGACCCGTGGCTCTACTCTGCTCGACCTGTCCTCTGAAAGCCTCAAAATGCCCAATGTAAATAACACTTCACTCAAAACCAGGTGGAGTTCTGACTGACATAGAAATATCAACAATTCCTTTGTCTCAACTGAGATTTTCCAATTTTGGGCAATTATCCAGCCCCTTAGTGGCAGTGAGAGGATTAATCCTCTCACTGCCACTTTGATCAGTGGATTAATCCACTGATCAAACTTGCCTTCTTCAGTATCTCTGACTTCCACTCATAGCTGCTACCTTCTCTTCCTTCAACTTCCTTAGAAACAACCTGTTACTACTCTCTTTGGGGTGTCACTTGATACAGTCGACCATTTCTAGGAACCGTAACAAGGGGCAGTCTGAACCTTAACTAAATACTAACCATCTCAACTATAGTAAAAGGCTCTTCACTGACTTTAAATTTTAGATGAAACGATCACCCTGGAAAAAATTGTTATCATCCGGTTTCTGCTGGACACTGCCAAAAGCATTAAGAAATGGTTGTATGGATTTATTTTATAGAGAAATCAAATCTCCAGAAAAAGATAAAAAATATTTAATTCTTTTTTCTTTCAGGCCACATGTGATGCTTCCTCTAATCATTATCTTCAAGTGAAAAATAATTATGCAAATCAACATCCTGTTTTTAAGCCCGAACAAAACATGTTTTGCATCAATCTCAACCACTTGAAACTGCTTCATAAAAAATGACTCTCTGACCAGACAGCGGTTACATTATAGTTTTAATGTCCACTTAAAAATCTACATCTGTTTACAATTTTATCTCAACCAGTGGGTTTAGGTGTATCCAGGCTGGAACACTCCAGTGAAGATTTAAATGTTATAGGTCAGTCCATCCATCTGTAGCCAATAATGTCACACTTTGTTACTTTCTGCATGTACATTTTCACCACCATTATTCTGTGTGTCGTAAAATATTTTTATAAGAAACCTTACACATTAATTATCAAAGTAGCCAAAACACTAAACAAGCATAGCACGAGAGAACAAATGAAACAAGTACTGCCAGTGAGACAAAAGTAAAAGAAGACAAGAATCATTAATACAAAATTCTTTGTATTGCTGATAAAACAGATGTGAGTGGAATATCTCCCCATGGGCAAGGGAAGCGACTTGGAGGAAGGGTAAAGTTTGTAGGGCTTGGAATTGATGCATGTGTTGGGTCAGTTGACTAAGGTCACTAATGGTGATGTAAGAGCTTGCTAGCAAATTAGTTGAAGCTTGTCCATTTGCCATGAATCTCCTTCAGTTATTATGAGCAATATTCTTAAAAGCAAATGTGGTAGATCATAAACTTATCTTTGTTCTTCTTGTTTATTCTTCAGCAGCAACATTTATGATTAGCTTCTTTTTTATTTTTTAATATTTTTTTGAGGGGATTTGTTTAGTGAGTCAGATTTGATGCTCAGAGCCCCTGGGCAGAGGACAACTTTTTTTTTTTTTCTTTTTTTTTTGGTTTTGTTTTCTTAGAATTCACATCCAACTGACATGTAGAGAGAATCAAAAAGAGATCTAATTCGAAGCAGAGTATAACAATATTATAAAGAAATATTAAAACAAATATCTTATTAATAAATTTATAAAAATATGTGTGAACATGATAGCAGGAAAATTTAAATAAACACGTTATGATGAGTAACTAATTATAAATTTTGAAAAAATTGCACTTTCCATTCTTTCATTTGCTCATGCCACATAAATTCACTAAAATAGATTGTGAGCATTTAGATTTACATTTTTCTTGACAATTAACAACAGAAATATTAAACACTGTTTATTAGATTATTTACAAGCATAATGTTTAACATTTTTGTTGTCAGTTCTCAAGAATAAAATATATGAATCCTGTTTCACATGTTTTATCGGAATTCTAAAAATAACTTTTTAAAACAAAAAAATTGCCAAGTACATTAAGAGCAGTATTAAGAGAAAAGTCTCTCATTTGCCACACATTTTTTTCTATTTTTTTTTTTTTTTTACATGTACATTTGTTAAACTTAATACTACTAATATTTCTTCTAGATTAGCTGCCACTCAGAGCTAAAGAATCCAGTCCACTCTGTTATTTGATACATAACTGGAGGTGGTGAAAAAATAGGTTCAGATCTTTCAAGGTCATTAGTGCAAAGTGATTGCAACCATCTAGGATGGAATTTAAACTCGGCTTGCCAATTCCATTTCTCGTGCTTATATATATTCTTCTTTTATGTACTGTGTCTCTTGAGTACATGAGCAATCATGTCTTGCCACAGCATCCTGTACTTTGTAACTCTAAGCAATTTTTGTTCCTGTTACCATTATTCCCTGTTCTGCTTTCCATTTACATAAACTTATATAAACTCATTAGGTAAGTTATTTAAAACTTTTACATCCCGGGTCTGACGATAAACTACATCTGCATCCTGGGTAAAACAATAAACTACATCCAACAGCAAGGCCTTTGATCAGGAGGTTTTGAAGAGTGTTGAACCATCTCTTAATTGCTGGTGTTCCCAGGTTCACCTTGACCCGGGATGGTAGCACTTGTCAGGGTTCCAGCTATGGGCAAATAGCTACCCCCAACCTCCAAAAGGAGTCAAAAGACTATGAAAATATAAAAATAGGTTTTAATACCAGGAATACTTTTTTTGAAAAATTATTTCTAGCAATATATTTTTGAAAAAAAATATTACCATCAATAAAAATCTTGTCAGCATTAAATAACCCATTGAAGTTGATATGCTATAAAACAAAACAAACCAAGCTAAACCAAACTAAAACCTTCATCTAGCTAAAAATTGTCGCCATAGAATTCTCTCGCTTTGCAGCTGTCAGCACATTCTGTTACCATGAGAGGGTTGCTGTAATTAAACACTCATCAACTGTTATTTCTGGTATTTTAAGCTGGAAATAGCCTACTATTGCTTTGGAACAAGGCTAAACTTCCATTTCCCAACACCATTTTGAATTCTTCTACACAAAGTGTAATATCAATTAAACCCACATTAATTTTGTCGCAATTTTTTTATAAGCAAAAATGGCTACATCAACATCCAAAGAAGATTTTTATTCAGGAGTTTTTCTTTGATTCAGACTCCAATGATGATTTTCAAGGCTTTACTCAAATGGATATTGACTGTGAAGTTCTTTTTATGACACCAAGAACTCCTAAAGGATAAATAAAAGTTAAAGTCCATTAAATTGTTAATGTATTTTTTTAATTTTTTGCTTTTTATTTTGTATTTCAATTTTTTTGTTTTCAACATCAAAACATGATTGCAAAACATAATTAGTCATCCATTCTTTTATTAGTATACAAAAAGTAAAATCTATACACACAATACAAAGAAAGTTAGAACAATTTTAAAACAGTAGGTGCTCATGTTTTTTGCACCCTCAAAAAAAAACTGTCATGGTAGGAGGAACAATTCTAGTAGGAATTTGGTGGGTAAATCTAACATCACCCCCACCTGACCGTCTCTCTCTTCTATTTTATAATTTTTTGTCATTTTTTTTTATTTATTTAGATTTCCTCGATGTAGCAGAAGTTTCAGCAAGCTCTTTGGAAGATACATATTCAACCAGTCTGGTGCCTGACACGAAACCTGATGTACCTTCAGCATTCCAGGATGTGGACAAATCTGAAGGAAAAGAGTTACCTGATGATGTGGCTGCAGTCCACACTCTGCCTGATGAAGATGAAATGGAAGACAGTGTCCAGACATCTCAAGAACCCAATCAATTTGAAGGAATCAGTCAAGTAGGTTCGCTGATAAATGACCAATTCTTAATTATCATTTACTAACAGTAGACCAAAATATATTGAATTACATGGTGCCGGCAGTAAGGAGTATTCTCTATGACCTTTTAATAAACAGCCTTAAATGGATTGCCTTTTATAAAGCTAAAGGGCTCCAGTTGCCCAACTATTTACTTATATATCCGGTGTAACAGTAAAATTGTCCAAATCATGTAACAGCATGGGATAATTGTCCATCCCACAAAATGTTTAATATCTAAAAAATAGTTTCTTTTTTCCCACATTTTCTGATAGCCATCTTGACACCATTTGTCGTAAGAATCATTGAAAAACCCTTTGAGTTATTCAGCTTGAAAGAGAACAGGTTTTTTTGTGTCAGCCCCATTATGTCTTCCCAACCGAGCAATGGTAAGAGGAAAAAAATCATTCAGGCCTTCAGTAATGGCACCAACATTCATAGTCTGGCTTCCATCTTCAAAGTCCATTCAAGAACCATCAAGAAACATCAAGTCAATAAGTTTAAAAAAGAGGGAACAGTAGAGAGGAAAACAGGATCAGGAAGACACAACAAGAGGGATCATCATTTCAACTTAGAGCTAAATACATTTTTATTGTTCAAAGTAGAGTCCAATAGTGTTATAAAAACCTCGGAGAATTCCAATAAGATATCTTTAATCATTTCTAAGATACAACAGTTCAAAACTTAATCTAACAATTGACAATTTTGGTGTTACACTATTTGGACAATTTTGCTGTTACACCTGGTATAAGGAAAAGTGGATTTATATCTTTCTGAAAGGCATTAATGGACATGAATTGATATATTTCTTTTTGTTTTTGAGAATTTACAAGAAAAATATTAAACGCTATTTATTTGATTGTTTACTTACAAGAATAATTTTATATTTACAACATTCTAAATACAATTAAAACTAATGCAATGCAATATTTATCATTTGCTAATATATAAAAATAAATATGAAGACAATTTTTTATTCATATATTTATAAATATTTACTAAATTATTAAAATATGTGAACCAACTATAAGGAAATCCTTATTATTTACCATTTTATAAAGTTTGAATCAATAGGCAATTATCCACTGATTTGCCAACCATTTCAATAAACAATCTAATAAATAATGTTTATTATTTTTGTTGTCAAGTCTCAAGGACAAAGAAACTGTATAAATTTACTTTTATATATTTAGGTTTGATTAATTCTAATCATCACTTTTTAAAACAATAAACATTACCCAGGAGTGAAAGTAGTTAAAATAATAATGATGTCAAAGAAAAAAATATGTCCCTTTGACGCACACTTTTTTGTGGGCACAAAGGTTAAACATTGCCAAAAATTCTATATGATTTTTCATCCACTTTTAGCCACAAGGACAATGTTTTTTTTTCTCTTTCTTTTTTTGTCTCAAGATTTTAGTGAAAACAATCACTTTATCCACTGAGGTTTTGATCTAATATCAGTGTCAAGGTGTAAACACTTATTAAATCTCTTACCAATAACTATAAGACAATCATTTCTTTTACCATCTTTAGAACCACCTGCAAATTGTTCTGAATCACTCTCTTTAATCACCAGAGTCCTTCCTTACTTACTTGCCTAGGTACCATGCATGATACTTGCTTGGGCAATCATGTCCTTTTTCAATTCATTATTGATTTGGTGAAAGAAGGAGGCTGTTGATACTTTCTGCAGTAAACTGGTTGCCAACCAAGGTTATAGTACCCAGTCTGTTCTGCTATTTAACTCGGAACTGGGGGGCAGAAGACATAGATTCATACCTTTCCCAAGGATATTTGCATGTAAGTGAATGTAATAAACTTGGTTGAAATTTGAACTTGGCTCTCTGATTTCACATTCTGAGCTGTTATGGATTATACCCCATGCACATCCAAGCTTACAGAACCTGGTAATCTTTAGAGGTCATCCATTTCGGCAAAAAGAAGACAAGAATTGTTAAAATAAAATTCTTTGTATTGCCGACATAGAGGATCAAGTTGGAATGTCTCTTTGTGGGTGAGGAAAGCAACTTAGAGGATGGGGAGAGTCAGTAGGATCCGGTGGTGTTGTGTGTGTCAGGTTGGTTGAGAGAGGTCATTGGGGGTGACACTGACAGCTTGCCACAAAAGCAAACAGTGCATGAGTGGTGTTCTAAAAAATTGACAGGGTGGATGAAGACTGAGTATTTTTTGTCATACCTTCTGCACTAGTGGCAATATTCATGATTTGCTTGTTGAGGGGGATTTGTTTTGTGAACCAGATGTGATGCTTGGAGACTCTGCGCAGAGAGACATTTTTTTTTTATTTGCTTTTTTAGCATTCACATCCAACTGACAGGTTTTAATGTAGAGTGAATCGGATAGAGATCTAGTTTGAAATCCATACAATAAAATGTTTTGCTCATCTCAGTTGGAATTGTCTTCAAATTCTTTGATTTCCTCCAAGTTGTATATGATATAAAATCAACACTTTTCTTTTTTTTTCTTGATTTACCAGGAAAATATTAGAGACTTTCAAATTGAATTAGAAGCTGAACAGGAAACTTTACAGCAAGAACGTGGAAAACAGGAACGGTTGGCATCTTCTATCACAGACCAAATGTACTTGGAATCACAGGTCAGGATTAGCTTCTTGAAGATATGTCTTTTATATATGAGGTTGAGTCATAAGTAATTTCTATTTTGGAAACCAATTGTGATACCAAATGTATCATCCAAATTACTAATCATATGTGACAGTTAAATAGTGTACACTAATAGATAATAGATTAATTAATTTGAGTCATACATAATTTCCGTTTTAGTGAACCAATTGTAATGACAAATGAATCATCCTAACTACTAATCATACATGGAAGTTAAGAATAAATTTGGAGTATTCTAACAAACTTTAGTTTTTACAAAGCATACACCAAGGATTAAAGGAATAGTGTTGTTCCTCTCCACAAAAGGCTGAATACAGCAAGAAAAAAACTTGGTTCTTGGTTCATTCTACTCCACCTGCCATATTCACTTGACCTTGCATCAACCTATTATTATATTTTTTGATTCCTGCAAGTGGTTACATATGACAATATTCAACCTGAAAGGTGGGGGATTGACAATGATAAATACTAACAACTGACCCCAAAAGCTGAGCTCCATAGAAAAAAGGCAATATTGTGAATATGGTAGGATTGTCAGGTTATTTTTTATTTAGAGTTCTTAAAACACAAACATTAAATGCACATTTATACGTCCAGCAGCTGCAACATGTTCATAAAAGTTTGTTTGAAAAGTGCCCTGTACTCATCAATAAGAAAAAAGTCTTCTCGTCTATGACAATAAAGCAAGAATAAGCTGGAAAAAAATTTGGAACTTGGTTGGTCCGTTCTAAATTCGCCCAAACTTTCATCAACCTATTATTATATTTTTTGATAGCTGCAAAATACTTTGATGGGGAAAACTCTCTTTAAGGAAAACCAGAGTTTGTTAGAAACATTTTTTACATCAAAATCTGTGGAATTTTGCTCAAAAGGTATCAAAGAGTTGCCTGATTGAATGTCTTTACAAATAATGGTGTATATACACCCTAGTACAAACTAATTGAAACAAACACTTTAATTTCCTTTTTTTTTCCCTATACAGTCAGTTTTAGACATGTTGGAGTGACAGAGTGCAATCAATTTCTATTTTTTCCTCAGATTAGGTCATGTGGTGTGCAGTAATATGAATCTATTTTCGGGTTGTATGATGAAATTTGTTTGACCTTGAAAAATATTGTGTCGTCTGTGATTTCATCAGATTTTTATCAAACCAAGATACTATTGTCCTTACTGTTGATTAGTTGTCCTAAGGCCATTATCTGCGATGGATATTACTCCAAGGAAGTGTATGAAAATTTGAATATGTTGCACAAACACACGGGCAAGCTTTACCAGTGAGTAAATCAAAGTACTAGACTGGCCCAGAAACTCTCTTGATTTAAATTCAATCGAGATTCTGTGGTCAATCTGCAAGGAACGACTTCATGGAATGTACATACAAAGTAACTAATATATGCACTGGGTCCTGTTTCATTGTAAAAATATGAAAAAATAATAAGGGAATTATTTGGGGTTTTTTTTTTGTTTTTTTTTTTTCAATTAATTTGCACCAGGGTGTATAACTGAATAAAATATATTTGTGATTTATATTCTGAAGAATAAAGTTGATAAGCGAAAACAGAAATTATTTGTGACTCAACCTATCCTCATTCTGTACATATTCCCTTGGTGAACTGTAAGTTCCATTTGAGCAGCTTCTTCCCATGAACTGCTGCTTTGTGGAACTGACTTCCAAGTGGATGCTTCCTTGAATACTACAATTTTAACCTTTTCAAGTCTAGGGTTAACCGTTATCTTCCCCATATATCCCCATAAACTGTGCTTCTTACTCTGTAACCCTCTACCTTGAATGGCTTTCAGGTCTTGTACAAGATAAACATAATTGTATAAATAAAAAAAAATAAAATTTCTCAAGAAGACACTTTGCTTATCACATGCCATTTACTTATACTTTTAGGAACTGCTACGATTGTTTGGATTACCATTTATCACCTGTCCAATGGAAGCAGAAGCCCAATGTGCTCACCTTGATATAACGAACCAAACTGATGGCACTATAACTGAAGACAGTGATATTTGGTTGTTTGGTGGCAAGAAAGTCTACAAAAATTTCTTCAACCAGAACAAACAAGTGGAATTTTATTCCTACACAGAAGTTAAGAATTCAATTGGTAAATTTTCCTTTGCTTCATCTTCAAAAGAAAACTATCTGGTTATAGATGCTATATGCCAAACATTTTGAGGCATCCCTTGGATATGGAACAATCACCTAAAAAGGTTGCATGCTGTTTTTCAAAAGTAATTTACTAGCTTACTTCAGGCCAGAAAGACTTCCTCTTCCTGAAGGTTTTTTTTTTTAATATATGTTCAATAATAATAAATGAAATTAACTCTTTACTGCATAAAGTTTCCTTAAAGTCTTATTACTTTTTGCCTAATTTCCCTTACTAGATAATGGTAATTTTACGAGTGTTATAGAGCCCAGTCTTTTTTACTATTTAACCCATAGAGGGAGAATACCTTCTCCAATGGGTCGAAGAGCCAGTATGCTAGAATGGAACAGTGTCATTAATGACACTGTTCCATTCTAGCATATTCATTAATGACACATTCATTAATGACACTGTTCCATTCTAGCATACTGGCTCTTCGACCCATTGGAGAAGGTATTCTCCCTCTATGGGTTAAATAGTAAAAAAGACTGGGCTCTTCAGCTTTGGTTGGAAACTAGTCTAGGACAACTCAATTCAAAAGCATATGTAGCCCTGGCAAAGCATATTCTATGCAGCTAATGAAAATATTCACAATGACAGTATAATTCGAAATGCGGTTGGCCTTCTAATCTATGTTGTATACCCTTGAGGAAGGTATGAATACATCTTCTCTCCTCAGCATGGGTTAAATAGTAGGGCAGACTGGGTTCTTCAGCCTTGGTTGGCTACCAGTCTAGGAGAACTCAATTCAAAAATTATATGTAGCCCTAGCATAGCACATAGTATGCAGCTAATGAAAGGATTGTGGAGTTCACAATGATGCTATAATCCAAACTCTGGTGGCCTTCTATTATATTCTAAAGTAATTTATAAACAATCAAAACCATCTTCCATCAAGGTAAATTTTCACTCCATTAATTTAACACAAGAATCTAGTTAAGATATCCATTTTTTTACATAAGATTTACCTAGTCTAGAAGAAAGATTTCCAACATGCAAACACGAAGTTGACCTAGTAGTGCCTAGAATATGCGCATGTGGGATAAACCAGATGACATGTATAGAAGCATCTACTCAAGAGGGAAGAGGAAGAGTCTCTTACATCCTTGCAAGAATCTAAAATCCATGTTCAGAGAAATCCCCAAAGCCACTTCCACTTACTGACAGTAATTGTTGAAAATCCTGACTTTGACAGGCAATGTTACATATGAGGAATTGTTTTTAATTAGTCTGTACGATGACAAAATTGCATCAATTTTATTGTCTACTTGTACTCATTTTTAAAAACTTTTTAAAATATATAATTTTGTAACTTTTTAAAAAAGCTATCTATTAAAAAAAAAAAAAAATAAAGAAGACAAATTGATGTTTTGAAATTTGCAGCATCCTGGAGAAGAAAAAGATGAAGATTAAAAACAGCTAGATTATGTTGCATTTTGCAGGTCTTATTCGTGAACAGATGATCAAGATTGCCCTTCTTTGTGGCAGTGACTACACCCCAGGGATTCAAGGAGTAGGACCAGTCACAGCTTTAGAAATTATGGCTGAATTCCCTGGTGAACACCTTAAAGGACTTGAAAACTTTAGGTAAGCAAAGATTTCTACTTCCATCAAAACCAATCCGGTATCATCAGGATTTATTTAGTCTAATCTTTGTTATGTTTTACTTAATTTTTTTTGGCCTCTCTGCACTTTGACCTTGATGAGGAAAATATGATCAGCTGTGTATTTTAAAGATGTAGATATTAGTCCAACACATTTTTTTTAAACATTTCGCCCTAATCAAGGCAATAAACCTACTAAGATGCAAGGGGTTACTGACTATGAAAGAATATGAGAAAAATAAAAACTTTATTAAGGAGAGAGAACAATAAAAGAAAAGGAATTAAGAAGACAATTGGCATTGCATTTAAATATTCATACCTTTCCCAAGCGTATTTGCATATAAGTTAATAATATAACGAATCCAGATGAGATTGGAACTCTGTTCATAGAAGATATGTTATAGAGGATTTTTATTTATACAATTAACTGTATTGTCACATGTAAGAAATCTCATCATTTTTAAACCATTAGAAGTAAAAATATACAATGGACATCAGTATAGCCTATATTGTTAAAAAATGCCATCCATATTTAAGTGATTTTGTAATTTCATTGGTTATTTTCTGCATTATTAATGGATTTTTATCTGTATCATGTAAAAACATCATTTCTCCATACAATCACCAAAGTTAAGCAATATCAAGCCTGGTGCTCTAAGCTTGGATGTGCGAGTGGTGAAACGGATAATGGCTCAGAATTGTTAATTGGAAAGCAGAGTTCCAATTCCACTTGGGTTCATTATATTAATGCAAAAATACCCTTGGGAAAAAGTATGAATCCACTTCTTCTCCCCCTCCCCCACAACTGTGGGTTAATTAGTAAGGCTTATATCACTAAAAGCAGTATTATCTTCCCAAAAAATTAAATTGTGTACAAAATGCAGACAAAACTCTCATCAACAAATTAATGGTGGCGGAGGGGCTGTTAAAGCCAATTGTCCATAGACGGGAAGGGATTATTTTTGAGTTATAAAATCACTATAGTAACTATCAGTAGTTATGATCATAATGTAAATACTATAAACATGTATATGTGGCATAAATAAATATATACTTAATATTAATCAAAATAACAAAAATAATAGATTTCTCACAGTTACTTTCTCATGCACATGCTAATGCATCATACATTATATACTGTACACCTGTCTTTGTTTACAATTGAAAGACCCATCACCACCGCCAAGTGGTCACTTTGAGAACTAATATAACTCATTCTGCAAAGCCTGCAAATTTTTAAATACATCACTGACGATTTGGAAGTTTTTGTCATCCCACCCCCTGCACACACACACACACACACACACACAAATTTCTCTTAAGATGTCAGTCATTTTTTGGTGCTTGTATCTTTACAGAAAATGGTGGCATACCACCAGAAACCAGGTCAAGGTTCCCCAAGAAGTTAAACTGAAATCAAAACTCCGACAACTTGAAATTCATGAGGGTAAGTCTGCCAAAATTATATTAAAAAAGCAGTGTCATGTGAAAAACTGTCCTTTTGACACTCTGTTTGATTGCAAGCATGTTATCCATGTTTGCCATTTTTCATTATCTTTTTCATTACTTCAGCCACTTACACTATTTACAATAGCACTGTCTAAATCCTGGAAAACAGTTAATAGGTTTTATATTCTGCTTATAAGGGCAAGATTAAAAGAAATATTTTACATATTTAAATACTTTAGGAGTTGATATGTCATTAAACAATCAATCTACTTTCTGAAATGATGTTTACTGCTATATCTGTTGTGCATGCTTCTTGACATCCATGACTGCACCCAAAATATTAAAAAAAAAAAAAACTTACAATAAATAATAATAATGTCCTTTATTACTTGTCATATTTTTGTCTTTTCAACAGGTTTTCCAAATGCATCAGTAGTTGATGCTTACATGAACCCAACAGTTGATACCTCTGAGGAACCTTTCTCCTGGGCTATGCCAGAATTAGATGAACTCCGAATGTATCCTTTTCTAGATGACAACTTGATCCACACAGGCTAGGTTTACTTATAATGGTAATATTAGGAAACATTAGTCATGTATCATTAGGAGTTTTGAGTCTTACAACATTGTACCCCTTCTACACAGCAACTCAATTGATATTGATCATGTAACGAGCATGCGCGGAAACGTCCTCAAACTGCGTGTGTGTGTGTTGTCGCCAGGCACACCTTTGAGTACCATAATGGACTCAGCCGAGGACTAGAAGAAGAAGCCACGCGAGTCATTTGGTGTCTTTTCTTGGATGACACAAGCCGTTGCGGTCGGTCGTCCGTCGGCAGCAGTCTTGAGTGCCATTTTGCTCATTTGTTGTCGTAAAGTGTTCGTTTGCAAGAAGGCGTTCATTTTTGTGTCGCATTCATTTCAGGTTCGCAAGAAGGCGTTCATTTTGTGTCGCAAGTAGGCGTTCGTTTTTGTGTTGAATTCATTTCAGGTTCGCAAGAAGGCGTTCGTTTTTGTGTTGCAAGAAGTTGTTTTTTTTTTCCCCCTGTTTTCTCGCACAAATCAGATATCAATTTGTGTGTTAGCCATTAGCTACAATTCTTTTCGTAATGGAATGATCTTAACAAAAGAAACACTGCAACTAAAGAACTCTTTAACAGTTCAACACATACACACAACCAAAAAAAAAAAAGAACAAAAAAAAAAAAAAACCAAACATTCCCCGTGTTTCTGTTGTAGGGGGAACTGTAACCCTAGTGATTGTGAGGGGGTGTAAATAGGTGCTAGATCTTAACCAAAGATCATCTGTCACCAAAAATGGTTTGGAGTGCTCTAGAGGTAACATGATCATTGAGATTGTAAATCATCCATTCTTGGGTTGTCTGAGCTTTATGAAATGAGTATTGTTGGTCGAGGTACGGTCTTCCTTTGCACATGCTCTCTATCCAAGTCCTCACAAATCTCTCTAACATCTCCTTATAGTCAGTAGCATGAGGAAAAAAAGTGAAGAGGAATGACAAGCCAGAAACTTTATGCACATAACCATTGGAAAGTCCTTAGGGTTTCTGTATAACCATTCATTCGCTTGACCTTTTGGTCCTGATCAATGTTTTTCTCATTAGAAAAAATCAAAGTATTCCAGGCTCTTGATATTTAAGTCTGTATTGCTGCAACGTCAATTGTACAAATCACAATATCGCTGGTTCAATTCACCGTCCTTGCTTTCTTCACATGTCACTACGTATAGCCAATGTTTCTATCCCCTTTTTCACTGCTCCAGCCCTCTTTTATCAGGCCAACACCACAGTTCTCCAGCCAATCAGCATTCTTCACTGTTATTCTCGGTTACACAGGCAAATTGCCTCTTCCAGTTTGACCAATCAGCACATGACTTGCTATTGGTGGAAGCATGCCAAACTGTACAAAAAACCCTCATCACTGCAAATACTGCTAGAATGGCTGGACAGGAGAGTAATGCCATTTTCACAAAGCAAACTTGCTGATGTCACGTGCCGCACGTTAATGTAAGACCCTTATTTTCCTATATACCAGATGCAAGCCACTCTGGCTCACTTGCTTCTACGGGGCTGTTCACCAGAATTTCAAACTTGCTCAACATATGCTTTGTGTGGATCAGACAGTTATCTTCTGTCTTTGCAGACATGAATTGGCCTCTCCACATTGCATATGACTTCTATCGAAGGTCCTCATGCACAATTCTTCCGACAAGGTGTCTTGAAACCTTGGGTTCTTTAGCAGTGGCATTAATTGATTTTCTGGAGTCCTTATCAATAATTTTCTTTACCTTTTTGTACAAATTTAGGTTTTCTGATGATATTAGGACTCTTAGCTGGTGTTTTTACATTTGGTTACTGCTGTAGAATCTCCGTCAGAGACGTTCAGCTCTTTGCAAACTTTGACAACAAACGACCATGCAACTTTTAAGAATCGAGCAATCTCTAAATCCCTATGCTCTGCCTTTAAGCCAATGATTACAGCTTTCCTTTTCATTTGCTGAGTTACCTTGATGCTTGACGTCATTCATCTGAAAAGAAATGATAATCAGAACAAGATAGAAAAAAGTCAGAGCTATTAAAAGGTGCGTCCTCAAAGAACTGAGCAACTCTGTAGATATTTACTGAACTTAACGATAGTCACTTAAGTAACACTGCCAAATATGGCAGATATAAATATTTATAAAATTTCTTTCTTTCATTTAACGGATTGACCTTTATGGCTGTGACAATCTTCCTTGATGCGTTTGTTCAGATTCACATCGAACAAGATGGGTTGGCTCAGATCAAAAACTGATGAGGCTCTTTTACCTGTGCTTGCACAAATGAACAAACCTGCCCAGGTAAGTCAGTTTATAATTTAAACTGTTAAGTTCTTAGGGAGATGAAACAAAATTTCAGCCATTATCAAAATATTCAAATCATAAATATGAAGCTTTTAATTGTACCCTCAGTACATTGTATGATATTCAGTTTAGCTTTGTGCATCAATTTCATAAAAAAAAAAAAAAAATATTTGGTGGCATAGTAATTATGAGTTCAATCACTGAGCCAGATTGTACAGACTTAGACTGAGTAGAAACACGGTTCAAACAGATAATTCCAGGTACAAATTCATTTTATAATTTAAACTATTACGTTCTTGAGGAGGCATGGTGGAGTAGTGGATAGCGGCTCAGATTGAGGAATCGGAGAGCTGAGTTCGAATTCCAGTCAAATCCATTACCTTCACTTACATGTTAATACCCTTATGAAAGGTATGAATCCTCTTGTTCTCCCCCAAGTTTACGGGTAAATAGCAGGACAGACCAGGTTCTGTAGCTTTGGATGGCAGAAAGAAATGGCAACCTACTTTGGTGGGGGAAAAAAAACTGCCTTGTCAGTCATGTATCAAAAGATACATGATCACCTAAGCGTGTATCATGCATGGCACATAACTGACTGATATACCCAAAAATTTTTTTAAAAAAATTTAATTTTAAAATTCTCAGTGTTCACACTCTCATGTACACATTACTGTAAATGTCACTTTATTCTGATGACTTCCTAAAGGACAAAATACGTCACATAAAATCCTTTTCCACTTTGTCATAGTTTTCCCTAAAATAGTTACAACTGTATTGTCAATCAATATGAATCAGTGATGTTTGTGTTTGGGAACATACCAATGGACTATTATTAAATCTTTTATAAAATTCCAATAGTGTCAACAGAGCAGGTAATAAGGAAAATATGTTGCTGACTTAAAAACATTACAATGACGAAAGCTTCTTCCCCAGAATGCTTACTTTGTGGGACAGACCCCCCCAAAAGGATGCTTCCTTAATCACTTCATTCTGGGTATGATGATAAACTACATTTAGCAGCAAGCCTTTTAATTGCTGTTGCTCCCAGGCTCACCCTAACCTGGGGTGGTCCCAGCTTTGGGCAATTAGTGAACCTCCAAACAAGTATATAATATATATTTATAATAAAATGACCAACAATACATTTTTATAGCAAAATGACAATCAATGCAACCCTAAAATATAAAAATACATTTTTATAGTAAAATTACCAACCATACATTTTATGATCTGCAAAATATATATCTAAAAAAACGACCTTTACTCTGAAAGTATAAATTACGTACAAAATATCTGTAGTTGAAAGTAGAAAATTATGAAAGATTTAAATAAATAACTCATAGAGGTTGATATGCCGCAAAACAAAATCATTCAACCAACCAACCAACATGATAGAACTTTCATGAAATTAGTCCATATAATATCCTAAAATTTCTTAAATCAAACTGTATTCCAAAATATAACTGCAACATAGAACACGTGCATAACACCGCCTCTAGTAATCATGTCTGCACAAAAGCTGAGTAGAAAGAAATTACTGGAAAGTAATTGAAACTCACCTGAAGCGAGCTGAATGTGTAATGCTCCTCATGCCAATGACACTTCCACCAAGCTTCTCTACGGCATATGACTTCACTGAATTTCTTTTGATGTGTTCCTCTCGAATTTATATTTAAACTGGGGTCATCAGGAGAGAATGTGTACTGTTTTGGGGCCTTCCTCTCAACGGTTTCAGTTGCACACCGGCCCCCCTCACTGATGTGAGGCCCCATTATAACGATATACAAGTGTTGTAGATAAACTAGTTCAAATGTGTAACGGCAAAATTAAATTTACGAAAATTCCAAAAAACGGCAAACCTCGCGACCTGAGAATGCAACGTGAACCTCATTACGCATTCACGATCAGTCATGTCATGCCGTCATGTTCACTGAAACACTCCACGGAGTATTTTATTTTTTCCATATCCACATAGAACTATTCTCAGTTATTTCTATTAGGCGTTTTATACTTTTGGCCCTATTACGCCCTTTGATTCCAATTTGGCCCAGAAATTGGTACAGAGTGCCTGAAATGAAACCCCTTGCTCCAATTTCCACTGCTCTAACAATTGCATTATACCCCTCCTTTATTAGCTCTGATTTTAGATTTTCATATTAGTTTTATAATCGTGGCTTTGTTCCATCCTGCATTCATATGGTACTGTTAATTCAACCAGGAGGATTTTATAGTTCACCCTTGACAGAAGAACAATATCTGGTTGCAGATATTATCTTAATATATAATATATATTATCAGATAGTATCATCTACTATGTATTAAATTGTGAAAGAAGAGTAACATATGTCATAGTTTTATTACTTTCAAAGCTCCCAAGAAAATTACATTTTGACATTAAATGGCCCATAATAAGTTGATGTGCCGTTAAAGAAACAAATCAAATCAATCCTTGATCACTACAATCTTAACCTCTTCAAGTTTAGGACCAACCCCTGATAACCTACATTCTTACTTCCTCCTTTTATGCCTTTCAACAACTTCATTTAGTAATCCTCTACTTTGAGTGACTCTAGAGCCTTGTATTTCAAGAACAATAGTATATTAAAAAACATTTCGATGAAGAATCAAAACTATTCAAATGACATTTAATAAGTTTATATGAAACCTATTTTCTTCAGTCTTTATTTCTGTAGTATTGGCTGAGTTTGTAATAAAAAAACTATGTTGCTAACTTAAAAATTACAATGACAATGCTTCATCTAAGAAATTTACACAGCTAAAAAATTTTTTTTTGTCTTCCTTTCAGCCACAACTGCAGATCACTGACTTTTTTTCATCTGCACCTCGTCCAGAAATCAGCCCAGAGAAATGCAAAAGCAAACGAGTGAAACGAGCTCTCCAGCGCTGTCTGCAGCATGTGGCTTTATGCCCAGAGCCATCAACTTCACTTAATGAGGAACGCATGAAAAGAGCTAAGGACATCGTAAAAGAGATGAGAAAGACAGGAACCATGCCTAAATGTCCTTCCAAAGCCACACAGGGTCAGAGAAGAGGCATGCCATCTGCTCAAAGGGGTCAGAGACGTGGCGCTAAGGTTGCACGTACCATTGAAGTGAAAGATGAACTCTCTCTTTCAGAAAGCAGTTCCTCAAATGAAGACTGAGGTTGTAAAATGAAGGCAATAATTAAACTATTGACACATGGAAAGAGAAAGTTAGAAGGGAAAGAATCTTTTTTTCTGCTTTCTAAACCATGCTGATTTGCAGAATTTATTTATAAAAATGTTATTTAACTCCTACGAACATGTGGAAGATTCTGCAGATATTCAGAAAGATTTTTTTTTTTTTTATTGAAGCTGAGACTTTATGGTTTTCGGTTCTTTTCATCTTGGAAACTGTTAACGAAGTATCTCATCTGTATAATAAATGCGAATATCAGTGTGTCATTGTGTCACACTTTTTCAACTTTACTCCCAGAGGCTGAAGCGCCACATATCATACCATTTTTGAATCAAGCTAACTCCATGAAATTAAAAACGTTCTGGGCTGGATCCGGACTCACAATCCTGAAATTTTGGATTCCCACGTTTTCATTACTGTGATTGTTTCGGTGTTTTTTTTATATGATTTTTAATGACAATTTTCTTTTATACAATAAAAATTTTTATAACTTGGAAATAAATTTTGGGAATAATCAAAATTAATTGCGAAATCCAGTGAAAGTCACCCATGAAATAAAAATAATTGTTTGTACATAAAGTAAAGACCTACATACATAAAATTGTCTTTAAATTAAGTGGCAGCAGAAGAATTATTGTTGAACTTTTAAAAGATAAGCATAAATATTAATGCAATACTTAAATGCAGCAATCAATTTTGAGTTCTTCTGTAGTTTACTGTTGCATATCGCATCTACTCCTCCCTACCTATTGTGATGAAGGACCAATTAAGGCCTCTCTGCAGGAGCTAGATTAAATTATTTTAAGCTAGTAAGAAATATGTGTCACTAGAAATTTCTCTGTCCTTTGATAAAGGACATCACAAAGAATTGTTGGAACTACTCGGTACCCTTGACATATTAGGGAAGGATATTAATATAATCCAGAACCTATACTGGCAGCAAACATCTACATCCGAGCTCAGCAGATATACAAAAATAGAAAGTGGTGTAAGACAAGGCTATGTCTTCTCACCAGACCTATTCAGCAAAAAACAGTGAGGTGATTTTGAGAGAATTGGTGGCCACAATCTTAACAACATATGATATGCAGATGACTTAGTGTTGACAACAGACACAGAAAGGAAACTACAAGAATTCTGACAGAAAGTAGCAATGGAAAGCAAGAGAAAAGGACTAAACATCAATTGTAAGAACACAGAATGTATGGTTGTCCAAAAAAAGCACAGTCCAACATGGCAAATTACAAATTGGAGATAGCAAAATCAAACAAGTACAACAATTTAAATATCTGTGAATTGTTTTAACAGAAGACAGAAAGTGCAGCACTAAAATCTGAAGGGATAGGAAAAAGTTTCCTTCCAAAAGCTAAGCAAAGTATTAAGAAATGGGAATATTTTGTTAGGAAAAAAAGAAAAGTGCTGTATTGTTATGTAATATCAGTCTTCCTCTATGGCAGTGAATGTTGAAGAAACTTGAAGCAACAGAAATGCAGTTCAACAGAATGATGATGAGGATTTCATGGATTGAATACATGAGCAACAAAAAAGCTTTAGGGAAAATGGAAACAAAAGGACACTTAGAATCAGGAAGAGAAAGGTTAATTTCTAGGGCACCTAATGAGGAAAGAGGGCTTTGGAGAATTTGACACTCACAGGATATATTGAAGGCAAAAAAATAGTAGTGAATAACGTACCTTACAAGTTGGATGACAGAACAGGGTTTAGGAGAGATAGCAAAAAGACATCATTTACTAAGAGCTACAAAGAACAGGAAATTGTGGAGAGCCATGATCGCTAACATCCTGAAGGGACATGGCATATAGAAGGACATTTACTCCAGTAAGATAGTGATTCAAGACAATGTAAATGGTGAAAAACGTGAAAACAATGATTGTTCTGGAGCAGCTGACATGATATTTCACTGATACAATATTGGAATCTCCAGGATGGTAGAGTGTGATATTTTTTCAGGAAGTAAAAAGTGTATTTAGAAAAAAAATATAACCGAATGTTTCAAAATTATTTTGTTTACCAGAGAGCTCCTTTTCTTCTCTGAGTTTCTGATATGAATTTCAACTGCAAGTCATATTTATTAGAAATAAAACAAAGAAAAAAAGATTTTTACCATAATCCTCTGTGTATAAGATGCGGGTTTTGTTTATCCAAAATTGTGTCCAGAAGTCTGATGTGTTTTATGCTTTATTTTGGAACTTGATCCCATTTTTCCATCATTCAAAATCTAATGGTGTATTATAAAAAAAAAAGTGAAGTAAATCTTTCATGTTTCTGTACATTTCAAAAGAAATACCTCAGACTGTCACAAAAAAATCAAAACCAAACAAACAACTTGATATTTATTCAATTTTTTTTAATTTAATTTCTCAGTGAGTATTTGTGATTTAGTGGTTTTGTATTCTAAAACTCATTATCATTTTTTTGTAATGGTTACAAATCAAAAAAAGTAAACAAAATGTGCCTTTTTTTTTTCTTTTTTTTTTTTAAACAAGTTTTGTTAATTTTCTCTGCTCTAAAATCAGGTGTGTTTGTTTTGTTTTTTCTTTTAGAATTTTCTGCATTTTTAACTGCATCTTATACTCCCTTGCAATCTATAGAGAAAAGCTTACTCTAGATCTGGCTAGTGCATTATCAAACACTATCTAATTTCTCCAGTCCATCACCTTAACCACTCAGTCATAACTACTTCTCCAAAAATAAAGAGAATAGTTGGATTGAAAGATTTGGCTGGTATATTTATTAAGCATAAAACAAAATATTTACATTACCAATTCAATATTTATCAAATTTACCATTTTTTTATCAGTCCATTAATTTTACAAGGCATAGAGGTCAGCAGAATCAAATGCAGTTCATAAGCCATTTTGGAGGCTTGTTTTTTTTTTTTTTTTACAGTAAGGTTCACAAGGCCTGGGAGCCACTCAAAGTAGAAGGTTATGGAGTAAAGGACATAGTTTATAAGGATTTGTGAGAAAGATAACCATGAAGCTCTCTAGCTATGGAATCCCCAAAAGAGTGTTCTCAGTAATAGTCATCCCTAACGGAAGGTCTTTGAAGTTAGTCCCAAGTGATCAGTGCAGGTTTTTGCTTCTCAGTTCAACTCTCTCTCTACTTTAAATTAAGAGTATACTCCAATCATTTGTGAATATCTCTGCTGATAATACACCTGGGCCCGCCCCCTACGTAGCCTAAGTTTCTTCCCTATTTTCATTATATGAAGAACAAAACCTCATCCACTGTGTATCCCACTTAAAATCAACAAACACCTTATATAAATGAAGAATTGATTTTTTTCCTATCTTAAATTTGCATTCATGTTTGTTCCACAAGTGTTTACATCAATGAGGTATTGATTCCCAATGACAAACTTTTTACTATGAGAGGCAGGTTAAAGATGCTTACCTGTATTGTTAAGGTTAACCAAAGGTACTGTGAGAATGTAGGCCTACTTGGTAGGTTACTATTTCTGAAAAGGCATGGATTTTAACCCAGTGTATAGTGCATGCAATCAGTGAAAATGCATGATTTTTAAATTTTTCAAAAGATTTACCCATGTATAGTGCCCCCACCATTCTTTTGACTTTAAAAAAAAACTGATCATAAAAACTTGCACTATACTTGAGTATACAGGCATTCCTCCATTAATGTACATTCAGTTAATGCGATTTTGATTAGTGCGCTAAAATTTTTATGTACCAAAATTTGATTACTGCCTACATAATACTAGATTAGTGCAGTAAAACATTCTTCAGTTTAACCATAGTAATTGAAAATTGATTTTTTATAGTTACCAATGAACAAATTAGCCGCACTAATGATTTCTGTATACAGCAATGTGTTGTACAAGATTTTATTTTTATGGACATATTTCTAATAAAATAGCAAAATAAAAAAAATTGTTTCTATCACATAAATTAGACTTTATTAATATAGAATTAATGTTGAAGTAAGCTTTGAATTGTAACTCTTTTAGCCTTCTATAACTGAACAATGCCGTCCATCATGAGAACCATAGCCTTTCACGTTGATCTGCTGCTGCTTTTCTCCCATGATGCCACTTATATTCAATTTTGCCTGATGTCCTCCAACTTTTCTGCAAGAGGAAAAAAACAAAATTATCCACATTATGGGAATGCAAGTAAAATACAATGAAAAATGAATTTCTATTGTATTGAGTCTCTATTTGTTAGGATTTGTATGAAATTAGTGAAGAACAATGATATGCATGCAAAATGATAGCAGATAAAATTTGCACTGATGTACTTAGCATTAGCAAACTTTCCCTATGCCTAGTAGAGATAGAACTTACTAACTATGGCTTGTGAGAACAGCTAAACAGTTTTGCATTCTAGTAGCTCAAAAACAGAAGCATAATAATTTTCTATGTATGATAACAAGTTTTTTGTTTGTGTTTAGCTTCTCAATTTTCTTGTTTCTTACCATCAGACTAGCCAAAGAGAATACAGTCTCCAATTATCTTGACTGGTTCTTGTCATTGGATCAAGACTGATGCTACGAGACAACATAGTGTTGAGAAAAATATGAATAATTAAAGATATCTCTTCAGCCACTGTAGCCTGTTTTGCAGTTATTCACATACAGTGAATGAGCAGCCATGACTAATATATATGAGCAGCAAGTATTCAACCAATTCTGTTAAATTCAACTTGTGTATTTAGGAAGCAATGTCTCTTTTAGGCATTTCTGAATAGATTACAAACATTATGTCTGCTTATTTTTATCGCAATCCATTTATATTCACAAACATTTTTCAGTATATTACAATTAAATAGGGCAAGAAATGTACTGTTATGCTTGATTGGCAAAGTTAAACAGTGTCTATGGGTATCCACTAAAAATAATTTTTAAAGTGATAATATATATAATAATACAACTGAGGAAATGTGTAAAAATTACAATTTTACATGTTTTTTCAGGTTGACAAAAATTCTGTCAAAAAGTGTTTAATTGATAATGAGGGCTATTCAATAAATTAAAAAAGTTCAAGTGACTTATCTGGTTAACCAACAAGTTTTGAATTGAAACAATCTTGTGACATTTTGAACAAAACTCTAGCATGTTAAGAATCTGAAAATTAGAATTACCATTCATTTGCTCAGAAAGGATAAAAATATGGGATCTGATAATAAGTTCAATAAATTTATCAAACATCTAGCTCTAATGAGCATTTCAATACAACACTTTTGTGTTGGCTATAAGTAATTTGAATTTTTCTTAATTTATTGAATATATACATATATAATGTTTTGAACAATAAAAAATATTAAAAAATTAAAATCTTCAGACACACTGGGTTGCATATTAATATTCTTTCATTTTTAATCAATTAGATTCCTCGACTATTTTTGGCCAGCATCAGGAGAAAAAAAATTTCTGCTTGTTAGTAGCACTGAACTACAGAAATAAATGACTTGATGGAGAAAATGAACTTTTTTCTGTAGTTTTCATTTGTTTATTTTTTTGTTATAAATTTTGGTCAGACCTTGTGTTGGTCAATCTCTTTTAAGTTGTTATTTAAGATAAGAGCTGGATGGATTCATGCTGCTCTGAATTCCCTTGGTCAGTTTGACAGTTTTATTCATTCCTGGAAAGGGGATGTTTCTCTGTTAAGTATGTGTGTTCTTTGGTTCTTAGGGAGTGAGTGAGTGAGTGAGTGAGTGAGTGAGTATGATGTTAGTATGTTATCATTTAGCTCATTAGAGAGTGAGTATGATGTGTGTAAGTGTATATATTAGTATGAGTGGGTGTATAAGTGTGAGGCCTCAACACCTCTGCAAGCATGTCTGTCTTGTGTGGGTGAGAAATGTGGGTAGGGCCTGATTTGTCGGGTTATATATTCTGTCTATGTTGTTAAATTTGTGATTAAACCCGTCTGGATGGAGTGTTTTTAGGCACAGAATCCACTTATCTTCATGGTCTTCTAAAATTTTTCTAATGTTATCTGCTCCGAACTTTTCTATTTATGCAATTATAATGAATTTGGCATGGGTTTTAAAATCATGTTTTTGTAGGCGGAAATGTTGTTCTACAGATAATAATCTTTCACGAGGAGTCGACTTAATTCAATTATGATAATTATTAATTCTGTAGTGAAAGGTCCATTCAGATTTTCTTACATATTGTTTTTGGTATAATGTGCATTCTAGGAGGTAAATTATGTTATGACTTTTACAGTTAATCATGGTAGATTTTGAAAGTAGATTTAGTGACTCGGCTAGTGAATGAATTTGTGTGTCTAATGTGGTTGTAGCATAAGCTCCTTTTGTTGTTACATGGTTGGGAAAATCCTGTTGTTTTTGTTGGTTTATTATGGATTACCATGTCCCCTGAAATGTGGTTACTACCTATGATTTCTTTTAGGTTCTTAGGTCTACGATATGCTAGAAGGCCTGGTTCCTCAAACAATTTTTTTAGGTCTGGTTTGAGATGTAGTATTTCCCAGCGACTTTTGAGTATCTGAGATAGTGGAGAAAGAGTAGCATCTGTATAGTAATTTCTGTGTTTTGTGGGGTGAATGTAGAGTCCTTCTTTTTTAATGTATCAAATATGGAAGGTGTGTGATCATTGTCCCTGTAGTGGGCTTTTAGCCATATTTTTCTGAAGAAGGATTTCAGGTCCTTTGCCAAGGTGTCTTTATCAAACCTTGGGGGACTAGCACAAAAGCTTAGTCCTTTATTTAATAACCTGGATGTTTTGAGTAAAAATTTACTGTTACTTAAATTTATAACTTGTCTGTATGGGTCATGTTTGTATTTGCAAGCATGACGAAGTTCTTTTGTAAAAGCTCGAAAGCTTGTATCATGTCCTCTATTAGGGATGCTATACTCCCATCCAAGTGTACTGGTTGGGGGCTTATCCCGTTTTTTTGAAGGTTCAATGTGCTTGCTGTTGATTGTCTACTAGGGGCTAATCTGGGTGGTCTGGCATGTCTAATGGGGTTATGCATTCTTTCTTTGGCAAAGATTGGCAAGAAATACACTGTAACAGTTACAGTGCATTTCTTGCTTTATTTAATTGTAATATACAAAAAAATATTCATGAATATGAAAGGATTATAATAAAAATATGCAGACATAATGTTTGAAATTTATTCAATCAGATATATATATATATATATAAAATTGTGTATTTGGACAGCAATCCCACTTATATACAAGTTTTATTAAAGATGACTGAAAAGGTACTGTGATAAAGCTTTTTATTTAATTTTTCTTGTGTTCATGTAAGTGTTTTGTTTTCTGGACATAAAATGTGTAAAAATTATCCAAATGTTTTGTATATCCAAGTACTTTCTGCTATTCTTTTAGTCATTAGCAAGGTTGTTTTTTTTTGTTTTTTTAACTGTGTAGATTTTTTTTTTGTTTCTAAAATGAGGGGAATTTTTTTCCAAACATGGTCACTATATTGTGGCCATGTTCATGGTTAATATTATTGAGTATTAGCTTTTTTAAATTATTAATACTTCCATTATTTTTATTCGTTGGATGATATTTTTTATTCGTGGATGATGCTATTACACTTGTATTTTTTACAAGTATGTTTTGGATAGAGTTTGGTAGGTTTTCTCGTATCTTTAAATGAGTCCTAATTGAGATCTGGCCAGAGCGATGTGATATGAGCCTTCATGACAGACATGAAGTGGTATGTCCAATATAATTATTCATGAATTTGGTTTGATCAGGAATTAAATTCCTTAATGGACATGTGAATTTGTAAATACAGGAATCCCTCGATTAGTGTGGCTAATCTGTACATCGGTAACTATAAAAAAACTAAATTTTTCAAATACTGTGGTTGAATTGAAGAATATTTTAGCACACTAATTAAGTATTATGTATGCACTAGTCAAATTTTGGTATATAAAGATTTTTGTGCAGTAATCAAATGGGCATTAATTGAGGGATACCTGTAATATTTGTTCTTTGTAATATATATATATATATAATACTAATCCAAATTGTGATGAAGAGATAATGATTTTGCTAAAATATAAAAGTATGAATGAATAGAAAACTTGATATTTTCTTCTTTTACTCACTTTGCTGCAAAGAAGATTTTAATTTTTGTCCAATAAGCATCTGCATGAGTGACATGTCCTTCAAGATAACCACTACTAGGCTCCGTATAGAAAGTTTTGGTATCACAACATGAACATGAAACATCTGAAATGTCATATCAAAAGAAATTATAACATTTAAAACACAATTCACAAATGCAAGACAACAGGTGACAGTGTTCAAGTATCTCTTTTCAGTGCAGATCTGGTAAATATTTTAAATACATTTTCACCAATTTCTATTTCATTACATTGCTTAATTTCTAAAAGCTAAGAAATATATTATATTTCAGTGGCAAACGTCTTGCAGCCATATTACCTGTTCTCATAAATCGTACCTGGTCAGTACTAGAGCGGTGACTGCTTAGGAAACCCAGATGCTGTAAGCTAGGATGTGAGGGGGGTATAATGGATAACGCCTTGGAATTGGAAATCAGAGAGCCAAGTTACAATTCCAGTTTTATTCATTCACATGCAAATACCCTTGGGAGAGGCATACATCCACAATTTCTCCCCCATGGGTTAATCAGTAAATCATTATCTCCAAAAACTTCTTACAATCTAAAAAAATATTTTTTGGCTATAACCAGCAAGAGGTTGATAAGTTGTAAAATACAATTCAATCAATAAAACTCAGTGGCAAACAATATTTGGTTTATATTTAACCCTTTCAATGTAATCTTGCAAAAATAAATTTTTTTATATTAATGAGTTTGTAACCAATTGAGGTCACCATTTATGCATGAAAGTACCCTTTAGGAGATTGTAGCAATAAAACAAAGCACGTGACAAAAACCATGAAGAAGGCTTAGTTCGAGTATAGATCAATGGGAGAAAGAACACATTAAGAATCATAATTAGAACTCATAATTGAATAGTTTGAAGCAGAACCAGCAACGACTGATGACAATTTTAACTTAGCAGAAATGAGTAAATCCACTATAATGATAACTTTGTAAGTCTGAGTAGTTCGATAAGGTCAAATTGGCAGCTGATCTAAAAAAATTGCCTGCATTCTGTTATTAAATGAGGTCAACAATGGCTTGGAAATTTCAATGCCTCCAAATCAAAACTAATCTCTTTTAATCATCTGAGAGAACCCTTTCTGCCTTCCATCAGTATTGTTAATGCTAAACTTCAGGAGAGTTACTCATTGCATGTTCTTGGACTAACATTTTCCGCTGACATGAAGTTGAAATATTATATTGAATCTGCTGTTAGAAAAGTTGGTTCCCTGTATTGTGCTAGACAATTTTTCTTGTCAGAATCTATATTACTTGTTTATAAGTATACCATTCATCCTTGCTTTGAATATTGTTGCCACATCTGGTCTAGTAGTCTCTAGTGAGATTCTTGATAAAATCCAAAGAAGAATTTGCAATGTTACTGGTCTTGACCTGGCATCCCAGCTTGTCACTTTACCACTGCACGTAATGTATGAGATCCAATGTTTTTAAACACAAAGTATTTTTTTTAGGAGTGAGACAAAAATGTTGTAACATATAATTATTTTTTTTTACAATAATGTTCACCTTGTACAAGACCGGAAGGCTACTCAAGATAGTCACAGAATAAGGCAAAATTTATGCAGATATGTTGGGGAAGATAATGGTTAACCATAGACTTGAACATATAGTAGCGATTGGGGAAGCAACTACTTTGGAATATATAGGGAATGAGGGTGGTTCGTTACAGTGTATGTAGCATGGCGGGTCATAACCGTGAAAGTTAAGACTGGCAAAACTCTCCATGGAAATAACCTTGTATTTGTGGGAAAATATTTATGAGATTAAAATATTCAATCTAATCTGTTTTCCTTACCAATACTGATGAAGAATAAAGACTTCGACTGTGACGTATTTATCAGTGTAAATTCTTCCCATTTTTCCTGCCCAATCCAACATATACCAAAATCAATTTTATCAGTGGAGACGTCAAAATCTGGTAGTGCAACTTTTGCCTCTGTGGTTATTGTCTGCAAAAAAAAAAAAAAAAAAACAAAAAAAAAATGAGAAAAACAAAAAAATTTTTGTCTGAATTTCTGGAATGAGGCATTATTATTTACACTATTTACATTCAGACTATTGTCCTCAACTTTGTTGTTATCACATTTTGGCCATTGTGCCCTCTGGCCTTCATTAGATATATCTTGATTGTTGCAACTTACACAGAATTTCAAACTGAACCCTTTATTTAATCCAGGGGAGGTGGGTAGACTGTTCTTGTTCTACTGCTCATGTCTAGGGATATCTTGTCTAGTTCTTATTTTTAGTACTGCTCAGTTATTGCTCACCCCGTTTCCACTCAGTCCAAGTACATATTGCACCAATGTTCAGTTCAGAACTCCCTGTAGACTAACCAGATCAATATACACTTGATGAACGCCAGAGGGTACAACAGCCAAAATGTTGTGATAATAACAAACAAAGATGACAACAGTAGTCTAAATGTAAATAGAGTAAATAATAAAATGTTTTATGATTAAAATCTTCCATTACCTTTTGAAAAATGTGTCAGATATTTTCTGCTTATGTAATTCTCAACTCTTATTTCTCATGCCAAACATACTTAATCTACAAAATTGGATTTGTTCTGTAATATTGTCATTGTAAAGACTCATAAGAATATTATTTATTTATATGCAGACTATTGTCTTCATTTTTCATGTTGTGCCCTGTAGCCTTCGGGTGTATATATCAATTAAAGTAACCTACAGGGAATTTTGAACAGAACCCTTTATTTAATCTACAGTGTAAATTGTTCTCGTTCCATTGTCAATGTCTAGAGATATCTTGTGTAGTTCTTATTTTTAGTACTGCTTGATTATTCTTCTTCCACCAAGTCCAAGTAGACACTGCCTGGTCCAGGGATTGAACTCACAATTACTATGTCACCAAATTCATGAACCAACGTTTTAATCCACTTGGATAATACTTGGCAGAGAACTTGGAGCCTTAAACCTAACCTGCCTGCTGATGAGTGCTGCTGCTGCTTGTCATACTTGACTGGACCTACTGAAGCTTTCTTTTTACACTTGCTGCTGAAGACCTGCTGTCATTTCTCTTTCTTTCTTTATTAGCAACTTCCATATAATATTTATTTCTACTAAGGAGGTCCTCATAGTCTAGCATATGCACTGATTCTTTCAGACATCTAACTCTCCAGTGTTCTCCCTTGTCCAGAATTTTCTCTTCATTCTACAAGGGCTAATGTCTACTCTTTTCTCTGCATACATGATCAGCCATGTCTGATTTCATTGTTTCACCTCTCACTATGGCTTTTTGATGTTCCTCTTTACTATTGGGAGGCAGCTTGTTTCACCATTATATTCTTTGCCACAACTGCAAAGAATGAAGTGTACACATTCCTGTTATTAAATAGGTCAAGTATATTGGCTCAACTTTTTATATGCAATGACATACACAAAACACACACATATATATATATATATATATATATATATATATATATATATATATATATATATATACCTGTTCCATATAGAGAACAATATATCACAAATATATTGTCTTCCTCCTCAACCCTTCTGTTTCCACCTGCTGATGTTAGTTGTTATTCTAAAGAGTGATCCCAATCATTTCCCATTGGTATATGTCTGGGTAGCCACTTATGATTTTGGCATAGTGTTACAGACATCGGACAATCTCATTCTTTTCGCACGATATTGATGGTATGAATTGAAGTTGAGGCATTGTCTGGTAAAGGTTGACTTTTAAATACAGATGCCATGAACCTATTCTCTGTGTGAGCTATTAGTACATGAAAGACTGGCTGATTATTTTCTTCTTCCATTGTAAACTGGATCAAAGGTTTTATTGAGTTCACTTTGTCTAGCAGGAATCTGTACAATAGCCAAGTGGATTAAAGTGTTGGTTCATGAATATGTGGATATAGTAATTTTGAGTTCACTCCATGGGGTGGGCAGTGTGTACTTGGACTCAATGGAAATGGGATAAGCAGTAATTGATCAGAACTTTGACATGGGCAGTGGAATGAGAATAATCTACTCAGAGACTGAACTCATGGCCACCAGATAAACTGCATACACTTAAACAAATGTTTATATTCATTAGACGGTTTTCCCATAGTGGAATCCTAAAGTCTTAATGCCTGTCCTTTCCTGATCAAAGACACACATATGGTATTCAATTCTATTGGAATGGGTTTCTGATAAATAAAATATTAAATTTTTTTTTTAAATTCTGATGACAACTTGTAACACACTAGAAATTAAAAACCAACAAAAGCTAGAGAAATCAATTCCAGCTCCAAATATGATATTCAAAATTTGCTCAGCAATAGAACAAGAAATAATATTGTTTTTCAGTCAATGAAAAAATTTAAAAATAAATAAACACATCTATCTGAACCACTTTTTATGGAAGCCAAACTTTTAAGACACTTTAAAGTATAGCTAAATTCACCAGATTGTTCAGACAACATGCCATTTTGCTTGATCCCAGTCAATTCCCTTATCACCATGGCAAAAGGAACCTGACATCAATGGAAACCATTTTAAATCATTGCTAATAACAGTAAGAAATAAATTTTTCAATACAAATTTTATTGTACCCTTATTTTTCTTTTATTCCTTCCAAATCAATTCAACCTGCTTTGAAAAACTATTTGGGCTTTAAATTTTGAATTAATAAAAAAAATTTTTTCCTTACACACACACACAAAAAAAGGAACATTGACAAACTTCAATACATTTCTCTTTTATTCTGTTCTAAAATCTAAAGAGCATTATGTACATTGATAAATTTAGTATTTGTTAAATACTACTGTAACTATTTGTTTTCAGGTTTTGCTATCCAACTACATTTATCTGAAAGCTTCAATTCAACAAGGTCTACTTCTCAAACTTGGTGGACATATGCCAAGCTCTCAGATATTTGTGGCCTTTTTCCATTTAAAACCATCAGCTCAGTAAAAAAAAACAAAACTGGTAACTGCCTCACTAAAATTGTTGTGTCTATAGTAAGCAAAATGAGGATACCAGTTTATATCAGTATGTAGGGATGCAAAGTGTGATTATCTTCCTTTGGTCAAGAAGAAGTCAGGGGTGTCTTGTGACAGCTGGTGAGTGATATCAGTTCATAGAGCGTCAAAAGTCAGATGCCTTCCCATGCTTGTTACTATGTAGCCCATGGAGAGGACAGACATCACAAGTCCACAGCAGTAAGGTATACAGAGGAACCCATATGGTCTCAGTAAAAACATAAAGGATGCTCTTTATCCTGTTGGAAAATATTACAAGTAAGACTCTCTCTTTTCCCACTGCTTGTCGTATACATATGTTACAGTTTCTCAGTGTTGACAAATTAGTGATAAGCATGCATATATCAGGATGTACAGTGTGGTGTAATGGATGACAGCTTGGAATGAGAAATCAGAGAGCTTTGTTCAAATTCCAGTCGGGTGCATTACATTCACTTACACGCAAATACCCTTGGGAAAGGTATGAATCCATCTCTTCTCTTCTTCAGCTATGGATTGAATAGCAGGACAGAATGGGTCACATAGTCCTGATTAGTAACCAGTCTACTACAGAAGGGAATGTCAACCTACTGCAGGGAAATCTTCTATCTAGTCAGTCATGAATCTAAAGCAACATGATCACCCAAGTGTGTATCATGTATGGCACTTAACTGACTGTCCGCAAGTATGTACATGGTAAGGTGGGCCTCTCTTTTTTCTCCATTCTACAAACCTCTTTCACCACAGGCGCAATGTACTAGTAATAGTACTTTGGACACATCGAGGTGGTGTAATGGTTAGCAAGCTTGTCTCGCTAGAACAATCACGGCTGAGTAGTGAGTTCGATTCTCACTGGGTGCCCCCTAATTTCGGCCTTGTGCCACATTTAAGCTATGCTTGGAAAATTGGACACCTCGACGTGGTGTAATGGTTAGCAAGCTTGTCTTGCTAGATCTGTTACTACTGAAAAGTGAGTTCAATCCTCACTGGATGTCCCATACTTTTGGCCTTGTGCCACATCTAAGCTATGCTTGGAAAATCAGGGGACCTCGAGGTGGTGTAATGGTTAGCAAGCTTGTCTGGCTAGAACAATTACGACTGAGTAGTGAGTTTGATCCTCACTGGGTGCCCCATACTTTCGGCCTTGTGCCACATCTAAGCTACACTTGGAAAATCACTACTAGTAATAGTACTTTGTCCTTGGGAAATGTATGAATGCATCTCTTCTCTTCTCCAGCTATGGGTAAATAGCAGGACAAACTGGGTTCTATAGTCTTAATTGGCAACCAGTCAATCAGAGAAAGAAACGACAGTCTACTGTGGGAAAATCTTCTGCCTAGACACTCATGAATCAAAAAAGACATGAATATCAAAGTGTATATCTGACTGATGTATAAAAAAATAGATTTGAGAACAATTTATGTTTGTCATTCCTTTCTTTCAGCTATTCTGTTTCATCTGTGTATTAAAGTGTTACTACATTGCAGATCTATTAATGCCTATAATGATAAAATGCAATATTCCTTCTTGCTTAGCACCTCCACTAAGTGTATAATAGTACAAAAAAAAAAGTGGTGGTTGTTCATTTTGACTCCTCTTTTGAAATCCCTAAATATGTTTAAGATATACAGACCTGAGTTGTTTCATTTCTGAACTTTATGGTTATGGCATTGGTGAACTGCATCCACATTTCTTTACCAACTGTCTTCAAACTTACACCATCCAGAAGGCATGTATCTTCTGCTTCTAGCATCTGCCGGTAACTCAGGATTTCTGAGCTTAAAAGAAAACCCACTTTTACCTAAATGAAAAGAATATAAAAACACTTGAAAGCAAAGGTTTAGTGTTCTTTTGTGAATTACTTTTATTAGTACAATACTATATTGTGGCATATAGATTTACCCATTATTCATTTTATCATGAAAAGGTTCAGATTTTAGTTAATGAAAGTTTACAGGTCAATTGTTATATTTATTGACAATATTTTACATATATTCACTATTCATAATGGTCACTCTTTGTGTTCAGCATAGCCCTTAATCTTTTCTCAACTGAAGTGCATGATATCTTTGCTCAAATTCTACCACAACATCAGCTTCTTTCATGTCTGACACACTTGAGTATATGTGAAACATTGTTGTCCAATATAGGCTATAATGCAAAGTTCAGAGGATTAATGTCAATGCTTGATGGAGGCCAAATTGACTTGTCAAAAATTCACAGAAATTTCTCTTGCATCAGTTCTGCATCAAATTGGCCATGTGCATGGGAGCACCATCTTGAGTGAAGGCATGACTTCTAAATATAGGTGGCAACCAGAGCAACACATATCTCTTCAACATTTGTTGATAAACTCTGCTATTCAATTTTACTCCTCCTTCAACAAACACCAAGGGTGATTTCAAACTAAGACAAGCAACAGCAGCACAAACCATGATACCATTCAGTTTCTGTCACTTGGAATGTGTTCTGACACTTTCAGAGATGTTTCCTGATGAAGTAGCATAAACCATATTATTTTGGTAGTTGACCACAGCCTCCACATTGAATAACTTCTTATCTGACCAAACAAAGACTGTATATAACACACTGCATCTCCAACATTATTTTCCCTCTGCTTGGAGGCACTTGAGAGCAGCTGTTGTCATTAAATCTTCTCTGGTTTTAGCCCTAAATCCTCTTTCATAATCCTCTTAGCAACCACTCTGAAATATCCAGTTCTTTTGCAATCTTACTTATGCTTCTTCATGGCTTTCACTTTGCCCTCGTCTTGATGTTTTCAATGACTCTCCTGATACAAACTAAACTGTTTTTCCTGGAACTGGATTTGGTGAGGTTTAGTCCTCTTAAAATTTTTTTCCACACATTAAAAACAGTTTATCTGCAAGCTTTCAACTGTTTTATTACCTTACTATTCTTTGTACCTGCTATTTTCAATGTGACAATTTGGTCACGTTTTGTTTGAGCCACTGTATTAAAACATAAACAAAAGATTCTCAAGAAGTCTTATGCAAAATGTGAAACTATTTTTACAAATAGGTATGTTTCAGTTTATGTTTAAATAATCGGTAAATATTTATGCCATTCATAGTACATAATAATTTTATTCGTATGATAATTTAATTTACTAACTTTGAAGATCATAGAAGACGTTCCAATCCATTTTGTTACATTAATGTTACAGATGATTACATTTTAATATTCTCATATAATTTATAATTTTTACTGAATACTTTTACAAGACAAGAGATTATCAAAAGTTTTTTTTACATAAATTACATGATGATAATATGTTATGTGACAAAATATTCACAATAATAATAATAATAGATGCTCTTATGCATACGACAAACATGGCTCTTATGGCTTCTAATCTTGACTGAAGGGTTTTTTTTGTTTTGGTGAATTAAGATGGGGTACCGTAAATATCCCATTTTGTATCACAGATTTACTTGTCATTTACCTGACTGTAATAATCTAGCAGGATTTGGTAGTCAAGACAACTTTGGAGTCACATCTAGACACTTGAAAACACCCTGAATTAGAGACCCTGACTGGGTTAACCTGCCTGAATGTATTTCTAACTGGGCTCTATCTGTAAGGTTATGCACTGCTTTTATTAAAAGCTGTCAATGTACCACAAACACATTTGGCTGGAATGCATGTGCCTGGTATGACATTCTTATCAAACTGGGTATCATGATGGTAATATTAGGCTTCATATATTTGTACCCCAACATTATTATGATAGCATGCTGCTCTCTCTCTCACACGATAATAACAATAATAATAATATGGGCACTTGGCCGAGTGGTTAGAATGTTTGCTTTCTGACCACCAGACCTGGGTTCAAATCTAACCATGGTCGCTTTGTCAGAAAGGTAACTTCTTGATGTTATCGATCTGGAAGAAGCAATCCCAGCATGCAGCACTTTTGGAAAATACCTGAAAACCATACCACGAGTTGACCCAAGCCTTGTGAGTGAAATTGGGTAGACAGAACCCTTGGGAGCCTTGTTCAGATTGCTGATCACGCTAGATACCATGCTCTCTCCTAGAAACTTTAACTAAGGTCTGCTCAGCATAGTTGCAGTATAAACTACACGTGGGCTCTGTGGGTATTGAACAAACACTAAATGCACCTGAACTAGTGTCTGCAATAGGGATTAGCTAGCCACCCTAGTAGATGGGTATACTCAATATGAGTGGCCAGCCATTAATTAATAATAACAATAATCTTTGCTACACTAGAGCTTAGTGAAATGTATGTATTAAGGGATTATATTGATCTTGGGTAAAAATAAAAGCTATAATTAATCTTGGATATTCATGAACTTATAATTAATACCAGATACCAGAACATTTTATAAATCTATAATTAACGTCTGATTTTACAGTGGGCATTCATAGGTTATAATAAGAAACTTATAATTCACAGTGGATTTTTATAAACCTATAATTAACACTAGATTCTATAGTGGACATTAATAGAAAGATCCTATAATTAATACTGGACTTTTATGAAACTATAAATAAAATCAGATTTTTTATACACCTATAAATTAATATCAGATTTTTGACAAACCTATTATTAATGTTGGATTATTTCTTTTAAATCTATAATTAATATCAGATTTTGATTTTAATTTTTATAATTAATGCCAGATTTGACAGTGAGTATTAACAGGTTAAAATGTTCACAAATCAATGGAATGGCCACAGTGTTCTTTTAAAGCAGTTAAACATTTTGTATCTGTCTATATTTCTGAGATGAGGTATTATGTACACTATTTACATTATTCGGACTATTGTCCTCATCTTTGTCACCATATTTATTATAATGTTTCAGCCGTTGTATGCTCCAGCCTTCTTCAGGTGGATGGAATGTCGAACTGAACCCTTTATTTCTCTCTCTGTTCTAGTTCCAAAGAGGGTGAGTTCAATACCCGGTTAAGGCAGTAGCGTACTTGGAGAGGGGAATTAACAGGAGATAACTGACAACTGACATCCATTAAAACATGGCACATGGAGCTAAAACAGTCTACCCCAGTGAGCAAAATAAAGGGTTCAGTTTGACATTTCAACCATCTGAAGAAGTCCGGAGCATACAATGGCTGAAACATTGCAATAAATATGGTGACAAAGATAAGGACAATAGTCCAAATAATGTAAATAGAGTAAAACATTTTATTGAAAATCTAAGAAAATGTTTGAATAATCCTTAAATGGAAAAGAACAGCACACATGCAGCTTACAGTAAAATTTAAATTCATAACCCACTTTATACAACACAAGTTCTCTAAACCAGTGATTTTCAATGTGAGCCCAGAGAAATATTTTCAATGGGCCTAAAGACACCAGGAGCAGTGTAGTCATTAGTCAGGATTTTGTATTTTCTACTACATTTTGCTTTTGTAAATAAAATGTATTTCCTGTTACATGGAATTTCTATTTGTGTTTATGTGGTCATGAAAAGTTTTGGACACCAAAAATGGGCTGCAACAAAGAAAAGGTTAAAAAACACTGTTCTAAATCATAAAACCATACAAGAGGGCATTTCTTTTCTTTTAAGAAGAATGATTACAACAAATTAATAACTAAAATGATATTGATTACAATGTTATTTTAAAAAAAATAATAAAAGGTGTTCTCCAAACCATTAGGTGCTTCTGGGGGTAGAGTGTAAAGAAAGTTGAATGTTTTTCATTTGTATTATCCAAAGAACTCAGTTGAAGATTAGTAAAAGTGAAAGGTTCCTTGGTCAAAAGCATAAAATTCATTGATGTCTGAGTGAGGTTTATCAATTTCAGTGAAGATGTCATCATTTTTTTTTCACAAAGCTGCAATATAAAAATTAAAAATGATCATATTAAGACCTGACTATCATGTCCTAATTTGTTCTAAGATCAAAAATTAGGAATTAGAATTTATTAATAAAATTTTATGCAATGATGGCTATCTTTGGATGTAGTGCATTGCATTTTTTCTATGATTCAACAGTTCTATAAAACAAAAAGTATTGGGTTTCAATAAATGTCCCATATATTTAAGATTACCTTGAATTGGAGAGGTTGCTATGAGATTTTCTAAGCAAATCTTTGTCAGTGTTAGGGATTGTTATTTTGCTACCAATTCACATATCATATTCTCAGACAAGGTTAAAATTCATTCATAAATATGGCTATATCTCTTTCAAACTAGTTTTGTTATTTATCTATTTAAGTATCAGTGTCAGGGTGACTACATCAGTAGGACCACCCAGAGAAGAGAATTGGCAGCATACATTAAGTTAACTTGAAAATTTGTATAAGTGTTCTTTTACATCCAGGGCTGCAGTCTCCAAACATCTTGTTAATAATTGGTAATATATGTTGGCCAACTGTGAGGATATGCTTTCTGTGTTGAATAAATCATATTCTGACTTTCATCTAAAAGTTTTTAAGACAATTTTATTAAATTAATTGTAAACAAAGGAATGGTTGTTGGGTCTCAGTTTGAACTGTTTATAACATAAGTATACAAATCTTAATATATTATTAATATATGTATATTTAGCATTCTGCTTCCATTTGATCATATTATATTATTATTATCTTCAATTCAGTGAATAATATAGGTCAAGAAAGATTTCAATGCATTTTCCATGTAATAGTTACTTTCGATGGCAATTTTGTGCAAACTAAACACCAAGGTGGATCACAGAAGCCTTGAATAAGCCTCCAACTTCTGATTGGCTAATATATGTGAAAAACATAACACCTACACACAAGTGTTCAAAGTCATTTTACCACCAAAATCTGGTTATGTGTTCTCAAGCCTATCACGTGATTCACATTAATTATAAATACTTGGACACATCTTTACTTTTTCTCTTTTGCCTTCTCTCACATACACGATGTAGCTCAGTAGAGAGGTCATGTTTTCTCCCTTTGGGGAAAACACTATGACGCACACACATATGTATGAACATCACACATCTACAAGCATCTAGGAACATTCATTCCTTCAACAACAAGTACACAAAAACTTATCAACTTCTAACAGTGAGACAAGGAGAATTTAACTACAATGTACACCACTGTCGAATACATTTCTCACTGTTTGATATTTATTTCCAACCAATGAATTTTTCATCAGTAATAACTTATCTTACAACTGTTAGCTTGAGAGTGCATAAACCTCAAAACTCTCAGCACATTTTGATTCAACAGATTGCTCGGCAAGGAATTCTCGATAATTTATATTAAATCAGAATTTATATTATATCAGAAGTGTAAAGTTTAAAAGTTTCTCTTTAAGCATGAATCACAGCTTTTGGTCTTTAATTTATGTTCAAGTATTTTTCTTACTCGACAAACTTTCAAGAATTATCTACATTGAACCTTTTGTAGAAGAACAACACTTCTTTGACAACTTTCCTTTCAACTGGAATCTACTTTTGTCAAGTAATTTTGAACTATTATCTTATTTTCAGACAAAAAAGTATTTTACCTTTTTAAACCCTGACAAAGAATCAATTTAGCAGATAAAAGTAAACAAAAACTCCTACTGCATTCTTAATATTAAAATTCTTAACTAAAAGGATTTGTTTAAAAACAGTTTGTTTGACTCAGAACTGATTTATTCAGTGATGGCAAACAGGAAGAGGTTGTTTAGGTGATGAATGGTGAGAAGTTTAGTTTTGGAGGCAATAAAATTAACAAGCCATTCCTTGTCCCAGTTGACAACAGACTGCAGGTCATTTTTTATATCAGCTGACAATTTGACGTTATTGAGGTTGAGAAATGATGTCATGAGAAAGATTTTTGATGAAAATTAAGAAAAAAGTAGGTTTAAGGATGAAGCCCTGGGGGTCACCTGCATTAGTACAAAAGGATCTAGAAGAGTGGCCATTCACAACAACTCTTATTTCATGATTTGATAAGAATGACTTTGTCCTGGCTATGATGATAAACTATATCAGGTAGCAAGGCCTCTGATTGGGAGATTGGAAGTTTTGAGGAGTCTTGTACCACCACTTAAGTGAGATTGTTCCCAGGTCCACCCTGACTTGGGTGGTATTGTCTGTTAGTGTCACACCTATGGATAAATAGTGAACCCCCTCCCAAACAAAAACAAAAAACTCTGAAAGTATAAATATACATTTTTAGTAAAAATACCAGCAATATATATTTATATAAAAAAATTACCAACAATACATTTCATTTGTAGTTGAAGACATACAATTGCTTTCAAAAATTTTAGTAGAAGCCATAAAATTGTGTTCAAAATATTTAATTTTGGCATTAAATAACCCACAGAGGTTGACATGCAACTAAACAAAATCAACCAAAAAGCCAATGTGAAAGAACTCTTTCATGACATTAATCCATATAAATGTCCTACAATTTCTTAAACTGTATTCCAAAATATAACTACAACATAAAACACACATATCACCACGTCTAGTAATCATGTCCTCACAAATATGTATATGCACAAAAGCTGAGTATCATCTACCATGTATTCAATTGTGAAAGCAGAATAACATATATTTTTATTGCTTCAAAGCTCCCAAGGAAATTAAATTTCAGCATTAAATGACCCATATGGAGTTGATATGCCATTAAACAAACAAATCAATCAATCAATAAGACTGAATCAGATGAAAAATTTGTCTGGAATACCATAGCCTTTCAGCTTGTGAAGAAGACCAGCATGCTAAATCCTGTCAAATACTTTTGAGATGTCCAAAGCAGCGGCCAGAACTTCACCAGTCTTACCTAAAGCTTGACAGAATCTTTCAGCAATAATCATTGCTATTGCTGAAAAGAAACGAATCATGAATTAACAATAATATTGCAGAAGTAAATCATTAAAAGATCTTTGTCTTTCATGACTTACCTTGTTATTCTCTAAGAGTTGACACAGGTTGCATTCAAAATATAGTTGATCTTCGCCCATAAAATCTACATAAAGCCTACAAAAAGAAATAAAAAGGTTTTTTTTTTTTAACAAAAGATATTAACCAATATGTTAATATTTACTTTTATTAATATTTTTATTAATCACCCTTGGCAACACACTTGCTATTACAATGATGAAGGCATTATGCAAAAATGAAAATTCAAGCTTAACCCCTTCCCTGGCATAGACATGTATGTACGTTTTTACCGAAAATGTCTTTTTCAGACACAGACAAATAAATATGCCCAAAACATAATGTTCAAAAACCAGTTACAGACGTGTTTATATATTGATGTTGATTATTTTTATGCCCTTTTGGGCTTGAAATGTGTCCAATGTGTCAACTCGAGGTGTTCACCACCACTCGGGTACTTCAAGTTGCCTCAGTTTCTTAGTTAATATATTAAAAACAAATAAAATAATTTGTCTGAAAAGGAAATGTTTTTCCCAAAATAATTGGCAGAAAAGGGATTAAAAAGAAATATAGTTGAAACCTGTTGAATGAGAAAACAAAAAAAAAATCCTATGTGACACGTTTCATCCTTTAAAAGAAATTCTTTAATGTTTTCAATGATGGAATCTTATATATGTCTCAGGAGGGAACAAACTACAACAATTGTTCTCAGTTATATTTGTTGAAAGACATGCATTTATGACTAATGCTAACCTCCAGGAGGGTGACTCATTTTGCCTTCTCAGGCTAACATTTTCCACTGACATGAAACGGAAAGATTATATCAAATCAATTGCTAAGTCTGTTGCTTGGAACGTAAGGTCCCTGTGTCATGCTAGATAATTTTTTTTTAATCTTCATCCTTACTTTAAATATGGCTGCCACATCTAGTTTCATGCTTCTGCTATATTAGAGATTCTTGTTAAAATCCAAAGAAGAATTTGCATTGCCTGAAATTAGTCTTGACCTGGCATCTTGGTTTAAGTCACTTTCCCACTGCTGTAATGTAGCTTCCCTGTGCCTTTTTTATAAATACTTTTGTGGTAAATATTTTGATGAACCTTTCTGTTATCTAGACCTTATGAATTCCAGCAAAGTACTAGATTGGTTGAAATATCCTATCATTTTACAGTGGAAATATCTAGATATAACTATAGGTTCTATGATAACAGTTTCTGTTCTCGCACTTCTCGCTTCTGGGGATCTCTTCTGGCTTATTGCTTTCAAGTCAAGTTTGATCTGCAAAAATTTAAATCCAATGTCAATTGTTATCTTCTGTCTTCTTAATTCTTGTTTATTTATTGTTCTTGCTTCTTAATAATGGTTTTTTTTTCTCATATTCTTTAATGCTCAGTAAAACTCCTGCATGTTAGTGGCTTTGTTGCCTTGCTTGGGGTGAAATTTTAATTAAGATTTTAAATCTTTGGTATTTGTTATGTGTAGTAGATGCATTACCTTATCAACCTGATTTAATTTTTGTTTCTATTTTTATTGATGTCATTTTCACATCTTCTTATAATTCCTTTCTCTTTTGAGTCGACAGATTTGTAAGAATCAGAAAAAAGAAAGAAGTCTTCCTGATTTTAATATTTTTTATTTCACTCATACTAAAATATTTGATAGACTCCAGAAGATAAATAGACCACAAAAATGTATCATGAAAGATTTTTATCATCTCCTTCTATGTGTTCAGGACAGAGGCAATCATGGCTCTCCACAATTTCCTATCTTTTGTAGCTTTTAATAAATTTTGTCTTTTTGTTATCTTTCCTAAACATTGGTGTATCATCCATTTACTCAAGTTCACTAAGTAGGTTATACATTTTTTTCCTTTGTTCCTCTTATCTTCAACCTGTCCTGTGAGTATGGAATTTTCCAACATGTTTTTCTTCTTTTACTAGCCTAGAAATTTCAACTTTCTCTTCCTGGTGTTAAGTATAAGTTTCCTTTTTGTTTCCATTTTCTCCATTTTTCCTTTTTGCTTCCATTTTCTCCATTTTTTCCATTAAAAATTTGTTGTTGCTCACATGTTCAGATCATGGTATCCTCAGCATCCTTCTGTAGAACTACATTTCTGTTGCTTCAAGTTTCTTCTTTATTTACTGCTATATAAGAAGGTTGATATTACATAAGATTTCATTACTTTTTACTTGGTTTCGAAAAAAACTTTCCTGTTTCTTAATAATTTGCTTAGCTTTTGGAATGCATCTTTCGCTATCCTAATATGCCTTGGGAATTCAGTGTCACACTTTCCAAGCTATGTTAAAGCACTTTCTATATAAACAAATTGTTGTACTTGTTTGATTTTGGTATCTGCAATTTGTAATTTGCATGTGTTTTTCTTTTGCTAACACCAAAGGTAAATAATTCCTATTTTTCTTTTTTATGTAAATAAGTCAAGTAATGAGAGTACAAATGATGTTTTGGATTTATTCTATTCTTTTGTTTACACAAAATATTAAAAAAAAAAATAACCAAAGAAATTCAGTTTTCTTTAATTAAAAGGAGAAAAAAAATTAAATAACTTTTTGGTATTTACCTTAACATTTAGATTAATGTCCACGTCCTTGTTGTTACAATAATCTTCTGCAGATATTTGTTAATCTGGGTAACCTTCAGGGAATTTCAAACTGAACCATTTATTTAATCTTCAAGGGTAAATTGTTTTCATTCTCCTGTTCTTATTTCAGGATATTTCATCTTGTTCTTTTTTAGTACAGCTTAGATATTGCTCATCTGTTTTCACTAAATCTAAGTCTGTACTTCCTAGACCAAAGATTGAACTTATGACTACTATGACACCAAATTCACAAGCCAACACTTTAATCCACTAGAACAATCCTTGATTAAAATCTGGAGCCTTAAACCTACTATTCTTATTGCCTGCTTGCTGCTGTTATTCTTGACTGCCTTTGCCACAACTTTTCTTTTATTACTGCTGTTGTTGGTGAAGACTTGTTCTGAAGCTTGGTTCACTCCACCATTAATTCTCTTTGTTTCTTTATTAATGACTCCATTATAGTATTTATTTCTGTGCTGGGCCTACTGAGGAGGCCTTCATAGCCTAGTATATGCTCTGATTCCTGCTGATGGCTGGTTCTTCAGTGTTTTGTTTTTTTCTGTCTAATATTTTTACTTCCTTTCACTGGGTGAGCAATAACTGAGCAGTACTAAAAACAAACAAAAGAAGATCTCCCTAGATATGGACAATGGAATGAGAACAATTTAGAATTCCTAAATATGATAATGATAGTTGTAGTGTGATTACTGTGATCACTAGGGTGGAGATTCTTTCTGCACTGTTTATGTTATAGGAGGAAATAAAATGTTTCAATATAGATGTAAAATATACAATAACTCAAATAAAATAAAAGCAATTAATTGGTTAACAGACAACAACAAAAGCATAAACTCTGATAAAGGGAGATAACCATAAAAAACCTGGCAAGAGTTATATGAATGCCTCCGCAGTTAACCAAGACTGACATGGAATAGAGATGTTGATTGGCTAGCATAGACCAATCACTGCATGTTTAGAACATCATATGACACTTTGGCTTTCTTCACCAACTTCAAGAGCTCTATTATTCTCTTTTGTCACCAGCCTTCTTCAAGTTGAGATGTGGATTTGATCTCTTCAAAAAAACCTGGACAGCAAACAAAGTTTCCTTTTAGGAAACAAAGTCTCCTTACCATGAAACACAAGTCACCTTACCACAAAATGCAAGTCTCTTTAGCATGAAATTGCAAATCTCCTTACCACCAAATACAGAAAGCAGATGAAGAAAGAAAGCAAGACATTCTAGAATATTTTCCACCCACAAGTTAGACCAAAAAGGAATCCAGCAAAGGAGTGATTTGTCTTTTATAAACTGGTGAAGGATTATTCAACAAAATAACCCAAACCACCACATATATGCTATATTTTAAACCACAAGACGCCATCATGCAAAAAAAAAAAACACTTTCCCCTATAGCAACAATCAAAATAGTATCTAAATCACATGATTTTGATTGATTTTCCTCCAGAAAATGATAGACAAATATTGGCTGAATTTTCACATTCAACAAAGCAGCAATGGATGTTCTACATTCTAATCTCAACTTATATTTTTTCATCTTTCATAGTCAAACTTTCTACAATTGGCAGCCATTAATCTCCATATGCCACAATTTTAGGCATTGAATAAAAATGTTAATGCATCATAGAATTAAATACTTACTGAGCAGGAAGAACATGAGCTGTCATATGGATGGTCAAAGGGGCAATATCATAACCTTGTGGTCGGGATATTGTAGAGGATTTGTCATTCTCCTGAAATTGGTAAAATCAACAAATTTTAAGAGATTCCTGATATTTTTATTTTATTTTTCTATTATTAAATGCCAGATTTTCCCACTTTTTGTTCCTTGGATAATTGACAAGCATTTTCACATAGCTCTTGGATCATTTTAATTTAATGAATTCATAGAATTTATAGAAAGATGAGTTATTGAATGAAGTTGATCCATTGTATCACTCTCTATACAAACATTATTAAGTACTTTTATAAAAACACATAAAAATCAAGTTTCTTTCCCTGATGGTCTTTTGTACAAGATGCATAAATAATACATTTTTTTAATACAAATGTTCATCCAATTCTAGGCCCAAGAGCCACTCAAAGTAGAGGGTTACTGCATGGTGTTCTATGAGCATAAGAAAGGAGAAGAAGTGAAGTTTTGGGGGCTATGCAGGAGAGATAATGGTTGACCCTAGACTTGAAGAGAACAATATTTTAGTGACTGGGAAAACATCCTGCCAGGAGTCTATTCCACAAAGCAGCAGTTCTTGGGAAGAAGCTGTCCAAGTGGAACTTACTCCTTACTAATGGAATACGAAGGGAATAGGGATGATTCACCCTTTTGGATGTGGCATGGTGGATCCCAGTTGTAAAGGTCTACTGTTGAAATGTTTTGCTTTATTATATTTACATGTAAAAGAATTTAATTGCTTAGCTGCATTTTCTGATTAATAATACATTTTTATATGTTCAGACATTTATGAGTCACAAAACAGCAAGCAGCAAATGATAATGTTAATGAGGAAATTAGCCATTTCCATATTGGAAACATTCAGCATTCATTGATTAAAACGTTGGCATTACTATCGGTTGAAATTTATAAACCTTTTTTCTGAAAACACTTTTTTCAGGAAAATTGGCTTCTCAAATGCACAAATTGTTGTCAGTCTTATTAGTATTAACAGGAGTTTCCTTCTTAACCTTTTTCTTAAGGTCGTGTAGAAAGTCAAATCCTGTTATATCATTATTTTTCCTTCTAGTTAAATATGCTATCCATTTTAGCTGTTGCTGTTGTTGGAAGTCTTCAAGTGATGTGGTTTTTGGTATTTGGTAAAGTTCTTTGGGATTTTGTAGTGCCATTTTATAGGATCTGATCAGGGATTATCTCATTTAAGACCTGAATTTGGTTTTAATCATTGATCTGATAAAACAGCTGATAGTTTAGATATTTCTGAATGATTTAGATGTCATTCCTAGTATCTATATCAGGATCTACATCAAATGAAGCTATTATGTACTTGATCTAAAATAATGTTTACATAAAATACTCATTGACAGAAAAAAATTAAAATTTTTTAACTTTAATAGTGCTCATAAAAATTGCATAAGTATACTTTAGGGTTTGATATAGAGTTGAGTTGGCTAGATGTAGCTGTATGTTCTATGCCTAACTGTTTCTTTTCTTGCATTTCTTGATGATTGTGGAACTCTCTTCTGGTTCCACGCTTTCCAGCCAACTTTAACATTTCAAAAATTTAAATGCAATGTTAATTGCTTTCTACTGTACTCCAGATTACTCTTCTTTCATTCTTGCTCCTTAGTTTCTGTTTCCTAATTTTTCTGCACCAGTAACCACTTGTGTCCTTGTGGCTTTACTGCCTTGCTTAGGGTGAAATCAATTTAAAAAAAAAGCATACCTTAGTGTTTGATATATTTATTTGTCTGATGAGAATTATTGCTGATGAATATTTCATTGCTTTTGTTTTGGCAGCTCTATCAACAATACCCAGTACCTTGCCTGAAGGTAGGCATTACAATTATTTACATTTTACAATAACCATCAAATAATCTATTCATTTATATTCTTTGAAATTACTATTTTGCAATAATGCAGTAAAAACTAAATAAATAGAAATTATAAATTCCAAGAGTTCTTCAGCCTATGAAAGTCATTTTTGTGTTGATTTTGTTATTACCTTAATGGCAAAGGTAATGGTAAAATTAACCATTTACATACAGGGAACATTCGATATTTATTAAAGGAGCAGTTAGCAATACTGTTGGTTGAATTTTATAAAATTCTTTTCTTAAAAGACTTTTTCAGGAAATAATACCAGTTGAGAGAATCTGATCAGAAATCACTAATAAAAATAAATTTAGAGACACAGATGTGGAAACCGTCTAATAATCATAAGCACATATGTCAGCCTTTTTAACAATATGGATAAACTAGTATTAATATATGATTCTACTGGACATAAAGTCGGGGATTCAGTCATCTATTGTTATTTGGTAATAAACTGATCCCCCATAATATGTACACATTAATCAAATAATTGGAAAATTTATTTGAAGACACAGATGTAGAAACCTTATAGTCATAAGGACTTAATAAAATATGTCAGCCTTTTTAACAACATGGATAAACTAGAAATAATATATGATTCTATTGGACATAAATCCGGGGATTAGTTTTCTGTTGTTATTTAGTAATAAACTTTGATCTTCAAAAATTTAAATGCAATGTCGATCATGATCTTCTGTCTTCTTAATTCTTGTTCTTTTATTGTTCTCTCTCCTTAATAGTAGTTTTTCATATTGTTGTAACCTAGGAAAAGGTTACTGAATAAGAATAACCAAAATGAAGGTTGGAAATGGAACAATAATATTTATAATGGAAACAGCATACAAGATTTGCCAGCAGCGTGTAGTAAGTAATCAACTGCTCGTGGTGAGCTACAAGTGAATCCCAGTGAATCCAACATACAGTATATTACACTGTATTTATACAGATTGGGACAAAACCATTATAGTCTATAGGTATGGAATATTCTTTAATACTCGGTAACCCCTTATATCCTAGTCACTTTATATACTATATGTGGCAGCAATATTCAAAGTAAGGGTGAATATTAGACTTGAAAATATGTAAGATAGATTCTAGTGAGCAAAAGTGTTTAACATCACATATTGAACGAATCTTTTCAGCTGCAGGCTTAGCTGTTGATTCAGTATACTCTTTCCACTTCATGTCAGCTGAAAATGTTAGTCCGAGAAGGGGAAATAAGTCACTTTCCTGGAGGTTAGCATCAGCCATGTTGATGGACAGTAAAAATTTTTGTTTTTAAGGCTATGAATTAACATGCCACACTTTGCCCCATTTAAGAACAAACTGTAAGTCATTTTTGAGATCAGCTACCAATTTGACCTTATGGAATCAATTAGACTTACTATTAAGACAAGAGTAAATAGCTGTGTCATCAGCCATAGATACCGAGTTGAGAGCTGGTGACATCAGGGAGGTCTTTTATGAAAATTAGAAACAACATATTATCTTATTAGTAAAATGGTAATTATCTAAAATTTCAGCTACTCCATCTTTTTGCTGGCAGCATGTCTTGCCTGGGTACTTGACTGCATTGGGATTGATTAAATAAATACTAGGAAAAAGTAAACAGATATTTACTGTAGGAATTTGTCATAAATGATATACTATAGAAATGTATTACAAATGATTTTACTATAGGAATGCATTGCAAATGAGTTCACAATATGAATGCATTGCAAATGAGTTTACTATAGAAATGTCCTGACCGGGCATCTCAAATTTTTCAATTCTGTAACAGAGTTTCCCTTTGCCTTTTTATAAATATTTTCATGGTAACTGTTCTGATAAGCTTTCATCTTTGGTACCTCACCTTCACAAATTTAAGTACAATACTAGATTGGTGGCTAGGTCTCATCATTTTACAGTTGAAATTGGTAGATGTAACCCTTAGTTCTATGCTAAGAATTTCTTTTCTTGCACTTTTCACTTGTGAAATTCTCTTCTGGTTTCTTGCTTTCCAGTTAACTTTGATCTTCAAAAATTTAAATGCAATGTCAATTGTTATTTTCTGTCTTCTTAATTCCTGTTCTTTTGTTCTTTCTCCTTAATAATGTCTTTCTTTTTTTCATATTCTTTCAAACTCAGTAACCCTTTGTCTGACTTTATTACGTTGCTTGGTGTGAAATGATTTTTTAAAATTATTTTAATACTGTTACTAATGAACCCTCAGTGTGTAAGAGTTGAGTTTATTAAACAAACATGTCAAAACTTTCATTCACTCTTATGATTGCATCTCAAGTAACAATAAAAATGTAGCAGTCATTTACAATAGGAACACATTATAAATGATTTTACTATAGCAATATATTACAGTTTAATTGAATATGTATAATTATGTTAATTAAACTTTTATTGGACTCTACTTGTCCCTTGGACAACATTGGTGGTGGCATGAAGAAGAGAGACATGCTGCATGAGCAACCACCAATCTCTTATAAAACCCTGCCCAAGCCTGCACCCTGGAGAGGACACTCCAGCATCACCTCACTGTGATGGCAAAACATGGGAAGTAAGAGTCTACTGATGGGAAGATTCTAAAGGTCCTTCTGTATGGGGCACAAGGGCAACTTCATCTTCGTTTCAAGGACATCTGCAAAAGGGATATGAAGATGATGGAGTGGGACTGGGAAGTGGGAAGACATCGTCAACAATTGCTTACGCTGAAGTTGTGATTTACACTGAGTCCTGTAGTGAGAAGAGAAGAAACAGAAGCTTGCTGCCAGGGAGAAGCATGCTTGAAGGAAAGAAAACAACATTGCAACATCGGGGGAAAGCATCTTCACATGTATTCCTTGTAATCGAGATTCACTCTAGTGTAGACCAGTACAGCCATGACAGATGCTGCACCGCCATCAACAGCTGAGACATAACTCTTTGGGCACAGTTCTACGGCCTCTCAAGACTGACAGATGCCATATATAATTATGCCATGGAAAATTATCAATTGTAAAAAGGAATATTGATGTAGTGTGTCTACTTGTAAATAGAAAGAAAAACTTGAGAAAGAAAAAGAATGCATAGTAATACACAATGTTGGATTCAAAGTGTAAAGAAATAGATGCACAAAACCCCAACAATAAATGAGTAAGAAACACACCTAAGAATATTTTTATGACACCTGCTTGTAAAATGTCAAAAGACTGGTGCCAAATGCTTCAATGAAAATGGCAAAACTTTGTTTACAAAATATAGAAATTTTACCATTTCTCATTGGCCAATTTCTTTTAGCTAAAGATAGAACTGAATTCTTCATTGTTTAAATTTGAAATACATACCTCATGGTTACACAAATTCAAGTAGCCAAGTCCAAAAGAAACACAATTAAATTCATGGGTCACTTCTTGTGCCAGTGGAGGTGAAAAGCGTACCGTGACATAGGTTTCATCAGAATTTGCAGGAATCACCTAATAATAAAATTAAATTCATTGCATAAAAAGTTTATTTTCCAATTAAAAACAATAACCAAATCCTGACAAACATTTCTCTTAATAATAATTTAAAAATAATTCAGTAAACAATGTTATTTTATTTATGGTGATTGGATTTTTGGTGATTGCCATATTCAGTTTTTGTCATTCATTACTATGTATCTGAAAAATGTCATGTTTATTGTGGTTGCCATCGATCTTGGTTTCTTGACTGAAATCAAAATGTAGTATCTGTTCTTATCAGCTTAATCTTATTCTATCTTTCCACTTCTATCTTTCCTTCTTTCTTTTTTTCTTTCATTTTCTCACTGAAACCAAGTAGTGTTGTCTTCCCCCCCCTCTTTGCACACAGTCAAAATGGAATAGTCTGTTATTTATGAGATATTGGCAGGGCATAGTGGTCATGCAAATTAACAAAAGGAGGGAAAAGTACAATTATAATAGCATAATTTTCTGCATGCTAATGCTTACTTTCCAGATATATGCATATTTATTCTTAGAAATATATCACTTATACAATAGGTATATTTTTTTAAATTTAATTTGAACTACAGTATAAAAAAATGGCAAGACAGTAAAATTATGACTATTAGCCTCTGTTAAAATTGCGTCTCTAATATTCATAATCAAAAACATGAAATTCTTGCATCAGCTATGCATGCATCACACTTACTTGTAGGTAAACATGTCACATTTTTAAACTTAAAACAACCAAAATACAACTATCAAAATAATAGTGGGTAATACCAAAATATTACATAACACATGCTGTAAAGAAAGACACAACATTTCATTAGCTTTTATTGTACAAAGGAAACAATCTGCATTAAGTAAAATTTTTCACCATTGGCAACACTATTTTAAACTGTATCTAAAATATTTAATAGATGTATAAAATAATAATTATACATGTAAATATTTGATACATTCTTTTCCAGTGCAGTTGAGCTCTGTGAAACCATTTGACACATGAAGTCACTTCCACGAATCACATATATTTGATTTTACTTCTTCCTCTATCAGTAGTGTTCATTCAGGACATAGGCAAACATGGCTCTCCCCTATTTCCTGTCCTTTGTAGTGCTTAATAAATTTTGTCTTTTTGTTATCTCTCGCAAACCCTGTTCAGCATTCATTTATTGAAGTTCACTAGGTAGGTTATGCGTTGTTTTTCCTCTGTCTCTCTTGTCTTTAATCTGTCCTGTGAGTATCTGATTTTCCAAGGTCTTCTTCCTCATTATGTGCCCAAGAAACTTCAACTCTCTCTTCCTGATGTTAAGTATAATTTTTGTTTCCATTTTCTCTAAAACTTTGTCATTGTTCACATGTTTGGTCCATGGTATTCTCAGCATCCTTCATTTCTGTTGCTTCAAGTCTCTTCTTCATCTGTGATGAGATTGTCCAACATTCACTGCCATATTATGACATAACAGTTCAGTACTCTTTTCTTTGTTTCTAATGGAAGCAACCAACAAAATCTTCTCTACCATGTTTTTGCTAACAACTAAGATGGTAAAAAATACTTGAACAAAAACAGAACAAATAACATGAACTTTAGACAGTCTATTGAGAATTTTGATTTGGATGTACAACAAATTTGAAAATTAGAAACAAAAAAAAATTAAACAGACTGACCTTGTCAGTTGAATTTAAGAAAATTTGTTCAAATGAATTCTTGCTACCTAAATAGATGTTATTTAAATCTAGTTCCAAGTATGTGTAAAGCTGAGGTTAAATTTCTTGAATAATTTGGAAAGGTTGAATCTTTTTTTACATTATTCAAACTATATTTAAAATATAGACAGATACTAAATCTTTTTTTGTCATAATCGATCAGATGATTAAGATCATTAATCTAGAGAAAAGAAAACTCATTATCTACATTAGTCACACCCACACCCTTGTCCTCCTCATTGTTATTTTTACCATGTTTCAGTTGCTGTGCCCTCCAGCCTTCATCAGGTATTTGTCAATCCTGATAACTTTCAAGAAGGTCTAAGATTACCAAATTTTCTTAAATAGGATTTTTTTTAGTAACTATTTCATATTTCCTGATATTATTTATCTTTTTCTTGAAACCTATAGTTTCCTGATGACAAGTAAGGTTGGCAACAGCACCATACTAGTTAGTTACATCATCTGCAACAACACCATACTAGGCGATACTGTTAAATTCTTGTAGCTAATAACTTTTAAAACGTGGAGTTGCTAACCTCATATGCAATTGATTTCAATTCAGAGTTATCCTTCTCCTAGATATGTTGTCACTCAAGGCGAGAGTCTGTTATGCTATTTCATTAATAAGCTGGGCATGTGGAGTAGAAGGAAGTGTGTTGTCCCTCTCTAGCCTTCATTGGGTGGTTGTTGATCTGGTTAACCTTCAGGGAAGTTTGAACTGAAACCCTTACTTAACTTTCATTTAATTTGGGTCAATTTAGGCTTAAGCCTGCTACTGGTAACAGACTAACAACTAAGATGGTCGAAAATACTCGAACAAAAACAGAACAAATAACATGACAGTCTATTGAGAATTTTGATTTGGATGTACAATAAATTTGACAGGTGGTTGGCACCTAAACCGGCTCCGCTACTAGATTTTCTGCTAGTGAGGTGGGTGTCCTATCATCCCACAGGATGAAAAGCAAGACCTGTTAAAGGATGAACAAACTTTTTATAGGAGCCAGCAGATATATATATATATATATATATATATATATATATATATATATATAAATTCATTACCCCATATGAATGGCCATTTCACCTCCTAAGGAAAAATTCTTTACTGAGGCTTTTCAATCTTAAACACTTTTTTGTGTTGAAAAGTCTCAGTAAGGAATTTTTCCTTAGGAGATGAAATGGCCATTCATATGGGGTATTGAGTTTCATTAAATGTAAATTATCTATATATGCTCTATAATAAATATATTGAGCTCTCCTTTTGGATCAGTTTTAATATTTTTATTATTAGGGTTCATTTGGATTATTTACCTATGGATTTTTACATATATATATATATATATATATATATATATATATATATATATATATAAGTATTCATCCAAACAAGTTTGATTAAAAAGAACTGATAAAGTCTGTTTAACTTTTTATTATATTTTTTCAATTTTCAGATAAGGTGTTGAGTATTGTGCTTGACCAGTCTGAAGTTCATATTTTGTTATGAATTCTTAATGAATTTAAACAAAATATTAGTTTGGCAGTTAGGTCTCATTATTTTACTGTCGCTTGATGTAACCATAAGTTCTATCTTAATAGTTTTTTTCTCCCACATTTCTTGCCTGTGCCACTCTCTTCCCAGTTCTTGTTTTCCTGTCAAATATTTAAATGCAATGTCAGTCTTCATGTTCCATTTCCTAGAATACTGTTTTATCATTGTCCACTCTGTTCCTTTCACTCTCAGTAACCCCTTGCATCTTAGTGGATTTTATCACCATGCTTGATGTAAAGAGATTAAAAAAAAAATACCTGAATTGACAGGTATATGAAGAAGAGCAGAGAATACAGTGGCCAAAACATTGTGATAATAACAACAAAGATGAGGATATTAGTTTGAATATAAATAATGATGACACTTTATCCAAGAAATTCTTCTACTTGGGTTCATTACATTCACTTATGCACAAATACCCTTCAGAAATGTATGAATTCCCCCAGCCATGGGTTAAATAGTAGGAATTGTATCTGGAAAAATCACTATTATTCTAAAAAATATGCTTCTTCAATATTCAAAATAATTATTCTTAAAATTAAAAAATATGTTTCAGCTTTAAGTAATCTACAAAGGGTTAATAAGCTGTAAAAAAAAACAAATCAATCAATCATAGGAATTCAGACAAAATTTCTTTCCAAATGAAATTCTATTCGTGGGGAAGTAAAATATGAAAAAAGTCTGAATTAAAAAGAGAGTGTCTTACCATTTGCTTTGGAATGATAGTGAACGGTTTGTCTGACTGGGTGCCACTGTGAATATTAACGATTGCTTTTATGAAATTCTCAGAGCCGAATATTGCGTCATTTCTCTGTTTTTGCACTGTTTCAACTGATTCAGAAGAACTTTGTTCAGGAAGAGATTCTAAGAAAGATAATCGTATATAATATCAAACACAAACAATTACGAATGAATACATTAAATTTCTGTCAGAATTTCTGGGATGAGGAGTTATTATTATTTTAAACTATTTAGATGTGGACTATTGTCCTTATTTTTTTGTTGCAGAATCAGCATGGACCTGATGTGATACACCAATGGAAGATAACAACAACAAAGATGAGGACAATAGCCCACATGAAAATAGCATGAATAGTAATGGTAATATTAACTGTTTTCTTATAAGGAAACATTTGTCATTCAAATTGTACTACTATTGGGTGAAATTTCTAAAAACCTTTCTCTTAAAACAATTTTTCATGAAAATAGATTTCTCAGATATGTGTCATAAAATTGGTACTCTTAGGTGCCTAATAAAAAGGGATGTCTTAATAACAGGGGTGGGTTCAGATTTTAGCTCAATATACAAGTGAGTAGTTCTTAATGAAGGGGGATGTTGGAAAATCATTTAAAGGGTCAAAAATTTAGAATCTAAAGAAATGTTTTTTTTGCAGAAACACTTTCCTAACACCCAACCAAGTTTTCTGGACTTCTTGCATTTTCTTATAAGAAATGTCTAGAAATTTTAAAGAAAACTGGACAAAGTTTAAGATTTGTCCCCACCAAAACACAGTGTGTCAAAATGACATTTTTTTCTCTTGACACCACGTTTACAATATACTCTGTTGACAATTTTTATTCTTTTAAAAGATATTTTTTAGAAATGTCAATAAAATCCAAACATATAAAACTGGTTTACATTATTTGGACTATTGTCCTCATCTTTGTCGCCATATTCATTACGTTTCGGCCGTTGTACGCTCCGGCCTTCTTCAGGTGGTTGGAATGTCAAACTGAACCCTTTATTTCACTCACTGGGGTAGAATGTTCTCATTCCACATGCCATGTTTGATGGATGTCAGTTATCAGTTATCTCTTGTTAATTTCCCTCTGAAAGTTCTCCACTGCCTTAACCGGGTATTGAACTCACACTCTTTGGGTCCTGTCACAACACCTTTATCCACTGTGCCATGTGTCCTTGAGGACAGTTTGACATTCCAACCACCTGATGAAGGCTGGAGCGTACAACGGCCGAAACATTGTAATGAATATGGCGACAAAGATGAGGATAATAGTCCAAATAATGTAAATAATGTACATAATACCTCATCTTAGAAATATAGACAGAATATAAAACTGGCTTTTTATGCATACACTTTTTTTCTTGAGTGGTTTCTGTTATTTGGTACAGTTCTTTTTGGGAAAGGTATCAATCAATCCCTTCCCCTCCCAGCTATGAGTTAAATGACAGGACAGACTTGGTCAATGTAATGGCAGCCTACTGTGGTTATTCTTCTGCCAAGTTGATCATAAATCAAAAAGAGACATGACCACCCAAGTGTGCATCCCACCCGGCACCTAACAAAGGAATCTCATGAAAATCAATTATAGATTTTGGGAAGAGGCACTATATTAAAGATTGTATTAGCTTGGATTTTATGGTATCATTAAAAGTAAATTAAATATTGTCATTAGTGAAACAAGATGTTCAAAAATTAGTGATTAACTCATTCAGCACAAGTTGAAAATAAATAACAGCACACCGAAATGTAGAGGAATTTTAATTTTCAATGCTTGTAGAGTCATAATAGGTAATTTGCCTTTTAACCAGAAAAAATTCTTCCATCTTGGAAATTATACAAGTGTTGGATTTTAAGAAAAAAATGAAATTATTGTAAAAGTATTTTAAAGGCAAGAATAATTATTAGGATATTTAGCTGAATAGATATTTTCAAGTTCTTTGAACCCTGACCTCTTGGCTTTTCCCTGTATGATATCTCTGGCCTACAGAGCTCAGAGTAATTAACTAAATGTAGTGTCTGAACGTGTAAAAGTCTTGTTCTAGTTTGGAGACAGATCCTTTCTATCACCAGCATGACTAGGTTGACACACCCATTTACATCCAATTGCAACTTACCTATATCTATGTTTCTTTGTTAGCTCTACGTTGAGTTCATGACATAACATTTTCTTCACTCATATCCAGCTCCTTCAGCTGATGACTCCTCAAATCTATCCAACATCTGCTGAGATATTTTGATCTGCTCAACCTAGAACAGCTGGGCTGGTCACATGATCTAAATTTCACAGAAATGCAACTTGAAAATAAACACTGTGCACCACCATTTGCATTTAGCACAGGTGTAGAGAACCCAATAAAAGTGCTGGTGTCATAGCTCAGATTAACTCCCTCATAGAAGTATACCCAAGTATAGTCTATCATAGTCCACAATAACCAGGGTATAAAAGAGCCTAGTCTAAATTATTGCCCACTATATCAATTTATACCCTACTAGTCTAAATTACACCCTAGGGCAATTTACACCCCTATTAGTATCAACAACTGTTTTTCTAAGTGTGAATGTTATGTGATGATCCAAACTGGCTGATATAAACTTATTCAACAGTAATAAGGCCTCCATGTTTCTATGAAGGAACTAATTTGGTTCAATTAATACAGCTGATGCCTTGTGCATTTCTGTTCATAAGTGAGAGTAGTAGAACACCATCATGGCCGGGTGTTTTTAAAGTTCGAAAGATGAAGCAGTAAATGAGAAATCAGAAAAAGTTGGGAAGAAAAAATTTCTGACCTGGAGCAGACGGACACACTTCCAAACCATCTTCTCCCAAAATGGGAAAGGCATCACCATATATCACTTTGAAGTCTAAAAGCTTGTCATCATCATCGTATATGTTGTATCCAAGCCAGTCTACTCTAATATCTGAGAAGAAGAAAAATAAAGACAATTAATAAAAATGGGAAGATGGTCAATAAAAAGGTACAAATGTAATAGCTGATTGGTATTGGTGAAAAGAGCCATTTTCATGCATGTTGTAACCTAGAAAGGGTTACTAAATGAGGAGTAACCAAAACGGAGGTTGGAAATAGAATAGTAATCTTTATAACATCAACAAAATACAATACTCGCCAGCGACATGAAGTAGGTAAACCACTGCTAGTGGTGGACTACTTAGACAGCATATTTATGAGGATTGGGACATATCCATTAGTGTTCATAGGTACAGTATATAACAATACAGGAAACATTCAACATTTATTGACCAAAACATTATTTTTAGTTGAAATTTATAAAATCTTTTTCTTAACACAGTTTTTCAGGAAAAATAGGTTCTCAGGCCCATTAACTTATATCACTCTCTTTTTCCTTTACTGTAAATGCTCATGTATAAGTTGACTTCATGTATAGTGTGATCCCTGAATTTTTTGTGATAAAAGAGATTTTTTCCCAAAAAGTTTACCTGAGTATAGTGCAACCCACTATTTTCTGCATAAAAAAAAACTGATCATAAAAACTTGCACTATATTTGAGTATATACGGTACCCGATACAAGGCTCAAGAGCCACTTAAGATAGAGGACTACTGCATAGGGTATAAGGTTGTTTTATGGATGTAAGAGGAGGAGGTAGGAAGTGCAGATTATGAGTATAGATAGTGGTTGACCCTAAGCTTGAAGACTGTAGTGATCAAGAAAACATTCTCTTCAAGTCTGTTCCAAATATTTAAGATATATTTGTCATTTTACAGCTTCAAAAAGAGAATAATATAAAATGAATAAAAGACAAGATGCATTTGGAATAAAAGATAATACAAAAAGCTGTCTTGACAAGAATCTGATCAAACCAAAAATGGAGTATTGCTGCCATATCTGGACTGGAGCTACACAATCATCTCCTTTCAGCCTTGACAGAGTTCAAAAGCATCTACACAGTTTTGTTGGTGATGAATTAATATCCAGCCTACAACTCCATTCCAAAATACCAGTGATGATACAGTCTCAAAATAAAAAGCACCATTATTTACATTTGGACTATTGTCCTTGTTTTTGTTGTTGTTATCACACTGTTTCTGCCATTATACCCTCTGGCTTCCTCCATCCAGGTGATTGTTGATATGGGTAACTGAACCCCATATTTAATCTGTGGGTTTAGATTGTCCCTATTCTGCTGTCTATGTCTAAGGATATTTCATTTTGTTCTTATTTAGTACTGCTCAGTTTCTGCTCATCCTGTTTCCACTACATGAATTAAACATATAATGACTGTCACCAAATTCACGAACCAACACTTTAATCAACTAAGCTAAGAACAAGACAAGGCACAATGACTGAAAAAGCTGTCCCCAACAAAGTTGAGTATATTAGTCCAAGTGTAAATAATGATAATTGCTCATACAAGGAATTCAGACAGAACTTAAAAGTATTACATTATTTGTTTTTGAAACAAAATGAATATTAACTACATACCAAAAGGACTTGTGTTACAAATTCTCAGTTTCCGGTCAGTGGAATCATTTCCAGCAACTTCGGACCCAAATCTATCAAGGTAGAAAAGAGGAAAAAAATGATAAAAAACATAACAATAAGATGGAATAAAACAAATAACAGTGAAAAAAAAGGAGGAGTTAGTGTAGATTTTATGAATATTTAGATTCTCATTGAATGATTCGATCAAACCATTAACTGAGACATAGCTACTTTCTGGCTGTACAGTTAATTTATTTGAGGTAAATGAAAAAAGCATCATATATATATCATAGGTAGGTAGGCACAAATTAACATAGTTTTTACTTACCTTAATTTAGGTGCTTGGTCTGTATTTCGCCCCATCATAAGGAACTTGAGAGGTGCCCCAACTACATTTAATATGATTGGAATTTTAACCATTTCTAACTCACCCACCTGTCAACAAAAACAGGATAATCAAAGTTGAGTATTTACATTATTTACAGTCAGACTAATGTTTTCATCTTTGTTGTCATTAACTCAGCATTTCAACCAGTGTGGTCTTCAGCCTTCTTCAGGTGTAAGAGTTAGGGAACTTTGAAGTGAACACTTTATTTAACCTATGGGAATATGTTGTTCTTGTTCTGCTTTCCATTAATCTATTGCCTATAGATTAAATAAAAGGGTTATTTTTAAAATATCCTTGTAGGTTACCTGGATTGCTGGACACCTGAAGAAGTTCAAAAGGTTGAAACAACATAATAATAGCAATAAAAATGAGGACATTAGCCTGACTGTAAATAATGATAACTCCTCATTCCAAAATTCAGATAAAGATAATGAGTTTTAATGGTTAAGTTAATAAAGGCACCACTTATTAGTTATGTTAAAACAAGATCTTGATCAATAAAATGAGTGAGAGAACTTCACCAAACAATAGGGTATTTCAACTTAAGAAGAAATAATGCCTAAACGTTAAATCTACTTTGGCAGGAAAGGGAGACAAGCTTCTGCCATTGCTTAGACCACATCCATTAAGCTGAGAAGTAGGAGTCTAATATCAATATTGTTGTTGTAAACCAACATATGTATTAACATTTTTATCAGAGATGCAAATCTCTCAAAGGACATTTAAATTGATATAGAATGTTGGTCTTTCATAAGATGCTAGTTGACAGAGAAGAATTGTTTTGGATAACTAGGTTGGTTGTATTAAATTTAGTATAGTATATAATTAATTTTATTTTTTTTTACTTGGATCAGTGGGGGATATATTAGTGTTTATGAGTCTTTTTAGAATTTTTTCCTCCTGCTTATAGTTAGAATGTATTTGATTACAGTATAGTAGTTTGATATTTTTCTTGATCAATTTTCTACAGCCATCAAGAAATTAATTTGTGAACTTGAAAGGATTAAAACTAAAATAAATAGACATAATATGTCTAAATTATTTAATATATAATTTATTTTAGGATATTACACATAAAACATGTCAAAATCACTAGACAATTGCAGTTATGTTTTGATGTGTATCAATGCATCTTATCAGATGATTGTAAATTACTGGCGAGTGAATGATTTAGATTTAAAAGCAAAATACAATCTCTTTTTACAAAAAAGAAGAAAAGCGAGGATTGGGGGTTATAAGCCCACAAACCTTATACCCCACCATTTTTCTTTTTCATAAAGAGTGGTTGTATTTTGCTTTTAAATCTAAATAAATCGTTAACTTGCCAGTAATTTACAATCGTCTGATGAGATGCATTGATACACATTGAAACACGACTGCAATTGTGTAGCGATTTCTCAAATTTACAAGCCTTGACATTCTTGCTCTTGTATATATAAACACATGCAGCATTATAAATTCCATATTGCCTTGATAAAGACCATCAGAGGGTGAAATGTGTCAGCTAAGTATAGTTTTCTCTCTTGTCTCTTTTTATTCATATAAATAAAATAAAATAAAATGAGTTAAAGTTAAATAAAAGTTAAAAATAAAAAATAGAAATATAAAAAATAAAAAATATACACAAAATTTTTTAAAACCTAATATTAAAATTTTTCTTTTTCTTTCTTCCTCTTTTAATATTAAAATTTTTTCCTTTTCTTTTCACTTTTTTCTTTTTTCCTGTCCCCTTTCCTTTAATCTGGATAAATTGACTTCATTTATTAAAGAAATGTTGGTCTGAAGAGATGAATATAATTTTGTATATCCATAGATTTTTAAGGATCGTATATATATATATATATATATATATATATTCATGAAATACATCTGTTTGATGCCCTGGCACACATCATCAGTGATGTTTTTAGCTGAGGATCATTTTTGGTTTTGGGTCTTACGACATCATAATCCTTCTCCACATCAACAATCAATATTGATCATATATTGACTTGTGTGTGCTAACCATCAGTTATAACTCTGTTCAGAGTATAAGGCTAATCCACTGCAATTACTCAAACCTTTATAGTTCAATCACAAGCAATTTCTGGTTCATCAGCTTCTTAGTTCTTCCATAAAAAATCTGAGAAGACATATTTGTAATTTGGAAAAGTTGATCAATAAAATCTTACAATATTATTAACCAGAACTATGAGCATTATACTAACTTTATAACATGGAGGTATTGAATGATACAAGCCAATCTTTCCTCCATTGAGCTGTGAGAGCTTGGTCAGAGGAGAGATCAGCTGCCAGGATTTGGTCATCTAGATTTTTGAAGGTGCACCTGTAAACTGTAGAATTGGAAAAACCAAGTAAGAATTTTAGCCAAGACTGTTTATGTTTACTTAGAATTATACCCTAGGTATGAAACCATTTTTCCCTTTGCTACATCCCACTGTGACATATCTCATTGTTGGTATGCCACAAGAGTTAACAAAGTGTCGGTGAATAAGTATTTCAGAAAGCCATTGTACCCTAACTATCTGACCCGGCATCCAGGCAGTCAACCTGATAGAGAGCAAAAATAAAATTTACCTGACAGCAGAAAGTATCTGAATATTGACCCCACATGTTGTGAATGGCAGAAACTTGAATAACTACAGAACCATATGCAGAAAGACTGCCACTTTTGGGAGTTATCAGGAAGGCGGCACCATTGTTGTCTCTCAAATAGGAATTCTTCTCTTCTGTAAAGTTTCACATGAAAAATCAAATACAAGCATTATTGAAATATTTTGGGATTTTACATGGCCTGGAACATTTTTTTCCTGTAATAAGAATAAACTTTGACAAAGCAAATATTAATAAAGAATTAACTTGCTGAAGGTAATCAATATTTTGTAGAAATTTGTAGGATTGATCTTTAAAAATAAAATAAAATACATCATCATCAACATCAACAACAATAATATCATCATCAGCAGCAATCCAGGTGTGGTCATAGGTTTGCTGCACAGCTGAGCCACTTAACTGCTTCCCTCCACATATCTAAATTGAAAGCTAAAGAAATATCCCTTTATGCATAGCATGGCTTGGGCAATTAGATCTGACAGAAAATTATTAATAAGATACTGAGTGGGTACTAACCTAAAATAAAATTTAATTAATTTATAATTTACAGGAAAGAAAAAAAATTACACTGCATATAAAACATATATAAAATTATTAAAATCAACTTTTAAACATCTATAGTTACTATTAGAATTTTTACACTCTTCAAGTAATATACTTTCAAATTGAGCTGAAAATTTTTCTGTTAAATATTTGCACACATTTTGTGTCTACTATTAGATCCACACACTATGTATAAACAAAAGGACAATGTATAAATTAGTCAGTGACTGTCTGCTACATGATAATCTGAGTAAAATCAGATGTAACAGTCTGAGTTAAAGTCATTAAGAAATCTTTCTTCATAAGAAGAAGCTAGACTTAAAAAAATAATTTCTAAAAGCTCTCAACTGGAATATAAAAATTTTTGATTTAAATTTTATCCGCTTTTTTCTATTCTTTTCCATTTTCTTTGTGGATGAGTTGAATATTTTTACAAGTTCATTTTTTAACTCCCTCAACCTTCCATGTTTTGAAAATGTATATATATATGTTGACAACAGGCAATATGTTTTGTAAATAAGTATGTTTTGAAAACTTATATATACGTTGACAGCAGGTGATATAACTTTTGTAAATACGTATATGTATGCCTACAGCAGCAGAAGTGTTATGTGCATTGATAAGACAGGAGATTATGTTAAAAATAAATATTTGTAGTGTCAAATGCACTAATAAACCACAATGAAGAGAAGAAATTATTTATATATTATGGTGAATGAAATGAATTCACTGTTGAGTTTGGATGAAAAGTAGTGCATGGAAATCTGTATTCTTGCATTCAGGTGAGTTGAGAACTTTCTGCCTCAATAATTAAATTGCAATGTTCAAATTAAATGGCCCAAATCTTGATAAAACATACAAAATATATATGCTCACCTGTGTCTATACTGGTTAAAAAAGTTCCTGGTGGTTTTATATGATTCAACTTTTTCCAAATTGAATCTCTTCTGGAATGACTTTGAAAAAAAAAAAAGAAAATTTCAATTGAATAAAGAAGAAAATTTATATTTGCAGTCTTAAAACCTGTAAAGCACAAAGAAGCATGGACCTGCCTCTTAATTTCTGCTGTTCCCAGGTCCACCCTGACTCAAGGTGGTAGCACCTGTTAGGGTCCCATCTATGGGTAAATAGTGGACATCCAAACAAAAATCAGTATTACATTTTGATAATAAAATGGCCAGTAATACATTTTTTATAGTAAAATGACAATCAATACAACACTAAAAAAGTATAAAAATACGTTTTTATAGTAAAATTATCAGCAATACATTAAAAAAAGAAATACCAACAATAGATTTTGCCATTTACATACTACATATCTTAAAAACATACATTTACCCTGAAAGTATAAAATTATGTAGAAAATATTAGTAGTTAAAAGCATAAAATTGTGTATAAAATATTTAGATTTTGGCAATAAATAACACGTACAGGGTGCGGTGGATAAATTGTCATCTAAATTATGCAAAAATGAAAATAATGCTTACATTTCATTTTAACAGATATATTTACCAAAGTTACACAAAAATATCTTGAAATACTAAAGAGTAAATTTATTTAATAAAATCTTCATTGGCTTCAATCATGGTCTCCAGATGACTTTGAAATTTCCTGCAACTCTTCTGGACAGTCTCTTACTTAAGTTAGTGAATGCTGCCATAATCCTTGCCTTCAGTTCATCTTTGGTATTACAAGGAGTTTCTCTCGCTCAACTGTCCTTTGCTTTTAATAAATTTTGTCCTTGTGTTATTTCTCTTAAACCTTGTTCTGCCATCCATTTACTCAAGTTAAGTATGTTATGCATTGTTTTTCTCTTTCCCTATTGCCTTCAATCTGTCCTGTGAGTACCAGATTTTATAAGCCTTCTTTCTTCATTATTTGACCTAAAAATTTCAACTCTCTCTTCCTAATGTTAAGTATAAGTCTTGTTTTTGTTTCCATTTTCACTAAAACTTTGTTATTGCTTGCATATCCAGTACATGGTATCCTCATCATCCTTCTGTAGAACCACATTTCTCTTGCTGTTTAAAAAATAGAGATGTCTATTGAAACATGTATATCCACTGAATATAATGCTCACAGAAAAAAGAAATAATGTCAGATTATAAATAGAATCTACTAATTCCTTAAAACATCTTACTTATTATAAAATGCAGATTGTGTGTGTGTGTGTGTGTCTGTACGTTTATATATTGGATCAGATTTCCTACATTTTTCAACCGATTTCAACAAAACTTCACAGGACTACGTAAAATTACCTTGCGGTGGTTCTGACAGCACCAAAAATTGGAAAAACAATTGTTTTTGCACAAAATCAATTTGAAAACACGATTCTGTCGCCAGAATGAAAGGGGGACAACTCATGTCGACTTATACTTATTATAAAACCCAGGTTGTTTGTGCGTGTGTTCGTTTATATATGTGATTGGATTTCCTACATTTTTCAACCGATTTCAACAAAACTTCACTTTTTTTGGCAGGTAGTGTTTCTTATTGTCTTCCACACTTTTTTCTTTATTTTTACATTGAGAATGCTTTAAAAATTCCATTTACAAGACAATTGTTTATAATAAAATTCTATTCAATCGATAGACTCATAACGATTGAAAACAATGTTTTTGTTTGAGTTTGGGTTTGACCAATTCGTAAAATAAACAAAAAAAAAAACTAATTAAGACATGCGTGTCCATCAACCTTAAACAATAATCTTTGTCAATTTTATTTTTCAGTCTTTATGATGGTTGATACTTGATCTATCTCTTACTGTTACATCCCTGGGCAACACTGGGCTCTACTGCAAGTTTATTTATAAAACTCATAGACTGTTCATTGCATTGACAAGGCATATTGGTTTATAAGAGTATTGTTTACTTTCAGTTTTTATGTGCCATATCCCCTCAAGATTTGGGTGATCATGAAAGACAAACTCACATGTTACATGTTTCAGCCCTTGATTTTGAAATAACTTCTTTATCTAATAATGATTTTATTGACCGATTCTTATATATTCAAGGTGCATTCCAATAGTTTTGAGACCTTTTTTTATGAGAGATAGTTATAACTGTCCTTGATTATTGAAATCTTAATATATCATACAGTAAGTCAATACATCTATACATCTAGTAAGTCAACTAAGTTTTTAATTCCAGAGTGAAGGACATGGCTGTAACAGCACTTTGAATACACCCTGCTAAACACTGCTTGTCATAGCTGACTAGTTTGGAGAATGCAGTCAGAACCTAAAGACAATTTGGAAGGTCAGTATGCAATAAAGTTTTGTGTTGATAGAGATAGACATCAAAACTGCCCCTCACCCTTCCTACAATCTAGTCCTTGCTCCCAGGTGACTTTTGGTTGTTTCAAAATCTGAAGGAGAAACTCAGTCATTTTGAAGTCATTGAAAATATGAAGGAGGCTGTGACAAGGTTGCTGGAAATCTTCACTTTGGATGACTTCCATGGGGACTTCAAAAAGTGGCTGGAGCAGAACAATGAGTACATTGAAGTCAGATGATTCTACTTTGAAGGAGATTACAGTTTTGTACTTCTTTGAATATTAATAAATGTCTCTCCTGAAAAAGTCTCAAAACTTCTGGAATGCACCTCATATTTTGGGGTGATGCCAGTTATATGCTATAACAATGTGCAACATGTAATCTTTATCACTCTGTATGTAACTTCATTTGCTGTGCAGAAAGTTTAACCTGCACCTGAAAGTGATCCTGATCCTTGAATTCGGGTTTGTTTGAATTTCATAGTTGTGTTGTCATATCCTGATATGACACCAAAAAACACTATTGAATGAAATTAGTAATAAGGATTCTGCAACTGAGAGGCATTGAAAAATAATGCAGTGGAAATATTAATAATACGGAGTGGTAAAGGTTAAAATCAGTAGTGATAAAAATGAAAACAAACATGATAGAAAGCTGAATGAGGTCAGTTAGACGATGTATCTAGATACATTGGACACCAAAAATTCTGAAAATTTACATTTAGAGTTAAATGTTCCTATATCTTCAGTGTTTCTCAATGTAAAATTGTAACCAGTAGTTGTTGTATTTCTTTCCCATCCCACCCCCACAGTATAAGACTCCATCTATGAAAACGATTAATCTGAAAAGTCCTTTTGAAGAATGAAACATGTAACATTAGAATTTTTTTCAATTTTTTTCATTCAATCATCCCCTTGGCTTGCAACAATATCAAGTTCTCAACCAGTTCTGTAACGATCACCAAAGTTAAGCAATGTCTAGCCTGGTTAGAACCTAGATGGGTGATCACTTGGGAATACCATGTGCTGTATGCTTGGATGTCCAGGTGGTATAATGAATAACAACTCCAAATTGGAAATTGGAGATTCGAGTTCTAATTCCTGGTTCTTTATATTTACTTACACACAAATACCTTTGGCAAATGTATAAATCTACCTCTTTTCCTCCCCACCTATGACTTGTATCAGTAAAATCATTGTTATTGCCCCAAAATCTTACAATTTAAAAAAGATTTTCTGTTTTTAAGTAACCTGCAAAAGGTTGATAAGCCTTAAATAACAAATTAATCAATCACCCCCACCTCACACACACATGTGTGTGTGTGTGTGTGTGTGAATATGTGTAATACATACATATAGACATGCATTAACAAATTTTATGAAGGTATTCAATAGTTGGCTGTGAAATTTAGTATATGAGCATAGGTATTGGAGATAAGGAAATAGGCTTTACTAGATGTAGTTTCACACAACACTGCAGGTTGCTACAAAAATAAAAATTTGAGTCATTCTTAAATAGCTTGCTTAGATTGATAATTTCATAAGGGTGCCATGCATGATGCTAAACTCATTTAGAAATATCAAAACTGTCAGCTGTATACAAGTACTTTCTCAGATCGATCCCTAAAAATGGCTTCCAGTGAATGAAGCCTGTAGGTCTTAGCGAGGACCATCATTCTTTCAACTATACACACTAGTGCTATAGAATCAAAAAGAACTGTACTAAATAGTAGAAACTACATTTGAGGACTTTCAACAACAACAACAACTAAAATAGCCTATGTAACGCAAAGAGAAAATAATGACATATTCAAGATGTTGACATTCCACACCACTTCAAACAAAAGGTTAGGAAGGAAACCCCCATCAATACTAGAAAGAGTGATAACAATTAACACGAGAAACATATTTTCCTGAAATAAATTTTTTAAAAGTAACATTTGATAAATTTCATTTGATGATAACTCAGTCAATGAATGCTATGTTTCCCTATAAGGAAACAATTAATATTACCATTCCCATTGTGTTACTTCTATAATGCCATATTTCAATGTCCTGAAATTGGGATTAAAGGTCAAATTGAAAATATCAGACACAATTCTTTGATTTTTGCTTTAAAAATGAAGTCAACAAGACATATAATATTTATTTTTAAAACTTACCAGTTTTTATATTTCTCATCAGTTACTGGCGGTGATGGTAATCTAGCTGGGAAGTGTTCAATATAAGCCTTAAATGTTGTGTCAATAGCAGAATGATTCAAAATATGTATGTAGCCATGAGACAGAGAATTAATGAGGACACCTTCACCAAAATTAAGAACCTTTTCAGCTTCATTGCTGGAGAGGAAAAAGAAAAGATATAAAATATTTAACTTGTTTATCATTTACAAAGGGTTACTGAGAGTGAAAGAGAATTAAAAGAATTTAGTGAGGAGAAAGGACAATAAAAGAACAGAATTCAGGAAGACAAAAATGGAGATTGGTATTGTATTTAAATTTTTAAAGATTGCAGGCTTTTCATTTTCAAAATCTGTTATCTCTAACTTTTATATTTTTACTTTTCTTAATAAATCTAGCTGACCTGCCAACAAAAGTATTTTTGTTTCTAACCTTAGTTTCATATTGAAGCTTTTTCTCTCCAAAATATATGCCGTGTATTAAGGAGTTCCCAGCCTGACTCATTTACCCAAATCTGACCAAACATCAGAATTTTTTTAAAGGGTTTCCTGGTCAGGCTAAGAATATTTCAGTATCCTCCTGCAACATACAATGTACTGATTGAAGAGTAATTCAAATGCAAGAGTTTCTTCTTTCCAAGATGCAAAAATTAGAGGTATTTTCAGAGCCAGTTTCCCTTCTTGATATAGACTTAGAAACTGATACTACATTGCTAACCAAGAATGGAGTACTGCTGCCTCATTGTCCAGCCTTGACAAAAGCAATTACAAGACCTTGTGGCTTGTACCTTAGTAGCACTATTGCCTTACTTGGGGTGAAATGATAAAAAAAACATTGTGCAATCATGAATCACATGACCCATCAGGGTCGTAGTGGCACCACATGTAATGCAGCCAAAGTAGAAGTGGTGTGTCTTGGGCAAAATAGCCTGATGGAGCCCAACCCTCTCCAGGCTGGTTTTGAATTCAGAGTTTCTTTCTATTTACCACCCAAGACTATCTGTCCTGCTATTTTACTCATAGCTGGTGGGAGAAGAAGAGGATTCATACTTTTGTCAAGGGTATTAGTATGTAAGTGAATGTAATGGATCTGATTGGAATTTGAACTCGGCACTCTGATTCCACAATCCATTACTCCACCATGCCTCCTAAAAAACATAAAAAAACATACTTATCTAAAAAACAAAAATAAAAAAATCCTCCATTTATCTTAATTTTCCAGAGCTTCACAAAAAAGTACAACTTGTAAAAATTTTTCTTTTTCTGCTTTGTCATATTTCTCTGTCCATTTCTTTAAAATTATATTTAAAAATCCTCTGATATAGGGAACACAACATGGAGTTGTCCATGATTAAATACCAATTGAGATTTTTCAACCTATTTTGAAAATTTGGTCATAAGTTTTATTATGATGCAATTGAATCAATAATGTTATTTTTTCCATCTTAACACATTTATTAATATTGACATGCACCTGTGTTATATAGGAATAAAATGTCACTGCTGACACTGGTGTTTGAGTGTAGATTGCAGGTGAAAAGACACAGGCAATTTCATTGTTCAGTTGGCTGGATCATGTGACCATGGTAGAAAGGCTTATTTAGAGGTAGTCACATGATGTAGAATGTGTTTCTCTTTTCTTCTATATCTTCTATTACTATTGTGACCACTATTCTCTACTCATTATATGAAGTACTATTAGTACGAGTATAATTTTAAGACATCTGATACCAGTATTGTTCAACAGTGTATTATAATTGGTATCTGTGATTACAAAGTCTCTACTACATTGACATAGATGAAGTATCAAGCAAGTATATGCTGTCATCGCAACAGTGGCAACAAAGGGTCGTTTTGATGACATAACAACCTGAAGAAGATTGGAGGGTACAATAGCTGAAGCACTGTGTTAATAACAATCAAGATGAGGACAATAGTCCAAATGTAAATAATGTAAATAAGAGTTCATGATGATGATGAATTTCAAATAAGTTATGATACAAGAGATATATACTTCAGTTCTATAATATCTATTTTTGGGCTTTTATAGGGACCAGATTAAATTCCCACCTGTATGGCAAGTTTTCAGTTAGTTTATATAATTTCTTTATATATGATAAAATTGATTTTAAAAGTCATTATTAATTTTAAAATCACTTATATATATATTTTTAATTTTTGTTTTTCGGTAAGTAACAAAATTCAGCTGAGTCACTACAGTGTTTTTTGACTTTCACAAAAGATAAAGAGGATGATTTTCATACCTTTGCTCTGGAGGCAAAGAGTCCTCCAATGAAATCCTGTACTCAACATTCACACCCAAGACGTCTCCTGAGAGTGACAAACATGGCTGTGTTTCCATTCCATAAATTTGGCAGCTAATATAAATATCATAGAACAGTACCTGAAGAAAACAAAAACACCAAAAATGTAGCTGCAAGAAGTAAATATCAAAAAGCTACAAAATATATTAGGAATGCTATTAATTTTCTATTAATATTTGTTGGGGAAGATTTAAAATACAGGATTTAATTTGTTTTCATTCATATATAGAAAAATACTTTCCAATAACTTCACCCAAACAGAGATGTGATCAAATATTTTTGCAAGTGCCAGATTTTAAGTTTTGTGGAAATAAATCACATTTTTTTTAATAAATAATTAGAATATATCTATTTTTTGTTTATGTTCATTATTTGGAAAGTCTAATTTACAAATTACTTTTTGGATGTACATTTAAGAGCTCATTTTAAATTTTTTTATTTTAAATTTTTTCACAATAACAATGATCACATCTGTTGGGGTTCACAAACTGTTTTTTTTAATTATGCTATTTATTGACAGTTAAATATATGTCAATAAATAACATAATAAAAAAAACATCTTTCAGTCTACACATTTCATCTTAGTGTTTGCTGATGTATGGAAAAAATTGCACCTTGAAGACGACAATTTGAAATTGTTGAAAGTACTCAGCATGTGCCTTCTATCTGTCAACAACTCAAATATAAGGATCTTATTATTCAAGGAATTGATAGGAAGTTAATGTCTCATTAAGTCTTGTTAGTGAAGTAATTTTGCCATTAACCACATTAACATTGCAATTTAATTCTTTGTATAAATTGTTTCTTTATGATATATATATATATATATATATATATATATATCACACATAGAGTACTGGTGTTGATAAAATAGTGCTCGATGTAATATAACAGAGTCATTAAGTATATATTAATAAATATACATATTATTCCTCACCAGTAGCACAACTTGGAATTTCATGCACAATGCAATCTTCAGGTGCTGGGTAGAGACTGACTGTTAACCGTTTTTAACACAAATACTTTCGATCTTTTCCAAGGTCATCTTCAGGGGTAAATTACAAAGACAAACGCATTGTAACTGTGATAAAATCTGCATTCTGTTGTGATGATGATTTTTAAAAAACACACACAAATGCACTTTGTTATAGTTATTTTGAAAATTTTGATTTATCCATTGTAGTTATGAAATTTTTTGCAAAACATTTCAATATATGGGAGCTGACTGAAAACCCTAACCTCTACCAGGTCAACAAGTACCACATCTACAATCCAATATTCCTGGAGAGAATAAAATTTCTTGCCTCTACACTTGTGACTACACAAAATGTACATACAATGCACAGAAAAAATACTGGTCCAAAAATCACACAATACATGCTGAAATTCCCAAACCACAGCATCAACCAATTTCATAACTGAGCCATGTCCTTGCCACTTAAATTTTACACTTTAAATATATTATGATCTATAATTATTGGACAATTTTGGTCGTCAAAGCCATTCCTCGGCCCTGGGGAGTATCCTAGGGTATATTCATACTCTATGAATACTTCACAGTTCATATCTCCCATTTACTCCCAACATTGTCCAGTTTCCCTATCTACATAGCTAGACCTAAACATATTCAGAAATCTGAAACCATGCAAACTGAATCTACTTAATTCTACAAACAATTAATTAAATTAATTTTTCCATAAAATATTAACTCACAAAATTCACTAATTAACAACTTAATTATTGAACCAATGAAAGTAAAACGACTCACACATGGCTCTTAAATTAAAAAAAAGAATTCCATATACTGCTACAAAAATGAAAAAAACAATCATTTGTCTCTAAATTATGATTAACAAAATAATTCTAAACTTTTCTAAAAAGACAAAGTAAAACAACAAAAATCAGTCTCTTACTAAAATGTTTCACCAAAATTGACATTGTTACATCAGTGTGTATACATGAATGTGAGTGTTCACTGATCATACTGTGTCCTTTCTTTTTTTTCTTTTTGTCCTTTTTTACATAAATTTTTTCTTGTCTATCAAAACCTGTTTCCTCGCACAGGCAACAAAACCAATCCACTTACATTTTTTTCCTTTTTTTTTTACCTCCTAGATTTTTTCCATCATTGCTTCTTATTTTGGTTTGTGGTTTAGATGTGTGTGTGCAAATATATGTGTGTGAGCCATAGAACATAGTAATATCAGTATACTTATAGTTTTTTTTTCTGTCCTTATGTCTTGATTACTTTTTCCTTTTTCTTTTATTCCTTATTCTCTTTGCTGAGTACTGCATCTGAACATTTTCTCTGAACTTTTCTGTATTGTGTTGTAATCCTCATTCTATGCCCCACCTATGCTGGGAGGTTCAGACCAATGGCACCAATCCGATAATATATTGCATGTTGATAGAAGCAAATTATCTCAGCTTGGATTTTTCTCTTGATTGGCAGTCGCTAATCCTTTTGGTTTGGTAATGAAAGACTCTAAACACAGAGAATGCTAACTTAACTATCTTTATTTGTCATGTCAACATGTACATTATCTAACTATCCAGTGGGGGGGTTCCCCCCCTCCCCGACTCACTGGGAAGCCATATCAGACACAAATGAGAACAAGTCTACATTGCTTGATGGGTAAGAAACAACTAACCTTTCTCTTTCCCATGCTAGCTCTGCCAATCAAAATTGACTTCATTATTAAGGCCCACATCTAACCTTGAATGTCAACCTCCAGAAGTCAAAGCTGAGATACACTTCCCTTAAAAATAATAATCTGCTAAACTATTATTTAACATAACATTGTTGTGATGGAAGATGACATGTTTCTGATTGGCCATTTCCAGAAAATTTCCATGATTTGATTGATCCAATTGGGAACAGTACTTGTCCGAATTCAACAGCTGATTTTGTGGAAAGAGATTGTAATGCACAATGCCCTTTGAATCCTGCCAGATACACAGCTTTTTTGTTTGCAAAACAGCATTTGGAGTGGTTAATGGTGGCTTATTACATCTTCCAACAAGCTTTTTTATTCAACATTTTTATAAACATTCAATTTTTTGTCGCCTTTGGTTGTTATTTTCAAAAAATGGACCATTTTTGTTGCATTTCAGCAGAGAATCAAAAATGGAAATCCAGTTCATTCAGTTTTTTTTATTAAATTCTGAGGCACTCAGACATTGTAGTAATTCATGTATCCAAGTGTTTCTAAATGCCTTACAATGCTTATATGACATATGCAAGTTGTTTCTGCAGAACTCCATGTCATATATACTGAATTATTTGTAATCAGCATTTTAATTTGGTCCTTATCAATGGCTGCAGGCCTGCTGGAAAGTTTTCAGTTTTCCCAATCAAAGTTTCCACTTCTGAACCTTGCAATCCACTTACAAACAGTACACTTTTCAGCTATGGCACCATCTCCATAAATGTAACATAACATTTTTGTTGTTGCTACAGCATTTTTTTCCTTTCCAAGAGCCACAAATAATGAAAATGAATTTGATTTTTCTCCATTTTCAATTTTAATTTAAAGACATTCAAAATTCACAATCCAAATATGAAATCCTGTTCTTTTATTGCCCTTTCACCTCACTAAAGTTTTCTCATTCTTTTTCTTTTCCAGTTACCATTTGCATCTTAGTGGTATTATTGCCTTGCTTGTGGTGAAATGATTTTAAAAAAATAAATATATATATGTAGACAAACAGACAGATTTATGGATTTTTTAGCATATAATAATTCTTTCATCTTTTCACCTCAATTCTATTTTTGTTGCTTCCCATTCTTCATGAAATAATATTAAGAAGATTTTTAGATTTTTTTTTGTTTAACTAAAATGTTATAACTTTTATAAAATAAAATGTTATAACGTTTATAAAATAAACTTACCTTATTGTAAGCAGTAAAGATCAAATCCATTGTTTTTTTTTCCCTTGGACCAATGTAACCTGATTGTGGCACAATCTCTATATCACAAAACTTTGCCTGGCTTCCAAAAGCCTGAAATACAATCAAATTCAGTATAAATTTTATTATTTCATGAAATTGGCCCTTAAAATTTATTATAAAAGGAAATGGTATAATGGTGACTAGTAGCAACCAAAATTTAATTAAGACTCATTGGTTTTGGAGAATTTGAGTTAGTAATAAAATCGAACATATACAAGGAAATCCTAAAAGAACTAGAAGTCCTAAGCAGATTTATTATTTCTGGGTGCAATCTCAATAACATAAGATAGATGATACTGTGTTGAGGGCAAAACCTGAAAGAAAATTGCAGGAACTCGTAAACAAAGTAGTAAAGGAAAGCAAGAAGAAAGGACTAACTGTCAATTATAAGAAGACAGAAAAGATGGTTGTCAGCAAGAACAAGGTCCAGATTTTCTCACTGGAAATTTTTCCCCATTCTTCTTGTCAGTAATCCCAAAGATTTTGGAGATTGTGTGGTTTTTGTTGGTGGACTTGTTTTTCAGTTCCCACCATAATGTTTCAATTATATTGCAATCAAGACTTTACACTGGCCAGTCTTCCAAAAGCTGAACATCATCCACAAAAAAATATTTTGCTGCATGTGTTGTGGCTAGAGAAGTAGCCGAAAGCGCTTGGAACAATTATAATTATGGACAATTCCTATATTTTTTAACCCCTGAAAAACAAAAAAAATTTAGATTGCTGGAAAAACTCAATAAAAGATTAATTAATGAAAGATGCATAAAAGAAAGTTTGCTGCCCAAATACACACATGCACACACTCACATATATGTGTGTGTGTGTGTGTGTATTCTGTAAGTTCTTATTTTATAAAATATACCCAATATAAATTATAGTTAAGTGAGAATAAGTTGTTTTATTTAATACCTGTTGCCATTCAAAGTTTGTCTGCAGTAATGTGTTATTGATTAACACCACTTGATAAGTACCAGGAACATTATGGTAGAGTCCTTCCATATGAAGCTGACATGATTCCAGTACAACCTGTGGGTTTTGCACTTCCCCATAAACAAGAACATTCCTGTAAAAAGAACAACAAATCTTTTTATCAGTTTATCAAAATCAGTTATTTACAATCCATAAAGTGTATTACTTTATGACTGTGCAGTGTGGTGTAATGGATAATGAGTCCAAATGTATAATTGGTGAGCTGAGTTTGAATTCCAATTGGCTTTGTTAGATTCACTTATACACAAATACACATGGCAGAGGTATGAATCCATCTCTTCACTTTCTTCCAGGTATGGGCTGAATAGCAGGATAGATTGGACCCTATAGCCTTGGTTGGCAACCAGTCTACTGCACAAAAATTTTCTGCCTTGTCAGTCATGAACTGAAAGAGACATGATCACCCAAGCATGTATCATGTATTGCATTTAACTGACTATACTATTCAGGATATGTGTGTAGGTCTGCCACTCAGTGCTTTGTAACATTCATAATAATTTAGGACTTTCTTCTTATAGTTTTATTTGCTTAAGTGCTATGCTCTTACTGGAATCTTTTAGGCCTCAATTTAAAATAATAAGAGTGTGTTATTAATTTTGTTCATTTGGCTACATATTATTTATTATTATTTATTATTCATTTGACTACATATTATAATCATATCTGATAATGAACCATGTAATTTTTTTCTAAAGACATCTTTGTTTCTATGGCTAAAACTTTTGTCCTACTAAATGAAACAGGTATATATTTCACTGTTGACAACAAGAGAAGTCATTACCTACTTTTTCCAACAATTTTATGACAAACCAAAATTACTGCTATGAAAAAAAAAGAGATTTTTACCTTTTTTCTCCACCTATAATTTGTACAGAAATATATTTGGTAAATGGGAGTAGATTTTGAGCATTGTAACTGATAGACACTTTGCAAGACTCCAGTGGCTGGAGAGTTCCATTTTCAGGGAAGATCTTCAATTCAGTTAGATCCTGAAGAAAAAGCACAGAAATTATTATTAAAGGATTTTTAAATGAGTTGTAGCAATATTGCTGGATAAATTTTACTCTCCCTTAAACTACTAATAAATTCTTTCTCCTACCTTGGCTGACTGAATACAATCAAATCATGCTGAAAAGACTAGTTCACATTCAACCCTCAGAGTTAAGCAGCATTGGATGCAGTCAATACTTAGATGGGGGGAGTGTATGGAAATACCGTGTAAGGTAAGCAAACACCTATAATCCAAAGTACATTTCAGCTTTAAATAACCTGCAAAGGGTTGATAAGCTGTAAAAACAAACCCAACAATCAATCAATTAGCTGACTGAAAGGCTATATATGAGAAATAGGAATGACAACAAGGCTTCAACAGCAGCAGCAGCCACATTAGAAAAGGCAAGCCTCAGTGAATGCAGTCAAGTGTAACAAGCAATAACAACAGCAGCACTCATCAGCAGGTAGGTTAGGCTTAAGGCTCCAAGTTTTACACTCAGAATTGTCCCACAAGACAATAACCTAGTGGATTAGAGTGCTGGTTCATGAATTTGAAGACAAATCCCTGAGCCAGAGCAGTGTGCTCTTGGACTCTGTGAAAACAAAGCAAGCACTAACTGAGCAGTATGAAATCGGAACTAGATGAGATATCACTACAACCATTGAATAAATAAAGGCTTGAAAAGTTAATTGGATTGAAAAGCAACTGATGAAGGCCAGAGAGCATTATGATAATAATAACAACAAAGATGAGGACAATAGTCTGCTTGTAAATAGTGATTCTTATATTTATATAATTCCTAGCCTGTTTGCTTGCTCATAAAATTAGTGTTAGAAATATTTTAAGCATGAATAGAAATGGAATTATTTCAGTGTTTTCTTTCAAAGGACAAGAGCTACCAACACAGATCATATATTAATATCTAAGATTTTTATTTTATTGAGTGTTAACAAACTAGAGGTGATTAAAAATATTTTTAATACCATAATATCATATAATAATTCTGTTCAGTCCTCTGGTAGTTAATTAGTTAGCATGAACATTAAGATCTGTCATTGCCAAAGACAAATAATGGACCATCCCATTTTGAATTCAAAGAAAGACAGAAGGAAATGATATATCAGAGTCACTGTTTGCTTTTAGGAAAAAGAAAGAAAGAAATAAAGCAAGAAAGCAAGAAAGAAAGAAAGAAAGAAAGAAAGAAAGAAAGGGAAGATACAGAGGTAATAATTCTCTCATGCATTTAATTAGTGTAATGAAAAACATTTGAGAATCTTTTTACTTGTACCTTTTTTTTTTTTAAATAATGACCTGCATTTCTACTTATGATTCTTATTGCAACATTTTGTGAAAGTGGTCAAGCTGAAATAGTTATCAATACAATAGGGGAATTTCTACAGGTATTTTATAGTTGTAGATCTTGCAAGGAGCTTATTCATTTATTAACTTAAGATTTAGGATTCATCAGAAAATTAAAATACAAAAACTATGAAATTTTCATGGCTATTTTAAGATATTAATAGTTTAATGAAAGTTAGAATGTCACTGGTAATGTTTCCATTATTTTAATTATGCTTTTTCTTTTAAACAAACTTATTTCTTCATGGACATGTTGAGAAACGAGGAAACTAAAATTGATGCTAAAGGCTCGGAAGTAACATGTCATATTAAAAAGCTTACTGATAAAACTATCAATGACTTTGTTTTCCAGTAGCAAGCTGAAAACTTAGAAAATTTAACCCTGAAAACTGCAAATTTTTAAATCTCCCCAAATCAAAGATAACTCGATTTTAACTACAGCTCAATGAAATTGTCCTATCTCTATGACCCTAATGCTGTCCAAAGCCTATAACTGTATCCCCTCATCAATTCTGGAAAGATACTTTGGTTATATGACATTAATATTCATAAAATTGAGGTGACATCAACAAAATATGGTAAATGGTCGATATGTGAACAATTTTTTGTCCTATTGATACAAGCATCCTTACTTGATAGATTTAGAAATATAAATGAGCAGATCAATAGCCATAATACACACTGTTTAATAAATAGAAATGGGATGTCTATTTCAAATACAGAGCATCTACTATAATAACATTGGAAGTAATATATATATATATATATATATATATATATATATATATATATATATATATATATATAAAAGGAAGGATGTGTGTGTGTGTGTGTAACGAATGCACGGCCGCAATTTTAGACAGATTTGCACCAAAATTTACATGCACATGCTCCAAGTTAGTGGGAAGGCCAAGACTGACTTTGATAGTGGGAAATAATCGATTTTTTTCATGCTTCTACAGCTATTTTCATGTAGTTTGTGGCCATTTTCTACTGGCCAGAGTGAGAGCCTATAGCTGGCTGCCACGAATAGGTAGGGAGATTCTATTTGCCAGTGTGAGAGCCAACAGCTGACTGACACAAATGTTAACTAGCATGCTAGCATTCAAAATAAATCAATAGCTGCATTCTCCACAAGTGGGAAAAATTTAAATCTGTATGGCACTTTACTCCAATTGGCTCATACGCTTGCTTAAACTCAACGTTGATTCTGATTCCACAGAACTGGGTTGGGTGTGAAAAACTATTTGTTGTTAACATTCTTTTTTCATTTGGTTTTTCCAGTTACAAGTCCTTTTTTAAAGCTGATCATTTTGTGTTCATTTTGTTTAGTTCTTTTTTCGTAACAGATTTAATGTTTAGTATAGAGCTTAGAAAAAATTCACAGTGTGAGATAGGCAAGAAGTAAGGCATGTAGCAACATCAGCACAGCAAAGGGCACTCCTTTAAAGGCAAGGAAGGGCAAAAATATTTTAAGTCAAGTGATAGCGATTGCTGTATGAGTCGTACGATTTTTGAATCAAGCATGGGCAACGCCGGACCATGCTGCTAGTATATATATATATATATATAAAAGTGGTCATTCAGGTCAATACTGAGAGGTGACAGTCTGTTTCATGCTAAACATAATGGCCTGATGATTGTGTTTAGCATGAAACAGACTATCATCGCTGGCTGTTCACTTCAATGTCTACATTTACACAGTCAAACCTCTCATCTATGGACCCCCCCCCCATGAACAGACTTCAGATGCAACAGAAAAAATCTGAAGGCAAATTAAAAACATCTGTAGGAAAAAAACTTCCAAATTGTCAGCGATGTATTTCGAAATTTGTGAGCTTAGTGAAACGAGTCATTAGTTCTCAAAGTGCCCACTTGGCGGTGGTAACGGGCCTTTCAATTGTAAACAAAGATGGGTGCCTGAGAAAGTAGCTGTGAGAAATTCTATTATTTTTGTTATTTTGATTAATATATCTATATTAAGTATATATTTACTTATGCCATATATACATGTTTATAGTATTTACATTATGATCATAACTACTGATAGTTACTATAGTGGTTTTATAACTCAAAAATAATCCCTTCCCATCTACGAACAGTCAGCTTTAATGGACCACCCCTCTCACTATTAGTCCGTTAATGAGAGGTTTGTCCGTATTTACATACACTCTATCCCGGATATTGATCACTAACACATGAATATAGCATATCTTAAAACTATGTTATTATATATATATATATATATATATATATATATTTTTATATATATATATATATAGTTTTAAGGTATGCTGTGTTTATAGGTTAAAGTGATTGATATCAAGCCAGAGTATATGTAAATATAAACATGGACATTGAAGTCAAAACCTTGAAAGGCCATTGAATGTAAAAATCTATTTCATGCTTAAACACAATCGTCAGGCTTGACATGTTTAAGTATGAAACAGACTGTCACCACCAGGTGTTGACTTCACTGTCCTCATTTATATATATATATATATATATATATATATATATATATATATATATATATATATATATATATATATATGTATGTATGTATATATAAATCCCTCATATCTTTCATTCATGTGCATGTATAGTCACATCAACATAAACAAATCTAGTCCGATGAAGTACTAAATGACAAAATGTGTCACACAAAATGTAAGTTAAATTATTATATTTTTTAATAAAATATATTATTATTATATTTATCAGTATCTTTATTTATACCATATGTAAGATGCAAGAAAATATTTATAATAATTAACAATGCTATTTCCAAAGATTCTGAACATAATTAAATATTTTCTATATAAAACATGTAGAGGAGTAAGTAATTATAAACCCTCTAACATTTATACATACAAAAATATTCATAGAAAAGATGTGGAAAACAGAAAAACGGTTATTATTATCTGGTTGTTATGATGTGTTGAAAAAATGAGAAACAGTAATACTGAGTAAAATTGTGAGGTTGGGGTCAAATGTAGGCTAAATATGCATCGGAATCTGACAGAATGATAAGATAAAAAATAGGTAAAGTGCATACAGTCTCTCTCATATGTTTTTTATAGATGGGTGTTATGAGTGTCCAGATAATTTAGTTGGAAAATTCAAGAAGTGTCTGGGGTTTTCTTAGCTTGAATTTTTGTTGAGTGCTAAGAGATAAATATTACTATCATGGACTGAAAAAGGAAAAAGAGATGAAAATTTTGTTGATGGATGTGTTAATGACCTGTCTGTGTGAACTGTTTGTCCAAGAGTGAGAATATCATGTGTTTGTGTGTATGGAGGAGAAAAGTGGGACCGATTCTTATTTATTTAGAATGAGTGAATAATTATTTTTGACACTATAATTAATTTTTACCTATTTAATTTTTATGGGCACAACAATAAGATTGTTTTGATTTATACTTGCATATGCATGAAGGGGAAAAGCTAAGCAACTGATTGTTATTAACAAAAACATATTTACAGAATTTGATTTTATTTCCTCTTGAACTGAGAACTGGGCCTGGATTGGAGATTTGTTATTCAGAGTTATTTCCCTTGTTACGCATTCTCCACGGCAAACAAGACCAAAATCAACATTAGGTTCTTCAATAGCAACATCAGCTCCCTAAAACAAAAGCATAGAAAAATAATCATTCACTGTTTATCATACAACATAGAGGAATGAGAAAAATCCAACAATCAAACCCAAAAACTTTTATATGTAACATGTCAAGACATTTGACATCATGTCTGAAGTGTAAAAGTTATATCAAATCAGTTGATAAGTCTGTTGTAAGGAAAGTTGATTCACTGTGTTGTGCTAGATGGTTTTTCTCATTACATTAAACATCTTACAGATTTATAAGTCTATACTTGTCCATGCATTGAATATTGCAGCTACATCTAGTTTAGTGTTTCTGCTATGTATCTTGATAAAACACAAAGAAGAATCTGCAATGTTATTGATGCTGACTTAGGATCTAAAATTCAGTCACTTTTCCACTGCCATATTGTAGCTTCCCTGTGCCATTTCTGTAAATATTTTCATGGTAATTGTTCTGATGAACTTTCCTGTTTTCCTAGTCTTTACAAATTTAAGCACAGTACACAAGTGGCAGCAAGGTCTCATTCTACAGTTGAAATGGCTAGATGTAACCATAAGTTCTATGCTAACAGTTTCTTCTCTTGCATTGTCTCTCTTGTGGAGCTTTTCTCTGGCCTCTTGTTTTCTAGTCAACTTTGATCTTCAAAAACCTAAAGGCAATGTCAATCATTATCATTTGTCTTCTTAATTCCTGTTCTTATATTGTTCTCTCTCTTTAATGTTTTTTTTTCTCATATTCTTTCACTCGCAGTACCTCCACCTCTGCATCTTAGTTACTTTATTACCTTGCTTTGGGTAAAATGAAAAAAAAAGAAAAGAAGTACAATGTCAGCATATGTTTACATAAATTAAAATGAATATTTTCTTAAATTAAAAAAAATGCTATGGTAATTGTAATATTAGCCATTTCTCTGTAAGGAAACATTCAGCCTTCATTAACCAAGAAGTCAGCACTACTTTTGGTTTAAATTTATAAAATATTTCTCTTAACACAATAAAAGAAAAATTTTTTTATTGTTTTAAGAGAAAGATTTTATAAATTTAACTCTGACACATTATTTACTATTTTTATTTTTTTTTATTTTGTCATCGATAGGAGTAGATAGGTTTGTTTATCGTCTGATTCACACTTCTCAAGGAGTAGAGGTTTACCTTTGTTTAGGATTGGATTTCTGTCTCCTTCTAAACTTTTTCATTCTCTTTCACTCCCAGTAGCCTCTTATGTCTTAGTGGCATTTTGACCTTGCTTGGAGTGAATGGATTAAAAAAAAAACAAATATACATGTAAACTACTGTGACTTCTGTAGAAAGATAGTAGAGGTGGTTTACTACTGCCTTCTTCACAGTTTTGAATTCAGAGATGTCTTTCTCTCAGACTGGCTACCAACCAAGGCTAGAGAGCCTAGTCTACCGTTGTAGCAATATAAGCTGTCAGATGATATGTTGCTAAGGACCCACCTGCAATACATCACAGAAATCAGAAAGACACACCCATTAGACTGTTTGCCTGCTCAACTCGCCTCACTTGTCTCCAGCAGAAGGTTACAACCAAAGAAAATTTGCTTACTGCTACAATTTTATCTCATGATTTTATTTTATGGGTAACGATTTGGGCAAAGAGTTATTTCCTTAAGCCACAAGCTGCAACACTATACCTTTTTCTTTAAACCATAGTTGTGGATGGAGAAGAAGAGACACATTGATGCTTTTCTCAAAAATATTAGTGCAAAAGTAAACATGGTGGACTAGGTTGGTATTTGAACTTGGCTCACTAATTTCACTTTCTGCACCAATAACTGTTACACTAATTTCATATCTATAAAATAAATATCTGTTGGTTCTAATCCTATAGTGGAATGATTGCAAAATACTTTCTCCTCAACAATTTATTGACAGAAGCACACAAATGCATGCTGGGATTTCTTCCAAGCCAATAAAATAGGCTGGTCCTTGGTTTCATCTGACTTAGTCCCAGTCTCTTTTGTCTTGAAATAAGAGTGTTACATTTGCTTGTACAAATTTGCTTTTGTGTGTCAACCCTAATTCTTATTTTGGGAACTTTTTGCCATATTATTATTGCTTTGCCTCATTACTGTTAATTTGTCTTGCATATATTATTTGCTTTATATTTTTTTATCATTTGTTTCTTTTCTTTTTCTTGTTATTGCTTATTGCAAACATTGTCAATTCTATTTGTTGGACAGTTCTGTCATTTATTTTACATTTAACCATAGCTGCTCACTCTACAATATTAATGAAGGGAAAATTATTATTATTATTTTTTAAATAGTTCTTCAATCTTAAATTTTATTTTGCTTCACACAATTTAATGCTAAACTCAAATAATCATTTTATACAGGTCTCATAGTAACCAGCAAAAATGAGAATCTCATTTACTTTGATATCAACTTGTACATTGTAATATATAGGTTCATCTTGATATTCCAAGTAACATCTCAGTTGATGATTAATGGGCCCTGGGCAACATCCAGTCACACACAATTGCAATTGCATCTCCTGATTCGGATCTACAAGCAGGAAATAAAAAAGAATAATACAAATTCATAGATGCAATAATGGATTTATAAAAGCTATAAAAATTATGTAGACTTAAAAAAAAAAATTTTTTAAAGTTTTATGCATATTTCATATAAATTTATATATGTTGTGTCATAAATAAGAAAGGTTGGCACACATATAGAAAGTAAGAAGTAGTTTATTCTGGAGAATAATATGGTACACAGTTGAGAACGCAGACTAATATAATAAACAGTTAATCATTAACTCCTTGGTATTTACCTGAGACCTCCTGACAAGGCAAGATGTGGCACAAGGCCGTTTTTTAACATGGGGTTTCTGAGTACAGACACTCGGGCAAAAATTTTCTTGTAGACGGGGTCAGGCAGCTGTCTACTTCCCTAGACAAGACTCTGCTCATAGGCATAGCTTTGTTTGGGTTCCTCTCTGCCTGAAAGCAGAGAGGTTGACAAATAATCTGGAGATAAGCAGAAAAGTAACATATCCACTACACCAGTTCTACCACTTGAAGAACATGGTAACTGCTAAATTACAAGAGTGGGCTGAAAAGTTCACAGGCTGACTATGAACAAGTGATGGTAGAGCTTGCATGCATTAATTTTAGCTCTTCTTATTAATAACTGTATTGTTTCTTTCCAGGTAAACTGATATCTGACTGTTCAAAGAAGACTTCAAATGTAACTAGTAATGACTTCTCTTAGAAATGGTCAAAATTCAGCATTGTAGTGTTATCTGCAGAAAAAGGTTCTTCCATTAAAGACATTTATGCTGACATGATTGATACATAGGGGGATGATGCCCCAGCTTTATCAACAGTGCAAAAGTGGGCAGCTGAATTTAGGAGAGGGTGGGAGAGTCTTGAAGATGACCCAATGTATGGATGCTCTGCAACTGTCACTACTGAGAAAAACGATGATCATGTTCACCACATGGTGATGGATGAAAAGCAATTGACTATAAATCAAATTCTGTTAGCATATTCTGAACAATGAACTTGTTATGATGAAGTTTTCTGCTCAGTGGGTACAATGATATCGTCTGACACCTGATCAAAGGCACAACATACTGATCACATCACAGGAAAATATAACATTGTTTGAGGCAGATCCAGCTGGTTTCCTTGAACCTTTCCTAACGCAGGATGAGTGTTGGGTTCATCACTTTGAGCCAGAGGCAAAGAGACAATCCATGCAGACGAAACACCCCTCCTTACCTGCTACAAATAAAAGGCATTTTGCATTGCATCCCATTATACCTATATGTAATAAATCAAAAACAAACACTATTCCATAGGTTCATTTATTTAACATTGACAATTTATATGTTTGTTTCCTATGATCTGCACATATTAAAATTGCCTGTGTCTATTTGTATTAGCTATTTGTATGAATATAAAATTATTACTTTTAGAAAAACAAATTTAAAGAAAATTCTGAAAGGTAAATGAAATAATTTTTGAGGAAAATGTAATTTAATGAGATGGATGTTCTTGTTTGTTCATAAGAAGCTGATTCCAATTGGGAATACAGGAAGGCAGTGCTACACGCATATCAGCCGCAGTGTTGAGCCTGTTTCTCTCCTTTGTCTTAAATTTAGTTAATGTGGAAAATCCCAGTTCACACAAGTAGTTGTAAAAGTCAGCAGTAAAAAATAGCCTTTTTAATCAAGAGTGGAAATTCCTCTTTGTTCTTAATCCAAGACAAGTTACATAAACTCAATGAGAACAGACTATATATATATATATATATATATATATATATACAATTATATTTAAAAAAAATTAAATATCACTGAAGGGTTGGGACCCACAGTTTGAAAAAACCCTTCCCTAGGGGAAGATATGAATTCTTCTCACCTCATCTAAAAATATTTTCTGGTTTTAAATAACCTGTAAAGGTTGATAGGTCATAGAAAATAAATTAATCTCTTATTTTTTTTCACACTAAATAACCCCCTGTGTCTTAGTGGCTTTGTTGCTTTGCTTGGGATGAGATGATTATAAAAAAAAAATGAAATTTTAATGAAATATTGTCTATTTTGTCATTCAATTATCCAATAAAAAAGATTCTAGCATTTTCCTGGAGTTTATTTTTTTCACAATACAATGGCAGTTTTCTTTATAATTTAACATGACTGTGGCTAAATTTTGCCCATCCTAATAAGAGACATTTACCTTCATTACAGGTTAATATTTGTCATACCTAGTGTAGCATTTGCTGGCTCTACTTCCAGAATGAAGAATTCATTGTTAAATAATTCCCAATTAAATTTGATGGAGCTGATACTGTTGTTGATAAACTGAAAAAGACAAACAGAGACAAGATCAGATTAAAGTTTTCATCCTATTTATTGTCTTTTATAATGAAAAAAAAAATTGTTCCTCTTAAATTAATAACCTACCTTAAAAACATGTGTTGCTATCAGATGGTGATCATGAGTTCAATCTCTGAATCAGGTAGTTAAAGAATATACACTGATTCAGCAGCAACAAACAAGAACTAGCATCATCTTTCATCACTCATGGCAAGGTTATTTTAGGATGATGAAATTTTCCATCTTTACTTCAGGGATGATGAAATATCCTTATTTTCTATCATCACTGATGGCAAGGTTATTTTTAGAATGATGAAATATCATCATCATTCTGGATCATAACATAACATAATAATCAACAGGTATTCCATATCAGCCAAAAAATGGATACCTGATGAAGGCCAGAGGATAGATGGCTGAAATGTTGTCTATAATAATATCTATAACAACCGCGATGAAAATAATAGTTTAAAAATAATTATTGTATACTGACAATTACTCACCTAAAAAGTGAAATATAAAAATACCTTAAAGAAGTAAATGCTAGAAATGTGGAAGTTTATATAAAACAAACCAGATAAATTCAGGAGAATATGTGTTTATGTTTGTTTTTCTAAATTTTAGAGTGGCCATCTTAAGTTCCAATGAATTATCTCTTAAAGTTTAATTTATATAAATTAATGGGAAAATTTAACAAATGTGCCCACAAAAAATTAATGCCAAAAGGATGGTTTTTCTTTTGACACCTCTTTTACTCCGTACTCCCTTAGTAATTTTTATTGCTTTAAAAACGTTCTGAGAATTTTAATAAAACCCAAACGTTTTATAATTACAAGATTATAAAAATATTTGAACCAGTTACAATGCAGTATTTATTATTTACCATTTTATTTTTAAGAAATTAATGGATTTTATTTTTAATCCAAAATTATTTCTTAATATAAATTTTTTGTGGATACATGTGTTTGAGTAGATGTCCTGTTTTTTTTTTTAAAACAGTCTGAATTACATCTACTGGCCTGTGCATTTGAGAGTCTTAATACAGAAAATGTGCTCTCTCGCAGGGTTTGAAACTGCATTCTCTTTTGAAGGGGAGGAAGCATTGTTTAAACTGTATGAATTACATCTACTAAACTAAAAATAAATTGAGAAATTTAATAAAGAAAATGAGCTCTCTGGAACAATTATACTTTTAATAATTCAGAAATAATTATATGTTTGTTTCAAAATTACAAAACCATTTTATTTTATTCATAAATTTATAAAAATGTCTAACCTACAAAACAAAAACATTGAAATGAAACTGACTGATCATTTTGCAATTACTGTAGAAATTATATAATGTCCAGAAAATGCATTTATTCTAAATTTATAATTAAAGTTACTCATCGATATGTGTTTCTTTATATTTTCTTGTTCACATACATTATAAACTTGAACAAAAACAATTGTTTTCTTTTTTTATTGCATTGTAGTTAGTTCACATATTTATATAATCTTGTAATTATTTGTTTTAATAAAATTCTCAAAACAACTTTTTAAAAAAAGTATAAAATTTTTGAGGAATGATACAGTAATAGAAGTATCACGAGAAAATCAATCCCTTTGACATACCTTTTTTCTTGCAGGTCAGTCAGTTAAGGGTACATGTTTGAACAATCATGTCTCTTTCAATTCATGATTGACTAAGAAGAAGATTTTCCTGCAGGAGGCTGCCATTTCTTTCTGTGAGAGACTGATTGCCAACCATGGCTAATACTAGGATCCAGTCTGTCCTGGTATTCAACCCATAGCAGGAATAGGAGAGAAGTGATGGATTCCTACCGTTTCCCAAGAGTATTTGTGCATAAGTAAATGTAACAAACCTGACTGGAATTCAAACTCGGCTCTTCAATTTTTCTCATTCTGAGCCGTTATCCATTACACCACAAACGTTTGTTAAACTTTGCCATTAATTTATAAAATTAAATTTTAAGAGATCATTCATTAGATCTTAAGATGACCACTCTAAAATTTAAAGAAATATAACAATTAACAGAAAATCTTCAAAATTTATGTTTTTTTATAAAGTTTCACATTTCTAGCATTTACCTCATTAAGGTGTTTTTATATTTCATTTTTGAGAAAAGGACTCATCAATATACATTGATTATTTTGAACTATTGTTTTCATCTTGGTTGTTAGAGATATTGTGATGGACACAACATTTTCGCCAAGTACCCTCTGGCTATCATCAGGTGGCCATTGTTTGGCTGATATACGATATCTATTGATTAATATGTTATTTTATTGCTGTGATGCTAGTTCTTGATTGTTGCTCCTGAACCAGTGTATATTCTTGTAAATATAAAATTATTCTTGGAAATAAACCATCTAATAAGTGATAGTGCTTAATATTTTTGTTATAAATTTTTGAGAAAAAGAAAATGTGTCATCCCAGTTGCATATGGTTGGGTTCAATTCTAAAAATAGCTTTCTACACAAATACAAATTGCTGAGGAAATATATAGTAATTGTTAAACTTTGCCAAAGTATTTAACATAAATAAGCATCATTAGAACATATATTTCTCTGATTTAACATGCAAAAGTGATGTAATGAATATGCATACACCTGGGTCCCCCCCCCACAGTAATATGATTGGCTGGTGTCAGCCATAAATACAGACTGATGTGGAGGTACAGGATGATGCCTATTGTCTTTGCCTATTGCCTACGACTATTGCCTACCACTACGACGAGGACCAGTCCATTACGGTTACCTGCTAGATTGTCCTACATGGTTACAGCAGTTGACAACCACTTTGCTACTTCAAACAAATATATCCCTTTCTGGGACATATCAAAAAGTAATGTTCAAGATTACAAACTGGCTTAATTTTTACAAGACCTTTCAAAAGTATGGATTATTTTTCTCCAGGCAATATGTGGTTTGAATGAATGAGCAGAAGAAGATTTACTTACCTTGCATCTGTAGAGAAACTGAGTGAATGTTGAGTGTTTGTTTTATGGACTAGTTCAATGGTATGGAAAAAAAAAAAAAAACATGTATATAACATACCCCCCCACCCAACTCGGGTACTGGAAGGGTTTTCTTTTTGTTTTTGGAGTACCAATCAGAAGTAGATTGCTATAGGAGAAAGGGGGAAAGAAGAAGCAGTGGAAGTTGTATGAGGAAAAGAGACAGAAATCCAGAATTTATATTTGGTTGGATTGGTCATAGTGGTCAGAATTCTAATAGTTCTACTACTGGTAAATTGTAAAGAAATGAACCCAGGCTTAAAGCCACGGGCATCAATTTCCCTCCAGCTCTCTTCTTCATGATAAGTATGTGCTCTTCACTCTGATTCATTTTTTTTCAATCCACACAATATTATGTGCCCTTGATAATTAATATGACATGATCAACAGAGGATGGGTGTATTCAACATTTGATAATTTTAGACAGTGTTGATCAACATTTCTTTTCATTATCTGTCTATATTTCTGAGATGAGGTATTATGTACACTATTTACATTATTCGGTCTATTGTTCTCATGTTTGTTGCCATATTTATTACAACGTTTCAGCCTTCTTCAGGTGGTTGGAATGTCAAACTAACCCTTTATTTCACTCACTGGGGTAGACTGTTCTAGTTCCACGTGCCATGTATAATGGATGTCAGTTGTCAATTATCTCCTGTTAATTCCCCTCTCCAAGTTCTCTACTGCCTTAACCAGGTATTGAACTCACACTCTTTGGGTCCTGTCACTGGATCTAACTAACACCTTTATCCACTGTGCCATGAGTCCTTGATTTCTTTTCATAGTTAGCCATAAGGAATTGTAAATGTAGGACTACCTTACACTTAAGTAAAATAATAACAATAATAATATTAATAATTAATTACAGGAAATATCAAGTTTTATGGAAACATTGTTGACAATTATTTATTTAGTTACATAACAAATAAATTAAAATAATATAAATTTTGATGCTATATTTGTTTTTTTGTTAGGTATTTTTTCATTTTCTCCTTTGTTATTGACAGCATTTTAGAATACTTTGGCTGCAATGCTAAGTTTCCAAAGTTGAACTAACTGGAGCTATTTCGTTTATGCTTTGTTACCTCTCTTTTCCATCGTTATTTTTAGATCGCTTTCTTCCAGTCATTTTGATGGGCAATAGCGATATTCTGAAATTTAGAATGATCTTATTCCATTTAAAAAATAAAGCCTGTAAAAAGGAATATTTTAAATTAATATACGACCCAAAATAAAATGCTTTTGACAAAAAACCTTAATGATTTCTCTATAATTATGTAACAATAATATAATGATATTCTGCAGACAAATCTACAGTTTATGTTAACTCATCTGATTGCATGTTTACGAACTATAAACCTAAATTGAACTTGAAATATTGTGTAATCAGCTCTAATTTTTTGTAAACTACTTGGATAAGATATAATGTATATTTTGCAGTGAATAAACAATTTTCAATTTTTTGTTGAATACACCCATCCTCCACCAAACACCTCATATAACCCGTGACTTTTGACCAATTTTCTGAGAAAGCTATGAAAGAAAAAGAACTTACCATAAATTCTCTCCTTTCTGTAATGCCACTGTAGATTTGTCCATGGATGAACATAGCATATGGCCGTAGCATTACATTGAAGGGGACACACATACCCTGCAACTCAATGGATAGACTCACATATTCATTTTTATTATCTACAAGTATAAAATGCAATCAGTCAGTAGGATTTATAATAGAGATGTTATATATATATATATATATATATATATATATATATATATATATATATAAAAGAAATTAGATGAAAAAATTAACTTTAATTATGTTTTTATTAATTAACATAATACAAGGCCCAAGAGCAAATCAAGGTAGAACATTACTGAATGAGGTTGCTATATGAACATAAGAGAAAGAAGTGCAGATCATGACATGTAGGAAAAGGGCACTTTAACATGGTGTAATGATTCCCAAGCTTGTCTGATCTCACGAGATCAATTACATATGAATAGTGAGTTTGATCCCTACTGGGTGATACACACTTTCAGCTTTGTGCCATATCTAAGATATGCTTAAAAAATGATTTTTTGGGGCACTTTGATGTGGTTTAATGGTTTGCAAGCTTGTCTTGTTAGATCAATTAGGATTGAGTAGTGAGTTTGATTCTCATACTTTTGACCTTGTGACACATCTGAGCTTAGAAAATCACCATGACATGTAGGAAAGATAACAGTTGATCCTAAACTTGAAGAGATTAAGATTGTAGCAATTGGAGAAACATCAGCTTCAGAATCAGTTTAACAGCACAGCAGTACTTGAGAGTTGATTGTTTTTTTTACACTTTATCAACTCTTTGTGAGTTATTTAAATAAAGCTGAAAAATATTTTAAATTGTAAGAATAATTCTTTGCAATTACATTTCAGTGTTGAATGCAGACAAACAAAGAAAAGACACCTTTTTTTTTTCATTCCAAATTATTCAACAAATGTTAAATGAAAAAGGATCTATAAAAAGTATTATTACTTACCTGTAGCCAATTTCCCACCTGAGATCTCATCATTTTTTGCAAGCATTGTTTTCCTCATTTGTAATTTGCATGTTGGGCACATTTTCAATGATCATTTGTAAAAAACACACTTGTAACAATCTACCTGAAAATACAAATATATATATATATATATATATATATATATATATATATATATATATATATATATAACTAGATAACTAAAAGCCTACCTAGGTGAAAACCTAGGTAGGTTTTAACTCTTTAGGATTTATTTTAGTTATTCCCACTCTACTTAGTGTACTGAGCACTCTATGTTTTAGTCTTACTACTTGCTTGGTTTTTTTTTTTCTTTGGACTAAGGCTCTGGATAATTTTTTTTTTCCCTGTTCTGATGTTTTTTGTTCTTCTTATTTTTCCAATTTTTGGGTTGGTACTGACTTGTTTTGATGTATCTACAAGTTTTTTGCAAGTATCCAAAGTTTTTTCTATTAGTGTATATTATATATATATATATATAGTATTACTAATATATATATATATATATATATATATATATATATATATATATATATATATATATATATATATATATATATATATATATATATTAAAAAAAACCTAAAATTGTTGGTGAAAGCAACAAACAATTTTCCAAAAGAGCTAAATACCCTTAAACAAGATCAAATCTTGAACAAGGGCAGCAATAAAAAAAGAAATAGACCTAAAGGCAAGCACATAGCTACCCAGTAAATTGGTCAATTCCTAGATTACCTAGACAGAGCAAAAATACTAATTCCTCTGAAAGGATGGCCCTAGTCATAACCAGAGTTTCATACTCACATAATCTTCAGATGACTTGAACACTTTTCAAGTTGTCTGAAGATGTCACATTGAGTGCTGGTGTTAATAGAATAGTGTTTAATGGAGAAATTTTTCAGCATTATAGTGCTTCCTGCCACATATCACATGCAGCAAAAGTTTTTCTTGTGGATGAAGTTGTTCAACTTTTGAAAGACTGGCCAGCACAAAGTCTTGATCCCAATATAACTGAACAGTTGTGATGGAAACGGAACAAACAAGTGCTCCAGTAAAAACAATGCAATCTCCAAGAACTTTGGGATTGTTGCCAAGAAAAATGGGAAAAAAATTTCCACCTGAGAAAATCTGGATCTTGTGCCATTTAAGTCACATCAGATTGAGGCAATTATTTTAGTCAATGGCAGCAACATACTTTTGTACTTTCTGTAATAATAAATAGAACTTCTTACAAAAAACCCCTTTTTAACTTAAGAAAAGAGTTGAAAGGTGAAATTTTCACTGGTGGCCTAGTATTTTTGCATATCTTTTTTTCTGCATCACTATGCTTAAGATTCTGTATCACCATCCATAAACTATCAACAAAAATGCAATACTTGGTTCCAGTACAAAACAGCAGACATTAAAGTTTTATAGGTAGCATAAAAATTTATATCAGCTCATGTTTAAGCTCAAAATATAATATTTTTATTTTTTTAAAAAGAATAATTTTGAAAAACAAGAACATTAAAGAATTTGAACTATTACAGTGATAACTAACAAAGAAGTTATATCAGTACATGTTTCAAATGACTACCTTTTCTGGGGCAAAAACTGTTTCAAATGATAAAGTTTCTGCTGGAGGAATATTGCCATATTCTGGGTAAATACAAAATGGAGGATTTTCCATCGTTTCTTTAGTGTAGATAAAGGATTCTTGGTTTGTTGGGTCATTTGTTAACGTGCATTTCAGCCAGTAGAATGATAAATTTATATTTCTGAAATAAGAAAAACATTCTATTTAATTTGCATATGATTTTGACATTTTATTAGAATAAAAAATGACTACAGTGAAAACTGGAATTCATAAAATATTTCAAAATTTTGACTGTAAAAATTATTAATAATAATGGTGACTGTCCCAATAAAAAAAACGTATTGGTTTGGAATAAAATTTGCAGAGGTTTTATTCAAACATATATATGCCATTTTGTTCCACATTCACCATCTTTAAGATAGCTTCAAGATTTCATCTTCCCAGAATTCAGCATTTTTCAACAGGTCTAAGTAGTTATAGTGAAAAATAAAACAAACTGTTTCAAATTCACAGAGCTACACATCCAAATAGTCACCAATCCACTCTATGCTAATCTGTAGACTCTGGTTTTTCTTTGTATCATTGAGCCAATAGCATTAACATCCATACACTTTCAGCCTTTTTGAAAAGTAAGTGAATTTCTCTTGCACACTTCCCACTGATCTCTTGATCATAAAGATGACAGCCAGTAACTGAGTAACTGGATATTTTTTAGCCATGCACTTTGTTATAGAGGGATAGCTTTTGAAGCTTGGCCTACTTTGGTACATGATTCTCTGTGAAGGGATGGTACAAGTCTTTTTAGATGAGTTGTCTGATGTTCCAAGGGTAATGAGTAGATCAAGAGAGCATCTTGCTGTCGGAAGTCTCATCACTGCTGTTACTGTCCATCGACAAAGTTACTCTGTAAGGTTGATGGGACTCTACAGCATTTTATATGGTATGGAATCCCATCAACCAGTACTGACTGCTTTACACTGAAACTGATAGTACATCAACTATTTAGAGGCTTCCCCCACATGGGATCTCAAACATTGTATGGTCAATGTATCTCCTCATGATCAAATGAGGGCATGGTTTATTCAGACTTGGTACATGTAGAAAGCGTTGTGTTTGAAAAGTCATTCTTTGACATCACATTGTATGAGTATGCTGCTTTCATTAAAGCACATTGCTTCCTGGTTGTAATCCTCCAGTGGCATCTCTCTACTATGTCATTCCTTGATGGCCCATATGCATAATGCAGCCAAGGGCAAACTCTCTACTTGTGTTAAAAATGCTTGATTGCCTACTACGGAAAGTGGTATTGTTGTTTCTGAGAATCTCCTTTGCTGGACCTTGCTAAAAAAATATGATGAATGACACTTGGGAAGTCTTGTTGAACCATTGGTCAGCAGACTTCAAATTGGGTGGAGGTCACAGTCAATAAGAGTGAGGAACTGTTTGTCCCTGTAATGGGTGAGATCCATACCTACTCTACTCCAGGTGTCACTCACACCTAACTGACCGCATCGCCATTGTACAGAAGAGGGGTCTATAGACCGGTACGCTTTACAGTTTTTGACCATGGTCCTAACAGTACTTTTTGATACAATGTGCAATATCCACCTCATGCTGGGATGACCATTCTCTTGATGGATGGTCATTATCTGGCTAGGAGCTAACACTTCTATGGAGGTAGCACACAAATACTTCAAAGGTTCACCTTGCATAGCTATGGGAGATTAGTCAGTTTGTCTGCTCAGTTGTGAGCAGACTTGACCAATCAGACACTTACAGACAGCCTCTACTCCTTGACAGGCTCTATCAATATGTTGAACCATCACTGTATGAGCATCTCACTTGTAACTTTAGTGTGTATGAGCATGAGAAAAGGCAAGAAATGCAGTTCATGAGGTTATGTAGGAAAGATAATGCTTAACCAAGGTCAATATTGTAGTGATCAAGAAAACATTATATAGGGTCACAAACTCACATCTATCCAACCAAATATATATATATATATATATATATATGAGTTGTGATCAAATATAGAATCTGACAGAATGATAGGAGAAAAAACAAATAGGAAATATCTTATTAAAGCTTCATCAGAGATATATTTTCATCCCAAAAAAATGGTATATATGTAAAAACATTCTCAAATCAACATGTGAAAAACCAACAAGTATGTCTACCAGACATGCACACACACATACACTTACGAATATACATTATTATCTGAATCCCACATAGACAAACTAAAATTATTATACACTTACATACACACAGAAACATTTATAGTTTTTCAGGTAGCCTTAAAATCTGCTAATTTCTTGAACCTTTGGGCGAATACATCATCACATCTTGTATTCAGAACAGAATAAATTATACTAACGTTGGTTTAAAGTGTTGAATGCATGTGAATCATGATTGACCAATGAAAATCAAGCAACACAATAGTAACAATATCAGAATTTATTTCTTTTTTTTTCTCCATATATCATTCTCTGATGAAGTTTTAATAAAAGTGAAACATGTTAGATTGAAAAACGCTTTCTATTTGTTCTTATCTTACCATATATATATATATATATATATATATATATATATATATGATAAGATAGAACAAACACAGACTAAGTCAGCTACAGTCAGATAAAAAGAGGGAAAAAGACTAAATGAGCAAGTGTAAAGATAAAAAAAATGGGCAAAGGGCCAAATGATCATGACCCACCTCCATGCAGACAGGCTCACGTGAGACACATGACCACATGTGTTCAAGCACACACACAGAAAATACAAAAGAAAACTTACACAAGGGTTTAATGTGGTTAAAAGGAAATAATTGAAAAAAAATATTAGCAGCGAATTGCTGATACCACTTAAGAGTGGAGTCTACCTACAAAACTCTGGTGTCAGGATGCTGACTAAGTGACAATCAGCTAAGTGACAAACTTTTACTTCCACTAATCCTAAATATATATATATATATATATATATATATATATATATATATATAGTTAAATTTCCCAGAATAATTCTGAAAATATGACAAATTGGTTTAAAAATGACAATTGGAAAAAATTATTAGTTCTTGCCAATGTGTTTCGTCTTCTGACTTTATCAAGGCAAGCAATGAAAGTGAAATGTTTGTAGCCAGAGTTACATCAAATCTGAAATTTAAAAAAGAGACGCTCCTGCATAAGCCTCTTTCTGGATATTGGTATTGGTAACTTCCTTTTTACTAAGAGTTTGTTTTTGTTTTCCATGTCAACAATATAGTTAAATTTCCTAGTATATATATATGATGATCATCATTGTTTCCACTACTTTATAATAAAAAACAATGATACTAAGTATCATGACTTCATTTCTTATTGGGTGTCTCATGAATACGACTATGTAACAAAGTTCAAATAAATAAATTAACTAAATTGTGATATCTGATTTCTCCAAAACTAATAAAATATTTCTGGATGAGGCTAAATATCTTAAATGTTGACATTTCATACATGGGTAAAAATGGATAAAAATCAAGAGAAGAAATCACAGTGGATCAGGTGTATTTGGTATTTGACAATTATAATGTATAGCAAAGACAATGTTTAATGCAAAAATGTTTATAAAGGGTCATGTCTGGACTTACGTGCAGTTTTTCACCATAAACCTCTTTTCCTGATAAGAGAACAGATTCAGATTGTCAAATCTTATGAAATGTTTTTCTGTCTTATCTGGGTTCTCTTCAAATGAAGGTTCAGTTAACACGTCGTGACTTGAAACAATCATCACTTCAGCTTTTTGAGCAACACCTGAGACATAAAAACAAGCTCAGTTTAAAGAGAAATTTAAGGTGGATTTCATTATAACATAAGTAGTACTTAACCACCGTGCCTTCAAAAAAAAGGTGTGTCAAAAGGATGGTTATACCTTTGACACCACTATTGATCTGCACACTTTGACTCTCTCAGCAATAAGATTATAAAACTTTGTGAACCATATGCAATGTGATTTTTATTATTTATCTTTTATAAACAAATAAATTAGAAGAGAAATCTTTTGGTTCCAAAAATCTATAAAAAAAATTACAAAATTAACAAAGGTGAAACATTTTTCTCATTATTAAGGTTTATGTTCCTAATTATTCCACAACTTGTGTCTCAGTGGCTTTACTGACTTGCATGGGGGTGGGGGATACTGATTAAAAAAAATATTTATTGCAGTACGAGATTTCATCATTTTGCAATTGAAATGGTTAGATGTAACCATAAGTTCTATGCTAACAGTTTATTTTCTCACAGTTCTTACTTGTGGAAATCTCTTCTGGCTTCTTGATTGCCAGTCGACTTTGATCTTCAAAAATTTAGCTGCAATATCAAGCGTTATCTTCTGTCTTCTTAATTCCTTTTCTTTTATTGATCTCTCTCCTTAATAATGTTTTTCTTTTTCTTATATTCTTTCACATTCAGTAATCCCTTGTGTCTTAGTGGCTTTGTTGAAGTAGCATACAATAGTGGGGGCAGAGGGTACAGCAGCCCCAGATATCCATATTAGGATGGCATCCAATCAAAGAGTGAAATAAAAATTTAATTTATATTTAATTTGAATAAAGTGTTTATTTGATGTTTCATCTGTTTTTACAAATTTAAAATGTCTTCATTTCTCACATTTCTCAGCTCCCCACCCCAACTGAGTCTAAGGGGCATGCAATCTAAGGGTTGGCTCCAGGCATCACCAAACATCAACAAACCTCTGCATGTCACTGGTTTATTGCCTTACTTGGGATGAAATGATTAAAAAACAATAAACAGTGATAAAAAAACCATAACAAATTTATAAAAAGTTGAATGAGGCCATGCTTTCAGTTATATTGGATGCCAGAAATTAAAAATTTTTTATTTAAATATCCCTGCACCTTCAGCATTTCTGTGGAGGTTTAATTATAACCAATATTTTTTTTTTAATATTCACATTCCCTCTCTTTACATTTATGATTACATCAATAAAAACATTACTTAGTCTGAAGAATTCCTTTTGAAGGACAAAATGCATTACATAGGATTTTTCCATTTTGTCATTTAATTACCTAGTAGGCATCTGTTTACTTTGTAAGATAAAGGTAGCACCCTGTTTGGTCAAAATTCAGTCCTTTAGTGGTGAAACTTGAGTGACCTCTCCAGGGTACAAGCCTGGGCAATGGTATATAGAGGCCGTGCATTGTCCAGGTTACATACCCACTTCTTGGCTGTATCGACAAAATTCAAAGGATTACAGGACATTACATTTGGGGATGGATTGGCTGCAGGAGTTGCCAGAAAGTTGTCAGTGTTGACAGCCAACTGCCTTTGGGGCTCCATTTTGAGTTTACTTTCTGGATTTACTCCCATAGCCTTTTACATGTTTGGATATGACGACAGGATTTTTGCTCCCCTAGATAAACTGCCTTCCTGGGCTGTCAAGCTCTATCTACCCAAAGCAGCTGGTTATGAAGCACCACTTTTCTGCCTTCACCCAATCTCCCACTTGGAGCTGGACTTAGTTGTCAGAGACTATATTTGAGACGCATGCCATGGAAGGATTTTATAGACAGTGGGAGTTGTCCCCACTATCACTCCAGCTATGACAACCTTTGGAACATAATGTATGTATATAAACATTTATATACATTATGTGTTTTAGAAGCTTTAAAAAATTAATGACTTTTTTTAGATATGTAAAACATTAGGTAAACAAAAACACTAGAAGGCAAGACAAATTACAAAATAGTACATAAATAAACAAACATAAATATTAAAAAAATTGTTAATTTTAGAAAAAGATTGCAAAAACAAAAACTGAAATATATATCAGGATTTAAGCCTAAAATAACTTGAGATTATGAAGTCATTATTTAATATACAATACAGGCTTTTTGACAGAACAAACACCTAAACTATCAATTAATAAAAAATGAGAGTAGAAAATGCAAAGTTGATAAATGTAACTTCAGATAAGCAAAAACAGAATGTAAAAATAAGACAAAATGTATTAATATTTTTGTTTTTATACAGCTAATCTGAACATTGTTTAATTACCTATTAAATAAGGCCAGTAATTGTTGTGTCGGTTTTTAAAACTACATCTTAATTTAGTATCTGCTAAAATATCTCATATCAGAAATATATTAAGTGATATTAATTAATTATTGAGTACTAAATTTATTTAACAATGATAAAAAAAATCTCTATCTATAAAAGGCAGGATGTGTGTGTGTGTGTGTGTGTGTGTGTGTGTGTGTGTGTGTGTGCACGAATGCACGGCCGCAATTTTAGACGGATTTGCACCAAAATTTACATGCACATGCTCCAAGTTAGTGGGAAGGCCAAGACCAACTTTGCATTTCCCAACTCCTATCGATAGTGGAAATAATTGATTTTTTCATGCTTCTACAGCAGTTTTCATGTAGTTTGCGGGCATTTTGTACTGGCCAGAGTGAGAGCCTATAGCTGGCTGCCACAAATAGGCAGGAAGATTCTATTGGCCAGCACGAGAGCCAACAGTTGACTGACACGAATGTTAACTAGCATGCTAGCATGCAAAAAAAATCGATAGCTGCATTCCTCATAAGTGGGAAAAATTTAAATCTGCATGGCACTTTACTCCAACTAGCTCATTTGCTTGCTTAAACTCAATGTTGATTCTGATTCCGGGTTGAATGTGAAAAAGTATTTATTGTTAACATTCTTTTTTCATTCGGTTTTTCCAGTTACGGGTCCTTTTTTAAAGCTGATCATTTTGTGCTCATTTTGTTTAGTTCTTTTTTCGTAACAAATTTAATGTTTGATATAGAGCTTAGAAAAAATTTGCAGTGTGAGATAGGCAAGAAGTAAGGCATGTAGCAACATCAGCACAGCAAAGGTCACTCCTTTAAAGGCAAGGAAGGGCAAAAATTATTTTAAGTCAAGTGATAGCAATTGCTGTATGAGTCGTACGATTTTTGAATCAAGCACAGGCAACGCCGGGCCATGCTGCTAGTATGTGATAAAATGCTCCACAGTGTTCATATACTATTTATATTTATAAAGTAATTTTTGCTTTTAATATTAATTTTGATCTGTGTGATAGCTTCATCATCACATTACAAGTTCCATCTTTTGGGGCACAACATACACTGTCACAAATGTCATCTATTGGGGCACAGTATGTGCTGTCATAAGTCGCCTCTATTGGGATACATGTACTGTCACAAGTATCATCTATTGGGGCACAACATGTACTGTCACAAGTCCAGTGTACTGGGGCACAACATATACTGCAGCCATGGTGTTTTTATTACTTTAAAAATTTTGGGGTTATTTTAGTAGACAGCTTTGTTTGAATAGACACCAGGAACTCATAAATAGTTCTTTAGAGGCTCTTTTGGTAACCATTATGCTTCATTGAGTGCTTCATCCCCAAAATGCTATAATGTAAAATAGATGTGATAACCTTTCATAAAAATGTTAGAGTAAATCATAAACTGTATTTGATCAAGAAATATAATTATAGAAATATGTATAAAAATAGAAACAACAAAAAACACATTTCACATCATTATTTATGAGTCCCTATAATCTATTAGGATCATAGGGGTACTATATGTACTCCAGCCATAGCGACAGTGGTGTGTCTAGGGAAAGATAGCTTGATGGAGCCCATCTCTTCAAGAGGGACCAATCACCTTTGCTATTTAACCTAACCTGAAAAAAGAGCTTAATTCATAGCTTTCCTAAGGGTATTTATAAAAAAGTGAATGTAACTTGGTTGGAATTTGAAGTCAGTTTGCCAATTTCTCCTTCCATGTTGCTAACTATTGCACCACCTGCATATCCATGTCATAGGTTACTTTGACATTAAATAAATTAAAATCAAGGGGAGTCACTTTAAAAGTTATATGCACAATTTTCACATAACATGGCAAAATTTGAACACTGTCATTTTTTATAATAACCTTTGATGGATCATTTGCAATCAGATCAGAATCTGTGAAAATCTTTTAGGTGTAAAATTTAAAATTCTATTTACATACCAATAATATCAATGTATTTCACTTGACAATTGTCGCAAACTATGGTCACTTTTTCTTGGAAAGTTTTTGCTTCCTCTGGTTGAAAAACAATTTCAAGGACACCAACTTGACCACTCAACATTTCAAATGTGGACGGCCTGATCACAAATGGAGGAATGGTAACAGTTTCTTCCCGAACAACAGTCTGAATAGAATAATTTGAAAACTTCATAAAAAAGTTTGTCAAAAACACGGTATGAATTCAAGATAATATCACTACTAGTATATATAAAGAGACATCAAAGAATATAATGCCAAGTGTCTGGGGAAAATAAGAAATAAGACTATATAGGTACATTTTAATTTCTGCAACCAAAGGTTCCTGTAGTTCAAACAGCAGAGCAGCTGTCACGCAATGACAGGCTTCATATGAAAAGAGGGATATGAGTTTCTTTGTTAGTGTTTTCCATGCGATCAGCACATTTTTCTGATGACCATCATCAGAATAGATAGAGACAATTGTTGAGTTTCATAGAACTAGTAAGTGTTGTGAAGTAGGCAAAGAATGTTGTGACATAAGCGAGGTGTGATGTGTGTGTTTTTTTATATACATTTGATGATGCTGGCTCTTATAATTGTTTTTATTTATGAATTGTTGTTTTTGTTGTATGTGTATTGCTATAAGGATCATAAAGTCTATTTTTACTTCTCAGCACTGATTTCTGAGCTGTTATCCATTACACCATCTATAAATCCAAGCTTACAGCACCTGGTATTCCTAAGTGGTCACCCATCTACATATTGACCAGGCTCGACATTGCTTAACCTTATTGAACATACAAGATCCAGTTTTGCAACATGATATGGGTATATGCCAATATATATATATATATATATATATAGTTTTAAGGTATGCTATATTTATGGGATAAAGTGCTCAATATCAGAGATAGAGCATATGTAAATATAAAAGTGAACATTGAAGTCAACACTCAGAGGCGACAGACTGTTTTATGGTAGTGGCCTGATGATTGCATCTAGTATGAAACAGTCTGTTGGCTCTGAGTGTTGACTTCAATGTCCACTTTTATATATATATATATATATATATGCATGTGTATGTGTTTGTGTGCATATATATGAACATATTTGGTGAGTTCATGTGTCTGAGTAGATATCCTTGTTTTTTTTTTTTTAATGGAAATTAATATCTACTGGCCTAGAAATCAAAAGTCTTATTAAAGGAAATGTGCTTCCAAGCTGAACACTAGCATGTATTCCCTTTTTAACCTGAGAAAAGCATGCCTGGCTTGAAGGTGGTTTCTCAGATTAAAAAGGGTATACATGTTTGATTTTTATCAGAAGGTACATTTAAAACAAAAAAAATTACCCTGAAGTTTGTGGCTGGCCAATTAGAAGCAGGCAGCAAGCAAAAGCAACCAGGACCTCCATCATTCTTAAGCACAATTTGGGTCATATGAACAGCTCCAACCAGACAATAGCCTAAGTTGATTGCAGGTGGTACTGAAAATATAATAACAGAACAATTGTGAAATTTCTTTGATTGTATTGTTTAACCAATGAATATCAAATAATTCAAAAATAGAAATACCAGAATTTCTTTTTCTTCATATCTCAATTTCCTGATAAAGTTTTAACAAAATTGAAGCATGTTAGATTAATAAACATTTCCTATTTCTTATTATGTTTCTTATGTTTAACAAGTTGAATGCAAACAAATGCTAGTATAATTTGTGGCTTTACGAATTGAAGGAGAGATGATGCGTCCCTTTGAAGTTCCAAGAAATGAATGGATTCCAAGCCTATCTGAAAAACTGTAAATATTACTTTATATATGTAATTGTATAAATAATTCTAGTTTGTCAATCAAATGATAATGTATAATTGTAAGTATGTGTGTGTGTGTGTGTGTGTGTCTAGTAGACATTATCTGTTTTGATCTTTTGCATATTGATTTGGAAACATTTTTATGTACTTACTGTTTTAGATAAACCTAAGTTAGATTCTTTAAGAATGGATGCAATAAAGGTTGGTGATGTAATATAATATTTTGATGTGTATTTATAGTTGGTAATATCTCAAAGTACTTTCTCTGTAAAGAAATATGTAAAATCAAAGTTATAGCCAGTTTTGTTCCTGTGTATTACAAGTGAGCTTAAATAAAACAAAAGACTTGGAAATAAATAAAAGGAACTGTTAATTGATAGAACTGAGGCAGTCAAATAATTTGATTTTGTTTCTGTGACTTACATGTTAGAACCGGATGTGGCCTTTTACCCAAAAGAGGAACAGAGATGGAATTTGAAGTCTGTGTAATGATTTTCAGCTCATCAAAAAAATCACCAAGAGAATCTGGTGCAAATCGGATGGTATAGATACAACTCATTCCAGGTGCCACCAGACCATGATCCCCAGGAAACTGACCTGAAATACACAGCATTCAATTTGAGTAAATTAACAATTAGGTTGAAAAATACCCAAAATAAAATTTTTCATACTGTAAGAAATCTTCTACAATCTGAAATATATTTTGAATTTAAATAATCCACAAAAGGTTGATAAGCCATAAAACAAATCCTTAACTTTGGCACAGAATTATATCCAGACCCCATTTTGGTCAGACAGTATGTTCTACCTTTGTGTTTAAATTTCTGGGATGAGGACTTATCATTATTTACAGTTGAAAAAATGTCTTTTTCTTTGTTGTTATTATCCTCACAATGTTTCAACCTTATATACTCATAGATTGGATAAAGGGTTCAGTTCAAAATTCCTTGAAGGTTACTCGGATTGACAGACACCTGAAGAAGGCTAGGGCACACAATGGCTGAAACATTGTGATAGTAATAACATCAATGATAAGGACATTAGTCTGACTATAAATATTGTCAATAATATTCTACCTTTATAGTTTGCCAGCTGATACAGGTTTTTAGCCAGGTGTTCATTATATTTGAATTCTTGAATCTCTTACTTTATCTGAGAAGCTTAAGTTTTCCCTCGTGCACATAATATCCTGTGGTTTGTGTATCATAAAATACCTACTAAGGGTTGTAATACCATCAGAAACTCAAAAGTTGTATGAAATATGTAAAAAACTATCAATAAGAACTCCAGAAAGTCAATTAAGTTCATTGCTAAAGAGCTCAAGTTTTTAAGTCTCTCTATTGGAAGAATGAGGACCTTTGATAAACATCATAGGTGATGTGGAAAGACCAATTTCTTCACACAGAGCTTTGGTACTGTAAGCATCCTCTGTAAATCTGAAATATGTTTCACCTTTGATAACCCACAAAAGGTTGATAAGCCATAAAAATCAAATCAAAACCACACAGAGCTGGTGCAAAACACTGAAATCTACTCTTCTTGTTGTTGAGCTGGGTTCTGATGTATTTGAAAAGAACATAGGCTTAGTATGCCACTATATAAATGTTATGGGATCTTACCAATAATAATAATAATGGACTATTCCATACTTAATAAATACTGCGCCTCAGGAGTAGACAAGGAGTCAGTAGTTCAAGTCGAGTCAGTAGTTCAAGTTGAGTCAAGAGTCGAGTCAGAGGCAGTCCGAAACAGAGTCGAGTTCAGACAATTACTGCAAGACACTAGAATAGTGATACTGGTCAAGACTACATTGTTCTCTCTACTAAACCTGATTGTTCATACTAACACTTCTACTTCTCTGTATATATTCCTGTTTGTAATATATCTGTGTTATTCCATACCTGTGTTCGAGTTCTTCTTTATTGGTTCTACCTTGGACTATCACCGTGGTACAAGAAACCGGACCATAACAATAAAAATCTTTCAAATAATACCTAAAAATTCACAAAAATTGATATATACTTACCTAAACCAATTGTAAAGTATTTGGAAGCTGGCGGTAAAACTCTGCATGTTCTCAATACAGTGGATACATTTTTCAATTCAAGAGTAGCCTGTAGATGTATAAATAATTAGATTAATGATAACTTTTATAATTTCTAGCAATGAAAGAAAAAGGTAAAAACATTTTGTGATTATAATCATTATGGTGTAATGGATATTGTCTTGGAATGAGAAATAGGAGAGTCAAGTTTGAATTCCAGTTGGGTTTGTTAAATTCACTTACACTACAGTTCAAAAGTTTGAAGACACTCTCAGAATTAGGATGGAATGAACTTGACAGAAATGTGAAAAAAAAAATGAAAAAGAGCTCTTAAATTCATTGAATAAAAGAATGGAATCAATTATCAAACTTATACTTTTGCAATGAATGCCAAAAATTTGTGCTGCAGCAATCAAGGCTAAAGGAAGAAATTTTGATGAGAACAAAATTTAATCATAAAATGCTTTTTATCATAATAAAATTTCTAATAAAAAATCATGTCTCACATTTTTTTAACTAAGTATAATAATTTACTATTATTTAAACTACAAAACAACTATATTTTGTGCCAATTTAAAAAATTACCAGGGGTGTCCTCAAACCTTTGAACTCTTGTGTACTTACAAATACACTTGGGGAAAATATGAATCCAAATTTTCTCCTCCCAGCCATGAGTGGAATAGCAGGACAGACTTTGGTTGGCAGCCAGTCTACCACAAGAAGAAATGGCAACCTACTAGGAAAATCTTCTGACTAGTCAATCATGAATTGAAAGAGACATGATCACCCAATTGTGTATAACATATGGCATGTAACTGACTGATTGTTGCAGCTCAGTGTTTGTTCTCAGGGTGTAGCTTCTTCCATTCAAATGCTTGTGGCTTAAAAAATACCTCTTCAGACAGACCCATGAAATAAGACCATCAGACAAAATTGTATCAGTAGGCAAATTTTATTCTGGTTGTAACCTTCTGTTGTAGACAGACAAGGCAAAGGTAAAACCTGTTGAGGACACAAACTGTCTAACAGGCATCTCTTCTTTTTCACATCACAGCAGGTGATCTCTTGTCCCTCTTTGGCTTATGCTGCTAAGAACCACTGTCTTATAGAAAACAGTGTGATTTATCTGGTCATCTGTTTAAAAAACTAATTCATCAAATCCACTTCACTTAGCTTAATTTCTTTGTCAGGGTCATTGACATGGTTCTTGGAAGGTCTACTTCACTTAGCTGATAATCATCAAGACAATAACCATTAAAGCAATTTATGTAACATCTTTCAGGTGTTTTTCTTTAACAAGATATCAGCTGATACTGATATTGCTACAGATAATTCTGTTATAGGATTCAAATTGGATCTGCTCTACATGAAATCAATGATCATTAACTTTGTTTTAGAATCAATAGCACAATGTGTTAATTAAATTCCAAGTTGGAATAATTCAGTTCTAAGTTAGATCACAGATGACAGTTTAAGAAAACAAATAAAAGATATGTTCCAAGGACATTGAATTCTATTTAATTTTTCAAAACAATGAAATGAAATTCCATTTACATTGATGGCAGATGTTTTCTCGGAACCTTTAAGGCCAAATTAATATAAAATTGAAAGTTCAAGAGAGTATAAGAATTACCAGCTAAAAAAAGGCAAAAATGACAAACCAGGCTTATATTCTGGTAGAGATTACTAATGTTTACTTAATGCTAATAGTCTTGGAGAAAAGTATATATTTGTATCTCCCTACAGTTTGTCAAATTGATAGATATCAAGTTAAAATATCTTGTCATTGGCATGCCACATTAACTGGGACAGAAGAGGGAAAATTTCAGCTAAGCTACCCTCTCATAACTACCTTACCATATAATCAGTTGTAACAGTATACAGCTCTTACACTTATTGCCAAATTTGACAGAGACTATTTGTTTCTTAAAATGTGGTTTAATAGTAGTGAGGTATAGGACATTGCTTACTGTTCTTGTGCAAATTAGACTATGCTATTTGTTCTTATTCAAATATGACTGCTAACCTGTGCATGTGAAAATATGACTTTGCTTACCTGTTCATGTGCAAATAAGTCTTTGCTTACCTGTTCTTGAGCAAATAAGACTTTGCTTACCTGTTCTTGAGCAAATATGATTTTGCTTACCTGTTCTTGTGCAAATATAACTTTGTTACCTGTGCACATGAAAAATATGATTTTGCTTACCTGTTCATGTGCAAATAAGATTTTGTTTAGCTGTTCTTGAGCAAATATGATTTTGCTTACCTGTTCTTGTGCAAATATTACTTTGTTACCTGTGCACATGAAAATATGACTTTGCAAATAAGATTTTGTTTATCTGTTCTTGAGCAAATATGATTTTGCTTACCTGTTCTTGTGCAAATATGACTTTGCTTATCTGTTCTTTGCAAATATGACTCTGCTAAACTGTTCATGTGCAAATCTGACTTTGCTTACCTGTTCTTGAGCAAATATGATTTTGCTTACATGTTCATGCACAAATAAGGCTTTACTTACCTGTTCTTGTGTAAATAAGACTTTACTTACCTGTTTTTGTGTAAATAAGACTTTGCCAACATGTTGATGCAAAAATAAGACTTTGCTTACCTGTTCTTGTGCAAATATGCCTTTACTTACCTATTCTTGTTGAAAGTAAACTTTACATAACTGTTCTTGTGCAAATAACAGTCTAAGTTATTCATTCAGTTTAGTGCTTAAAGACAATTCAAAAAATGATTTTTCTTTTTTGAATTAGTGATATGCTTGCATGTATGATAAATCCATTGACACAAACAAAGAAATAAAAACTGCAACCAGCAACAACAAAATGTCAGTCTTTCTAGCTCAGCCATGTTTTATTCTCTCAGTTCCCCAGTGTATCTTCCTCCTGGACTAACTTTCCAGTTTCTACAAACATGGATTCAAGAGGGCATAAGTTTTTCATTACATATAATAAATGGATGACTGATTACAATATTATTAAAAGAAGCAAATTAACAGATAAAGACCAAATAATATATATAATGTCTGAAAAGTAACAGGATTGGTTCTACTGTATGAGTTATGGATGAAAGAGGGATAAGTGGATTGTATTATCATCTAACATGATATCATTGGCATATATAACTAATCTTAGCTCTCTGCAACCACTGCATTTTTTTTCACATATTTTTAAGACAGGACAAATCATGGTTGCTTTAACACTACAATGCACCTGCTCACAACACCCTGGGCCTCTGACAGTTCCTGGATGAGAAAAACCTTGCCATACTGGAACAACCTCCCTATTCACCTGATCTTGATCCATGTGACTTTTTTCTTTTCCCCAAGCTCAAGGGGATCATCAAAGGGGCTTCTTTTGAAGATGAAGAGGCCATCAAGAAGGACATAACAATGAAGCTGAGGGCCATCCAAGGAAAATTCTTCCAGTAGTGCACAGAAGCATAGCAGAGAAGGATGGCAAAGTGCATTAGTCTCAAGGGGGGGTATTTTGAAGGGTAAATGATGTAGTTAGGAATTGAAATAAATTTTTTGTAACACCAGTCCGATTACATTTCAGACAGACCTTGTAAACTAAATAAAATACATTATTCAATAGCTTTGATTGTTTTACACATTTATAGAATTCATGATTATCATCACAAGTTCCATTGTTCCCAAGGTCATTGGGACAGCCCATGTACTGCAGCCATAGCATAGGTGTGTCTAGGGCAATATAGCCTGATAGAACCCATCCCTCTGGTTTTGAATTCTTTATTGTCTTTCTTTTAGAATAGTTGCCCTACCAAGGCTAAAGAGCTTACTCTGTTCTTATTGACATGCTTAAATTTAGAGATTTTCTTGTCTTTGGCAGCCAGCCATCCAAGATAAGAAATATCAGTCTACCCTGCTATTTAACCCATACCTAGAGAGAAAAGAGATGGATTCATTCCTTTCCCAAGGATATTAGTGTGAAAATGAATATAAAAGATTCAGTTAGAATTTGAACTCAGCACATCAGTTCTTCTTTTCATGCCAATAACTGTAATGCTACCCACACTTTCATTAAGAGTTATTTATTTATTCATTAAAAAAATATTACCTCATAGATATTTCCGGTTTTGTATTCATTGAAAACAATTTCTTTTGGGAGGGCTATGAAAACAGCTGATCTGAAAAAAAGCATGGCAAAAATTTTAAGCTTTACAATAAGAATGTATATGGTTCCCTCATAAAAAAAAATAGAGAAAATTTTTATTTTTAAATGATTTTTGTAGATTAACATTCATTAGACCTTCCTCTATGCACAACATGTCAAAATAAAAAAAAAAACATATTGATTTTTATTATTTAAGAAGTTAGGGGGGGGCTGTTCATGACATAAATACAATGTTAAATCAATTCCTGACTTGTAGAGTTATCTGTACTTTGTTTTTATTTACAAATGTCAAGTTTGAAACTTTGCTTATGTCACAGATAACAGCATGCTATTGATATTGTCCTTCTTCTCAATTTGTAAAAGTGCACACAATGTAAATTCCATTTTAAACTTGACATAAATAAATAAGAACAAAGTATGGAGAACTCAAGAAGATAACTTAAGAAGTCAAGAATCAATTTGACACTGTATTTATATTATAAGCAGCCTTGAATGCCTAAAGCTCACTCAACTTCAAATGAAATGCATATAGTCATGTCATCATAAAATATGCTTTGAGAATGGTTAGTTCCTTGTATAATTCCAAAAAATGCTGAACTCCTGCTGCCATGCTGCAAATTCCACTCAAACAGCTTCGTCCCCAGAACTGTTACTTTGTGAAAACAAAAATCCTTCTTGAAGACCAGAGTCAAGCAGTATCTATCCTACACTACCTCATAATGTGCTCTTCTCACTCCCTTACAACAATCTCATTCAGTAACCTTCTACTGAAAGTGGCCCTTGGGCTTTATATTGTGTGAACTAACAACATAAAAAACAATGCTACTTTGTGGTGAATGCATATCATTACAGATGCAAAAGAGGCCCTCTATTGTGTATAAACATATTCAAAAAACAGTTAGTCACATACAGATTTCTCTGTTAGCAGTAGAATGGCTTGGCATATCCAGATATAGGCCTCTTTGTAACTTGTCCAGATCCAGGTTTTTGTCAATTGTCTCATGTCAATAAAAGTGATATGAAAACCAGCAGTATGCAGTCTGGTTTTGGCAAGATGCACATTGCTATCATTGGAGATTCAGTATTTTGTAAAGATGTTCCCTTTGCACATTTTGTTCCGGAAGTTACGTCCTGCCTGTTGGGTTGTGGTTTTTGAGGTAGTGACTTTCCTTGTCATTATTCATCTCTCCCTTCTCTGTCTGTTCCCATGTAATTGTTAAGAGAACAATCTATTAGCTGTTAAGTGTTAACACAGCCTTGTCTTATTTTTCTACATACTTGTGGCTGTTTGGTGAATTAGTCTGTCAAACATGTGAAATTCAAATGCTTGCTGGTCATTTTTGTCTGCATTAAATGAAGTGCTGAATAATCAGTTGCTGGAAAATTTGAGATCCATATGTATTAATTTGTATATATTTATATAATGAAGAAAGAAGGGTTGGAGAATGTAACATGCATAGGACATATTTAAGGCAAGAGTAAATATCAAATAACTTATTTAATAAGCTTGTAATAATGGATGCCAGCACAGGGTGTGAGAGGGATAGTAAAGAGACAAGCATTGCTAAATTCTGTGAAGGATAGGAAGTTATGGAGAGCAATGACTGCACTGTTGTGAAGGCACATAAAAGAAGAAGCTGATTAAGAGAAAGTTGATAATGGTTGAAAGATACATTAATTTTATCAAATAAAAAAGATTATGTTAGCAGTCTTTATTGATCAACTGTAAGAGGAATGAATTTAGAAAAAACTTTTCTTCTTATTTGTAAAACTAGCTTAAAAGCTGCCCCGTTGGGTGGCATTTAAACTACCGCCAGCAGAGGGCCCTGGGCCTTTGGCTTGTTCAGGAGTTTTAGAACCCTAAGTATTTGCATATTCTCATCATTGGAAGCTCTCCTGACTGCCACTTGATCTCGGTTCTAATTTGTATGGGACTTTCTTTTTCTCACTTCAGCCTTGGCTCTTTTGATTGCAATCTGGTATTCTGTTAACTGAGATTTCTTTTTGCGTGGCATACTGTTGCCGTAAGCGATAAGCAACAATAAACTACATATGAACTCAAAATTGTTTGCTGCATTTAAATAATGCATTAATATTTAAGCTTATCTTTTAAAAGTTCAATGATAATTTTTCTGCTACCACTTAATTTAAAGACAATTTGATGTGCATAGGTCCTTACTTTCCATACACACAATTATTTTTATTTCATGAGTAACTTTCACTGGATTTTGCAATTAATTTCAATTATTCCCAAATTTATTTCAAAGTTATAAAAATTGTTTTCATAGAAAAAATTTGTTACAAAAAAATCATGTAAAAAATCACCAAAATCAATTGCAGTAATGAAAAATTGGGAATCCAAAATTTCTGTAACATGAGCTATTGAAAGTTAGTGTTGTGTACCTTTAATTGAAAAAGTGTGATACAGTGACACACTGACATTTATTATATAGAAAAGAAGATGAGCTAATGAGAGTTGTGTCCCTTTAATTGAAAAAGTGTGACATACTGATATTATTATTTATTATATAGGGGATGAACTATTTAGAGTTGTGTCCCTTTAATTGAAAAAGTGTGACACTGACATTGGCATTTATTATATAGAAGAAAATATTCAGCAATGTCAAATGTAATAGTGTAGCAAAGGCAACATATATTTGTAATATAAATAAAATAGCTTGTATTTAGCTATGAAGGGTGGACTGTAATATAGAACTAATATATAACATATATTTATTTAAAAATAGTAAATTGTAATGGAGTATAAATGTGTTGACTTCTTGTATGAAGTCTACTAACTTCTTCTGTGTGCCAGACATAGGCGATCATGGCTCTCTACAATTTCCTGTCCTTTGTAGCTTTTAATAAATTTTGTCTTTTTGTTATCTCACCTAAATTTTGTTTTGTCATCCATTTATTCAAACTTGTCAGGTAGGTTATGCATGGGTTCCTTCTCTCCCTCTTGCGTTCATTGTGTCCCATGAGTATCAAATTTTTCAAACCTCCTTTCCTCACTATGTGCCCTAGAAATTTATGATGTTACATAGAAGTGCCTTTTTTGTTTCCATTTTCTCAAAAACTATTTTGTTGTGCTGATGTTCGGTCCATGGTATTCTCAGCATCTTTCTGTAGAACCACATTTCTGTCACTTCAAGTCTCTTCTCCATCTGTGAGGAGATTGACCAGCATTCACTGCCACATAGGGAGACTGATATTACATAAGAGTTCAGTACTCTTTTCATTGTTTCTAATGAAATTTTCCTGTTTCTACTACTTTGCTTAGCTTTTGGAAGGCATCTTTCGCTATCCCAATGCATCTTCGGATATCAGTGTTATACATTGTCCCCTGTTAAAACACTTTTCAAGTATTTAAATTGTTGTACTTGTTTGATTTTGGTATCTCCAATTTGTTATTTGTATGTTGGACTGTTCCTCTTGGTAACAACCGTGCATTCTGTCTTCTTGCAATTGATGTTTAATCCTTTCTTCACTACATTCTGGAAGAGTTCTTGTAGTTTCCTTTCTGTGTTTGCTATCAACGCAGTGTCATTTGCATATCTTATGTTGTTAAGATTGTGACCGACAACAATAAAGGCTGGTAGGACTTCTAGTTCTCTCAGAATCACTTCACTGTATAGGTTGAATAAGTCTGGTGAGAAAACACAGACTTACACCACCTTTCTATGTTTGTATATTGACTGAAAATTTAGGTGAAAATGAAACAGTTTGTAGGGATGCACTGCATGCTTACTACTAACATTTTATTAAATTTTTGTTTTGTTTCTTGTGTTTAAAATTAAGATAGGATGTATGCATGTGAGATGAACAAAATTCTGTTTCAATCAAGGCTGACCAAAGTTGGGATCATCTTCATTGTGAATTCTATAGTCCTTTCATTAGCTGCATAGTATGTACTTTGCCTGGGCTATATATGGTTTTTGAATTCAATCTTCAAAGAATGAAAAGCACAGTTTACTTTACTATTTAACCCATAGCTGGAGAGAGAACAGGCAGATTCATACCTTTCCCAAGGGTATACAACATAGAGTAGTAGGCCAACTGCATTTGGGATCATTGTGAACTTCATGACCCTTTAATAGTATGTGCTTTGCCAGGGCTACAAATGTTTTTTAAAACAGAGTTGTCATCCTAGACTGGTTGCCAACCAAGGCTGAAGAACCTAGTCTGCTCTACTATTTAACCCATAACAGGGATTAGTACCCAACAGGTTTTGAATTCAGAGTTGTTCTTCTAGACTGGTTCCTAAGGCTGAAGTGACTACTCTGCCCTATTATTTGCCCATAGCTGGGAGCAGAAGAGGTGAATTCATGACTTACCCAAGGGCATTTGTGCATAAATGAATGTAACTAACTTGACAAGAATTTGAACACAACTCTCCAGTTTCTCATTTTGAGCCACTACCATCTGGAATAATAATGCTGGATGTGCAGGTGGTGTAATGGATAGCAGCTTGGAATGAGAAATGGGAGAGCCATGTTCGAATTCGAATCAAATTTGTTACACTCACTTATGTGCAAATACTGTTGGGAAAAGTATGAATCCATCTCACTCCTAGCTATTGGTTAAACAGTAGAGCTGACAGGGCTCTTCAGCCTTGGTTGGCAACCACTTTAGGAGAAGAACAATCATGAATTCATAATCGTATTTAGCCATGATGAAGCATATATTATATGAGCTAATGAATGGGGTTCACAATGATTATGATCCTGACTTCTTGGTTAGAAATTCTGTAAGCACTCAGTTGAACTGAGGAAATTACTAGCATCTTTTTAATACAAGCAATGGCACATATAGAGGTAAGCAAAAGGGTCAGTTTACCCTGGGTAACAAGTTTTGGGGTGGATTGACATTTAGAAAAATTAGTATAATGAAGCAGCATGTTGTAATAAAGTCGATGTTGTCCAGTTTTGGAATGTTGTTTAGAGGGGCGGCAAATCATCTTGATCATACAGGGTAGAAAATATGCTAGGTACATCACTGAGAACAAAGGATTAATAATCTTAACACTGCAAGCCAAATTTGACAGATATTTTTACACAAAAACTAATAATGGTTAACAAGATTTTCACTTCTCTGTATGTGAGGGTTAGAAGACAAGAGAAAAGGCCCAAGATGGAAGTTAGGAATTGCAGATATAAACATCAAGAAGGTGCAGAATGAGAAGGTGCAGAAACGTTTTAAGAGACGATAGAAAATGTGACACAGAGATTCAAACAAGCATTGGATGAGTGAAATAAATATTACAAAAGCTAAGAAAGGTGTTGAGAAACAGAAAAATTTTGTTAGAAGCAAAGAAAACTGGAAAGCTATACGATATCCATTCTTTTATATGGCAATAAATATGGGACAATCTCCCTGATGGATGAGGAGAAAACTAGAAGCAGCAGAAATGTGGCTCTGCAGAAGGACACCGAAACTCCATGGATGGAGTGAGTAAACAAAGACGTCTTTAAGAAGATAGTAACAAAAGAACATGTATGCTCAGAATCAGAAAGAGAAAGCTGAAATTCCTTGGACATATTATGATGATTGGTTAATTTGTTTGTTTAATGGCATATGAACTCCTTATGGGTCATTTAATACCAAAATTTAATTTTCTTGGGAGCTTTGAAATAATAAAAATATGATATATGTTATTCTGCTTTTACAATTGAATACATGGTAGATGATACTCGGATTTTGTGCATATACCTGTTTATGTGGACATAATTCCTAGAGGTGGTGATATGTGTGTTTTATGTTGTAGTTTTGTTGTAGTTATATTTTGGAATACAGTTTCAATTCTTCAACAAATTGTAGAATATTAATGTAATGAAAGAGTTCTTTCATCTTAGTTGTTTGGTTGGTTGATTGATTGACTGATTTTGTTTGGTGCCATATCAACCTTTATGGTTTATTTAAATATTTTGCATGTAATTTTATGCTTTCAGAGTAAAGGTATGTTTAGATATATATTTTGTAGATCATAAAATGTATTGTTGGTAATTTTACTACAAAAATGTATTTTTATATTTTAGTGTTGCCTTGATTGTCATTTTGCTATAAAAATGCATTGTTGGTCATTTTATTATAAAAATGTATTTATTTTTGTTTCGGGGTTCATTATTTGCCCATAGCTAGAACCCTAACAGGTGCTACCACCCCAGGTCAAGGGTAGACCTGGGAATAATAGCAATTAAGAGGTGGTTCCATGCTCCTCCAATTCCTCTTAATCAGAGGCCTTGCTGCTGGATGTAGTTTATCGTCATACCCAGGACAAAGAAGGGCTTGTAAAACTGAACTGTCATGGAGCCTACTGAGGAGAAGGGTGGAGCAGGTAGCGAGCCATTTACTTGACAAGCTTGTGTGAATGGATGGCTGAATGAATACAGGGTCTTAGCAAAAGGAGAAAATTAGTAAGAGCCACAAGGGATAGGAAGTTGTGGAGAGCCATGACCGCCTATATCCTGAAGAGACACAGCACATAAAAGATGAAGATGTGTGAGTGTTTGCATTTTGTTATCATCTAAGAAACTGATTCTTAGTTTTGCATGAAATAAAGACTTACTCTTCATCATTGTCTTCTTGCAAAGAAGTATCTGCCTGTGTGGAATTCTTCTTCTGGTGGATTAAAGATGTCATCCCGGAGATCAGGGATAGATTCTGGTGACGGGGATTGCGCAAGAAATTTGCTTTAGCCTCCATTTTTGCCATAATAGTTTTTTCCTTTAGGCGTTCTGCCAAGCTAGGATACTCTTTCCAAGCATTGTTAACTGGAAATACCTGATGATTAAATCATAAAAGCATAAAAAAGAAAGAAAAAAATTTTCATTTACATCTGTGGCTGAATTTTATAATTGAACCCACAAATAATTGTTTCATGACTTCTGTATATGAGAAAAGAAATAACATCAAGACAAACCATGCATACAAGTTTCAGCCAATATATATATATATATATATATATATATATATATATATATAATAAAAAAGGCTCAAACACTAATATTCCATGGTTATAATCTATAACATTGGAATCATAATCAATGAGAACTAAAAGTAAGATTTATAACCTGGTATTCTTATTAATTATTTTTATTTTTCAAAAGCAGTTCTCAATACAATTATGTAGAGCATAAACATTAAAAATTTACTAATTTAAAAATATGGTCCCATCGCTACACAGGAACTACCATGTTTCAAAAACAGAAACTAAAACATTAAATTTAATTATAGAATTAAATTAAAATCCCTAGTACTGTTTCATTTTTGAACAATTATTTTGAAATTTACTGAGTTTATAAGCATATACATTCTTGATATTAGTTACTAAGGTTACAGGAAATTCAATCATTTTGATAAGGGGTGATAGAGTATTCATTTTCATAGACAACCTGTGTAATATGAATATCTTGAATATATCATTATTTTCTCTTCAAGTTACATAAACTATTTTAGTTGTTTCTGTTGTTTAAGGTTCTCAGGTAATATGGTTTCTGTTATTTGGTACAGTTTTGTTAGTGATTCTGTAGCATCAGTGAATGAGGTTTGAAGAAGGACAGTCCTCTTGAAGACCTACAGGTTTCATTTGCTGGAAACCATTTTTACTCATTGATTTGAGAAAATGGTTGTATATAGCTGACAGTTTAGATATTTCTGAACAAATATGGCATCATGCACAGCCTCCATTTGAAAGTCTTGATCTGACAAAGCTAATTAAAGATATGACTTGAGTTTTTAGGCTAATCTTTTGGCTTTGTAGCAACTTGTGGTGTTGGGCGAAACTAACCCTAGTACAGCATGTCCTATGTTCAATTTACCTATTTCTTATACTAAATATGTTATAACAGATGCATACACTGAGGTCTTTGATGTTTTTAGCATTTGTAAACTCATCTTGTTCAGGAAATATTTGAGTGTTGTAATTGAAACATTCAATTATTTTTTACATCATTTGCAACATCTGCATCTGATTTTATTGTGTTTTTATCCACCAATCTCCTGATATAATGAATAGAGCTTGTGGTCAGCTTGCATGGTTGACCTGGTCACTTGTGTATGACTGACTTTTTTGTAATTTTGGCAAATCACTGACAATATATTTTTCTATTACCATAATGCATAGTGGTCAACACAAAGTTTTAAAAATACAGGGTGCAGCAAAAATACCTCTGAGAAATACCTTCCACATAATAGTAAGACAGTAGGTGGTATTTCTGGGAGGTATATGTGGGAGGTATTTCTGATGCACCATCTATTTAAATATATGAAAGAAGACACAAGTACATTTGCGTGGATCTTCAAAATGGCCAGAAGTATAGTCAAAAGCACATTGGACCCAAATATATGTTCCCTCTTGTGTAAACAAAAAAAAAAAAAGAAGAAAAAAGGTTTAAAATATTCTTATCAGCTGTTTCAAATCAAATTTCTATCAATGAAAAACTACTACTTAAATATATACATAAATAAAAACCACATTGTCCATCAGAAAATTTTAAAGTAGGTTTATGATAGCTTCCAAAAAACATGATTACTAGAAATCAATATTTAATTAACAAACAATAAATGAAGTTGACTGGGTTAATATTTCAGTGTTTATTTTTTTGTCATCTCAAGAACATACTTGCACACACACCTAAAGAAGAAAGAAGCACTTACATATTCATAGAAAATAATATTTGAAACAAAAAGAAAAAATAAATTTAAAAAAATATCTCAGTATTTATTTACATTACTAGTATAGTACCTGTCAAAAACAATTGGTTATCTATACATAAATAATCACATCATTTCTATGAATAATGTTAAATTTAATTTTTGTTCATTTAAATGAATTTAACATATCAGTAACATTTTAATAAAAAATAAGCCACTGTGCTATTACTAAAACAACTGCAGTAGGATTAGCAGGAGTGATAATGCCAGCAGCAGACTTGAACACAGACACAGAGCCTTTGCTTTATATGTTCCTTTCTGTTTCTTACAGTATGACAAAAGCCAATGAATAAAAAAGTGAAATCAGCTTTCATATAAGATCATTAGGACATACATAAAATATGAAAAACTTATTTACTAAAAATCAAATAGATTAACTAATAATAAATTTTTAGATTTATTTTTATATCTTCCCTATTCCCACTTAACATCAAAACTAATTCTCAATCCCACCATGGGAGTTTTTCTTTTTCTTCAAAAAAAAAAAGAAAAAAGATCCAAATACACCATCACTTTGACTAATAAGAACCTTGCACAGAAAAATAAATACTTGTTGTGCTGAGCAATCACTGAGATATTATTCATTAGTATAAAAAATCAGAATTAAAAAAATCATCTCCATTAATCATTTTCTGCAAATTTAGCTGACCCCTACAAACAAACAAGACAAGTGGCCATATCCATGCCTATCATCTCTTTCATGTATTGACTTGACATATTCTTGAATTCTCTGACAAACATCAATGGTCTTGTTATAACAAGCCAATTAGAGACAGATTGTTGATACTATTTAAAAACATTATTAACACTATTTGCATTCAGACTATTGTCCTCATCCTTGTTGTTGCTATCTCAGATCAATATACATTTGATGAAGCCTGGATGTTGTACCCTCGAGGCTTCATCAAGTGTATATTGATCTGAGTGACCTACAGTAAATTCTAAACAATTATCATGAAAGTATTTATAGAAAAGGCACAATGAAGCTATATTATGGTGGTGGGAAAGTGACTTAAGCTGAGATGCCAGGTCAGGACCAATAGTTTTTGTATGACAGGAAATAGACAAGACCTAGGAAAATTTCTTAATGACTCCTCTACTTTGACTGAGATTTTTACTCCAACTGCTACTCAGACTATCATACAGGCTAACTACTTGATACATTATATATTTTGATTTATACCTGGTATACAGACACAAGAATACATGGATATTTCTAAAAGAAAAATGTTTAGCTCCATTCTAAAGTGGGTTACTTGAAGAGTATAAAATTTCTAAAAACTTAGTAATACATGCTTAAAAGATGAAACTTTGCATATTAATAATTTGGATTATATTTTAAATGATGTGTAATTTTTATCTTTTTCTATGAATTATAACTTACATAAATTTTATGTTTAGTTGGTATCCACTCAGTAGGGATATCAATTCTTATTAATAATTTTCTCTAAAACGAGATTTTTATTGTTTGAAACAGATTTCTTAATAGAATATATCCTAATAATGTGTCTGCTATAATTTGAATCTGTCTAATTTGTTTCTTTTACCAAATCTCTATATAAATTTTTAAAGTGTTTTTTCACAAATGCTACAATATAGCACTGAAATATAAATATACAATATAAAAAAAACTTACCAAATCTTTCTTCTTTGGTATTTGTTTCACTTCAGTGTTCCGATTTGACTTCTCGCTGTGACTGTAAGTTAACAGTGACTGATTTTCCAGTTTCTGTTCTACCTTAGTGGGCTTGATGGCTGCTTTTGATGAATATTGACTGACCTGCCGAGTAGCTTGACACAAAATTACATAAACTTTAGACAGACAGAAAGCAAAATATTATTATCAGGTTTATGCAAAAGTTTCCAGTGCACTTGTGCCCAATGTTAGGAAAGTCTTTATAACGATTTGAAATTGAATTAGATTTTTATTGCTTGCACAAATGGTCAACTGTAGAAGATCATTTACAAGTCTATAGGAATTAAATCCTATATATATTTTTCAACCAATAAAATTCCGTCAGAAGGTTTGTTGGATAAACAATCATTACTCAGCTAAATACTGCTAAAATGCTTGCAGGCATAGTTGTAGAAGTACGATGGGTTATTTTTTAACCATTCAGAAAATAACAATAATAAATCCCTTCACCACTCATGCAAATTCAAAAAAAAGATCTTCACAAGCCAGTGTGCAATTATTTTCTAACCAATGAAAACCTTGTATTCAAAAAGTTCACACTTCTATGTGAAATTAGATTTTGAATCCCTTTGTGGATATAAAAATAGAAGTATACTGCTTCTTGAGGCTCAAAGCAATTTGGGAGGCCAGTTTGATCTACATGTGCATGCACACACATGCATACAATATAAGAAATTACAGCAGCAGCCACTGACTAAGGTCTTTTGCAGGAACACAATAGAAAGGATTAACCAGCAACTGATGACTAAGCTTTTGTCTACAAACACACAAACACATTAGGATGACTGTCATGAAGTAAGTTTGTCCACACATTTCATATCATCCCATGAACACTTAATTACTTGATAAAACAAATTTTACTGCAAGGAAAACTGAATGTTTATTGTGATTGTATATTTCTTAAAAGAATATATAAATGTTATTTCGACTAATGTTCTGCTTCTACTTTTCCTTCAGAAAATAACATTTTTTATGTTTCATTTAAAAGATGCATTGTTGTTGTTGTTAAATGTTTGGAATCTTGCCACTCAGATAATAGCAAAAACCTGGGTAGACATTTCCCCAAAGTAGTGACCAAAGACGCTTAAAGAACATTTCTCCAACAAGACCGAGGAAAAATTCAGAAGCAAGGAAAATGTGTTCCATATGAATGTATAGAAAGGAATATCAGTTAGTGATTTAACATTTGTCTTTCTCTTCTTTTTCAATGTCCCACCCCAAATATTAGTTTTGAACAAGACAGTCACAGACAATAAAAAAAGAACTTATTACAAGAATCTCAAACAAAGAATATTATGGCTAAATCCACCAAAGCTTTCAAAATCTCGACCTAAATGGAATCTTTTCTGTGCTTAATACACTTTTGTGCTAAATGCAGGTACCTTCTGGACTGATTGCTAGATTATTTTTTGTTTTATTTTTTACAGCTTATCAACCTTTTGTGGGTTATTTAAAGTGGATATATGTGGGTTAATTGTAAAGATAATTCTTATTTTTCAAGTAAATAGTGTATTAACAATTTTTTTAGAAATAACAGTGATTTACCAGATACAGTTCCTACTATTTAACCCATAGCTGGAGGGAAGAGATGGATTCATACCTTTCCCAAAGGCATTGTCATAAGTGAATATAACAAACTCAGTTTTCCAATTATTCATTCCAAGCTGTTATTCATTACACCATCAAAGTGCAGTCTGGTAGAGTCATGATGTTGGGAATTCTGCAACTCATAAAATAAGCTGGGAATTTTTAGTTCTTGGAATTATGTAATGCTGAAAGTTAATAAACGTCATCCCAAATATGCTGAGTTCCAGGTGGAGGTGTGAGAATAAGAATCTAAATTGTTTTAGGTACAAATTCAGAGGAAATTTTTACTTACAAATTGCTGAAACAAGATGTTAATATACAACATGACAGTGAGAAATTCAATTGTTTGATACCTTGAAAGAGACAAAGACCTTCAGTTGGGCAAGAAAGTTGGACATTAATTTTGCTCCATAATAATGACCATCCTTAAATGTCAAATGTGATGTAGCAAATAACTATAGTGCTGTTAAGGGACATTCTTTTTCATGCAATCTATTTCCAGATTTGTCACTTTCAGCTAGGATAGAAAGTTTTTCCTTATACAACCTATTTCCAGACCTGTGACTTTTAGCTAGGATAGGAAGTTTTTCCTTATACAACCTATTTCCAGACCTGTGACTTTTAGCTAGGATAGAAAGTTTTTCCTTATACAACCTATTTCCAGACCTGTGACTTTTAGCTAGGATAGAAAGTTTTTCCTTATACAACCTATTTCCAGACCTGTGACTTTTAGATAGGATAGGAAGTTTTTCCCTATGCAATCTATTTCCAAACCTGTCACTTTCAGCTGGGATGGGAAGTTTTTCCACTTACAGTGTTTTCTTCAGATCTGATACTTTCAGATTATCACTTTTTCCATTCAATGCAACATTCCTTGTCTTGTCTGCAGTTCCAAAAGTTCTAGACAGAAATTTCCTTAAATTTCATCAATTTAAAACCATGACTGTTGTTTTATGATGAAATATATGATTCAGTTGAAAGTTAGCAAAGGAGTATAGAAAAGGAGGGAAAATATTTTAGTAACTGAATAAAGATTCTATGAATTAATATGAAGAAAAGATTTATTTTAAACAAATGAAGCTGAAAATGTTTGCCTCAACATAATATACCAACCCACAATTTTACCAAAAAAAGATTGGGATGCTTTGAGAGTGTTATGCTATGTTAAAAAATCTTTTGATCATTAAACTAATTTAATAGTAGTAGTAGAAGTATTAAATTATCTGAATTCTAAAATGACGTCCTGGGTGTGACGATAAACAACATCCAGCAGCAAAGTCTATGATCAGGAGGTACTGAGAAGCATGGAACCACCTCTTAATTACTCTTGTTCCCAAGTCCACCCTGACCTGGGGTGGTAGTACCTGTTAGGGTCCCAGCTATGAGCAAAGAGTCAACCACCAAACTCAGGTCAATACACTGTGGATGTATAAAAATACATTTTTATAGTATAAATTTCCAGCAATAGATTTTAGCAGTCAAAGAAAATTCCAGCAATTGATTTTAATAGTAAAAAAAATCCCAACATTTTAATAGTAAAAACATTCCAGCAAAAGATTTTAATAATAAAATAAAAATTCCAGTCATAAGTTGTAATAGTAAAAAAATCCCAACAATAGATTTTAGTATTAAAAAAAAATTACCAAAGCTCCCAAGAAAATTAAATTTTGGCATTTAATGACCCATAAGGAGTTGATATGCCATTAAACAAACCAAACCAATTCTTAGAAGTAGCATTTTCTTTATTCAATTTTGGCCATTCCATCTTTTATTCTGTTACTTTTTGTCATGACACTATGTTGATCCATTCTACAATCATTAAAGCAGCATGAAATCAGAAATCCCCAATGAGGCTTGAACTCACATCTCATATCCTGGGAACATATCTGAGATGGAGATCACTTTTTCTCATGGAGACTTTAGGGCAAGATGAAACTAAATCTACAGTCATCTGCTTTGTTTAAACAAAATATATCAACCTAGAACGTTGCACTAAATAAAGATAGAAGAAAAACTAGAAGAATTTTAATAAAAAAATCTGCCTTATCTATTCAATGTGTAGATTGATTAATAGATATTAGTAGGAAAAATGAAATCATCAACCAAGTTCAAATTCTGCTCTAGGCTGTTGCATTTATTTTCCAATAAATAGTCTTTGAAAAGGCATGGATGTGTATATTCTCCCCTCCCCTAACTATGGGTTAAATATCAGCCTAGCCTAGGTTCTCTAACTTTGAGTGACAATCAGTCTAAGAAAAGAACCCCTTTGAACTTAAAAGAGCTTCACTATATCTGCATTATAATTTTCCTTGATTTTAACTGTTATAAGGGTAGTCAGTATGAAAAGTGGAATTGGTGAATTCAAAGTTCAAATTCTTGGCTTGTCTGTTACATTCACTCTCACATTAATATCCTTGAGATAGGCAAGAATCCATCTCTTCTCTCTTTAGCAATAGATAAAATAGTAAGGTAGATTGTTTTACAATTGAAATGGCTAGATGTAGCCGTAAGTTCTATGCTAACAAACCTCTTTACTTGAGTACTCAGGTCAAAAATCTATTATAGAAACCTTCACTGAAGGTATTCCTCTCATCATTACTTACCTTCTGGAGGTGGAGCAGGTATCCTTTTATCTATTGTGTAGTCATCTGGAATGAGGAGGCCATTTTCTTTTAGCATTTTCTTATCAAGTACTGAATGGCACTGAAGATTAACTGAAAGAATAGAAATTTAAACACAAGTGTTATAGAGTAGAACTAAAGGGTATTTCCAGCTCTTCCCTACAACTGTGACAATGGACTGCTCCTACTTATAAATATAGCATGTAGCCACATTAGAGTAGGATTTGAGTAGTATTTGATTTACTCAAGTATTTCTGTTCTATATATTAGTATTTAATAAATCTCTTCTTTGTTTCCTTTACCTAGTCTTCTATTCCTTCAATACTCTAACTATTGTCTTTCTAATTCTCGTCTATTTTGAATAAAGACAACATTACAGCAACAATGTTTCCCAATAGAATATATTCATGTTCATTGGGAAATAAAAAGAAATAGAGAAATATGGCTTTTTCTCAAACATTACTACTTTGTGGAACAGATTCCTATATGAATGCTTCCCTGGACACTATAATCTTAACCTTTTCAAATTAAGTGTCAATGCTTATCTATCCTCCTTATCCTCATCATGTTCACTCTGCCACAACTCCTTTTTAATTCATATTACACCTCATTCATCTCTCTCTCTCTAATCAATTGCAATTTCCATGGAAAATACTCAGATTCTTTATACTTTAGCTCCACCAATTTACAATTTGGACACACCATGCTACTTTCATGGAGTCGAATCATCTTAATTCCCCCAGTATTCCAAATATAAGATGGGACTTTCACTGTCACACCTTTTTCTCCAGAACTGTTTCTTTGATGAACGTGGATACTTCCCTCAACACTACAATCTTAACATTTTCAACTAAAGGGTCAATCATTATCTATCCTCCTTATCCTCATAATCTTCACTTCCTACCACCTTCTCTTTCATTCACATCCCATTTAATAATTTACCTTGGTAATCACTTTAATTGCCAGGGAGTTCTATTTGCACAGCAGAAGAGAAACTGAAAGGAATAGAAAGGTGAAAAACATTGCTTAGAGCTACAAAGGATAGGAAGTTGAGGAGAGCCATGATCTCACATGTTTTTGTGGAACAGGCACCCATATGGATGCTTCCCTGAACACTACAATCTAACCTATTGAATTCAAAGGTCATCGTCATAATCTTCACTTACTACCACATTCTCATTTATTCACATCATATTTAGTAACACTCTACCTTGAGTATCTCTTGAGCCTTGCAATGGGTGAATTCTAGTAAACAAAAATGTATTCACTGAAGATGATTCAGAGATTTATCAATGAAAATGTCTTCCAAAAGCAGATAAATGATGTCATTAGTTGGTGAAATTACATGACATTTTCTGCAAGTTTCTAAATAAACAAAGCAGTTTCAAAAGACCTTCAAACAGAAGGAATTTTTTTTCTCAATTTGTATCTGATGAACAAACTTAAATTGAACTTACCATTTGGGGTTGTTATATCCTTGTAGATTCCAACTGACCAATACTTATTATAATGTTTCTCATCTGCAGACAAGGCTCGTGCCTGCGCTTGAATAATGTACCGTTCCAAATTTGCAATTTGTGCCACTCTGCTCTCTTTTTCCTTAAGGGCCTGCAGTATATAAAGAAATTATATTTAACTCTTTTTACTTGATCACTTACAATGTCAATAAAAGACAAATGAAATTTGCTTAATTTTGAGAAATTTAAAACCAAACAGTAATATATCAAGTGAGCCCAGTTCTTCTTCTAGGTACTTTGTCCTTTCAGGATGTGAGTGATCATGGCTCTCCACAATTTCCTGTCCTTTAGAGCTCTTAGTAAGGTTTGTCTTTTTACGACATCTCCTAATCATTTACACAAGCTTTTCTCTGTCTTTCTTGCCTTCAATATGTCTTGTGGGTGTCAACTTCTCTAACACAAAATGCCAATGAATATTTAGCAGAAAAATACAATTTTAAACTTTAACATACTGGAGGGGATTTTGCTTGCATAACAAAAATTTTATCCTGCCACTGCAAGTGACTCAGATGAATGAATGATAGCATGTTTGAATTTTGCAGTTGTGTTGTCATATCCTGCTATGGCAACAAAAAATAACCATGACTGAAATTAAGTAGTAGAGGAGCCTTGAAAAACAATGCAGTAGAAAGGAAAGTAGGGAATAATGCAGAGTGTTAAAGGTTAAAGTGTGTTACTTGAAGAATTGAAATCTCTAATATATCTATATATATATATATATATATATATATATATATATATATATATATTGATTTCATCCCAAGCAAAGTTGAAGAATTGAACATATCTAATATATAATATATATATATAAAATATAAAAATATGTATATATATGTATGTGTGTGTGTATATATATATATATATATATATATATATATATATATATATCGATTTCATCCCAATCAAAGCAGTAAAGCCACTGAGACACAAGGGATTACAGGATGTGGAAGAAGTAGGAACAGAAAAATTACTAATGAGCAGGAACAGAAAGGAGCAATAAGGAGGACACTAGATAGCAATTGACATTACATTTAAATTTTTGGAGATTAAAGTTGACTGGAAAGCATGGAGCCAGAAGGGATACCACAAGTGAGAAGTGTGAGAAAAGAAACTGTTAGCCTAGAATTTATAGCTACATTTAGTCAGCTCAACTGTAAATTGATAAGATCTCGATGCCAGTATGGTACTGTGCTTAAATTCAAAAAGTCTAGGTACCATAACAAAGAACTCATCTGCACAATTACCATGAATGTATTTATAGAAAAGACACAGGGAGGCTACCTTATGTCACTGGGAAAGTGACTGAAGCTGATCTGCCAGATCAGGACCAATAATATTGCTGATTCTTCTTTGGATTTTATCAAGGAGCATAAGGTAAATAACATGTGCACCAGACTATATATGGCAGCAATATTCTAAGTATGGATTAATGCTAGACATATAACATGATAGACATATATATATATATATATATATATATATATATATATATATATATATATATATATATATATATATATATATATATATATATGTATTGTTATGGGAACTTACCCATAAAAATAATGGACTATTCCTGACATTATAAATACTGCGCCTCTCAAGAGGTATGAGGAGATTGTAAGACAAGGAGAGATAATTGAAAGTATATTGTAAGGACATTGGAATAGTGATACTTGTTGAGATAACATAGTTCACTCTAACCAAATCTGATAGTCATTACTAATACTTCTACTTCTTTGTATTATATTTCTGTTGTAATATATCTTTGTATTCCATACCTGTGTTCGTGTTATTCTTTCATTGGTTCTAAACTTGGACCATCACCATGGTACAAGGAACTTGGACCATAACATATATATATTAAGAAATGTGACAAATGCAAAGAATCATTTCATTGAAACAAGATTTGATTACGCATTTTGTCTTTTTAGGCTTCATCAGATTCAAAAATGAAAGAAAGAAATATGTGTGTGTATGCTTAAATAACACAAATATACACACAGATATTTCTTTGTTTTTGAAGGTGATGAAGCCTAGAAAGGTGAAACACGTAATCAAATTTAGTTTCAATGAAACAGTTTTCTTTTTTTCAAATTTATATCCAATTTATAAACACACACACACACACAAATACATATGTGTAAAATAAAACTTTGCCGATTAATAATTTAATATTTGTTTTAAATACTATGTAAATTTTATCTTTCTCTATAAATTATAAGTTAATTAAATTTTATTTCAAGTTGGCATTCACCCAGTAGGTGATATCATATCTATATATATAAAGTTGTAGCCTCTGTCTGTCTGTCTGTTTGTTATCAAACTCCTCTTAGGGTTTTGGAAATAGACCCCCGTAACCGTATATATATTCTGAAACTAAATTACCCAGGTTACTTGGATAAGTATATTTCATTTTTATCAAAGTGGGGTCCCCGCCACTGAAAATTTTTTCGCTTTGATTTAAATTAAATTTAAATTTGAATAAGGAAATGACTCCTATCCAAAATATAGAAGGAGAAAGCCAGAAGATGGAGATCACATCGGCAAGATCATTGAGTAATACTGAAATGCATCATTTTTCTCCACAAATTATAACAATGATTTAAAATCAATCAACATTTTCTTACAAAAAAAGTGTGATATGCAGCAAGGCATGGGTAATTCGGCTAGTCTTATTAATAATTTTCAATAAAAATAAGTTTTTATTCTGTCTGAAACTGATTAATTGAATCTGTTCTAATAATGTGTCTACTATAATTTGGATCTGTTTTAATTTTAATTTGTCTGTTTTACAAAATCTTAATTTACAAAGATTTTAAAGTTTTTCTTCACTAACAACAAAAGTCTGATAAAAAATTATGAAATTATGATAAACAAAATTATGATAAACAAAAACAAAAACAGAAATGTTTTTTTTAAGGTAATACAATTACACGGCTCACCTTTTGTAATTCTGACACATATCTCTCATGATAAGGATCATCACTTCCTTTTGAATTGACTTGGTTTTCAATAATCTCATTGTTGAAGGAATTCTTGGAGAGCAGGTCTTTGAAAATGGTTGTCAGAATATGACTCACGTCTTGTGACTTGACAGATGATGGAATCTGTTTCAATTTCATTTCACGGTCAGTATCCTCCCAAGAACTGAACTCTGCCATATTTACAACTTGAAACTCACTAAAACAACAGCAACTGAATTCCGAAAGTAAAAGAATTACATTTATAGAGATAAAAGAAAAAGAATTATTTACAAATTTTACTGATTAACTTTCTGAGAAGGAATAGTAGGTATCCGTTCATCACACACAATAAAAGTAGTGTTCTGTTTGGTCTCTGTTCAGTACTTTGGTGGTGAAACTTGAGTGACCTCCATAACACAGGCCTAGGTGATGGTATATAGAGTCCTTGCACTGCTGAGACTACCCCACCTCATACTGACAAGATCTAAAGGAATACAGGGCATTACATTTGGGCACAGCTTGCCTGCAGGAGTTGCTGGAAAGTTGTCAATGTTGAAAGCCAATTGCTCTTGGGGCTTCTGTCTAGATTTACTATCATAGCTTTTTCCATGTTTGGTATGACTGCAAGGCAGCATAGGTTTAAAATCAGGATTTTTCCTTCCCCTAGATGAACTACCTACATTGGGCTGTTGAGCTCAATCCACCCAAAACAGTTGCTTATGAGGCACCAGTTTTCCACCTTCACCCATTCTCCAGCTTTTTATAGACAGTGGGAGCTTGTCCCTATTATCATCCCTGGCATTGACAACCTTTGGAACATATATAATGTATGTATATAAATATTCCTCTCTCCCTTGTATTTTGAGTAATTTTCCCATTTTTTGCCATTTCTTTGTGCTAACCATGACTTTGAGATGTTTGCATGTTGGCTAAATGATATTTTGTATTATTGTGTATCTGTATGCTTGTTAATGCCCTTGTTTTAATTATTTGCAGTTTCACAGATGCAATTGTATGTTTTGACAAATAAAAGCCTTAGACATACTTCACACAGTTGTTAGTTCTTTCGAACAAGTCAAACAAAAGGCAAAGGCAATTACATAACTCTATGAAAGACTTATGATATCAAATTCCATCATTTGGCTAAATTCAGTTTTAATGACTATAGCTTATCTGGAGCTAAATCCCATGGATAAGTCTGGGTTGGAGAAACACTAATAATAATATGGTGTGTAATACCATAGAGTAATGTTCCTCATTGAAAGAAAGAAATAATAATGGTTCAACAAATGTTAAACATTGTCAGTGATTTTATCTCCAAAAACCATTCCAATACTTGGTGATTCCCAACTTGATAAGCATTTTACCTAACTATAATTAAGCCTCTCGCTACTCTATTGCTAATTCCATAAAAATTACTCAGTGAAGGTTGATACACAAAGCTGACAGTCACTATGCAGTGTGGATGCTTATGACCACACTGTCTATATCTATATAATAAATGCTAATGCCAATGTGTCACTGTACCACACTTTTTCAACTTTACTCCTAGAGGCTGTAACCCAACATATTATACCATTTTGGAATCAGGCTGACACCTTGAACAAATTAAAAACATTCTGGGTCGGATCTGGACTCACAATCCTGAAATTTTGTATTCCCAAGTTTTTATTATTGCAATTGTTTTTGGCATTTTTTATGTGACAAATTTTTTTGTAAGTCTGAAATAAATTTGAGAATAATCAAAATTAATTGTGAAATTCAGAGAAGGTCACCCATGAAATAAAAATAATTCTTTGTACGGAAAATAAGGACCTATGTACATCAAATTGTTTTTAAATTAAGTGGCAGCAGAAGAATTATCATTGAACTTTTTAAAAGATAAACTTAAATATTAATGCAATACTTAATGGCAGTGATCAATTTTGAGTTCTTCTGTAGTTTATTGTTGCCTATCACATCTACTCCTCCTTATCTATTGTGATGAAGGCCCAATCAAGAGCCCTCCACAGAGCTAGTTTAAATGCTGCCTGATAAGGTGGCTTTTAAGCTAGTCTATAAATAAATGCCTTATCTCTTATATTGAGAACTTTTCCTCTAGTTATATATATATATATATATATATATATATATATATATATATATATATATATATATATATATATTAAGACATTTTTATGTTTATACATTCTTTTTATAGATACAAATATTTAAGTAAATGCTCTATTTATAATAAAGAGTATTAAACAATATTTACCAGCCTGAATGTCCAAGCAATTTTCACAGAAAATATTTGTAGTCTGACCCTATACGGAACCATCATTTAGCTTGAAGTGCCTTAACCGATTTGGTTACAGAAGAGTGTTTGGTTAGCAAGGTCGAATTTACTGTCTTTAAACTTCACAGTCTTCCATGAATCTCTCACGTACATTCATAACTGCTCAAAGGTTCGGATCCTGTTGAAGGACGAATATTTTCTGTGAAAATTTCTCGGACATTCAGGCCGGTAAATGTTGTTTAATACTGTTTATTATAAACTGAGCATTTACTTAAATATTTGTATCTATAAAAAGAATGTATAAACATAAAAATGTCTTAAAATAATTGTTGGACTTTCTCCATTTCATATATATATATATATATATATATATATATATATATATATATATGTATATTCAGGCTGCATATTTTCATTCAAACATGTTTGGTTAAATAATTTAGATGTATTTATTTATTAAATATATTATTAAATTAAAATACAATTAAAAAATCTTTTAAAAAATTGTTTTAAAATCTTTTAAAAAATCACATAAGTTACCTCCTTTTCATAGAGGTAAAAATATTTTGAATTTAGAGTGTTAACATATAACACATCCATAAATATGCAGCCTCTAAAGTTGATCTCATATGAGATTGAAAGTACTTGGGAAAATAAAAATTATCTGAAATAAAATTTTGGAAATTTTCTTAATCTATTTTCTACATTCACCAAGAAATTAATTCATGGACCTGAAAGGATTAAAACTAAAATAAATGGACATAATTATGTGTAACTTATTTAACCAAACATGCTTGAATATATATATATATATATATATATATAAATCGGCCTGATGATTACACCCAGCATGAAACAACCTGTTGCCTCTGAGTGTTGACTTCAATGTTCACTTTTATATCTACATTTATATATATATATATATATATATATATATATATTTGTGGAGAAGTTAAATATTTAAATTGCTAACAAGCATTAAATTTAATTACTTTGTGGAGTTTTAAACATTTAAATTACTATTAAACATTAAAATCTGTGTTTATCTAAATTGCTAAAGCTATACCACCCCTCTCCTTCCTCCAAAAACCCTACGTGTATCTCTTATATCTTATCCCCTTACTTCCCCACTTTTTTCCTTTTCCCTTTTTTCCCCTTTTCTCACATCATTTCCGTTGAGTTGACTGATTAAATAGGTCAATGTCTGAGCCTTACCACCTCCTCCTCAATTTTAAGTATTGTAATAAAAATAAAAATAAATTTTAAAACTCTCCCTTGTCTCTCTAAACTCAATCATGTCTCTCACACTATTCCTCACCACCCTCTATGTCAACTTATATAAGCTTATATAAGCCCATCAAAAGTGTAAATTTTAAATTCATTTTTGATTTTACCTTTGAAAGTGAAGTCTGAAGATCTAGAGAAAAATAAAATAAAATAACAAATGGAGCCTTAAAAGTGGTCTTTTTTTTCAAATTATATATATATATATATATATATATATATATATATATATATATATATATTTAATAGCTGGCTATTCAAGGATACCTATCTACTAGGGTGGCTAGCCAATCCCTATTGAAGAAGCTTGCTCAGGCACATTTATGTTTGTCCAAAACCCACAGAGCCCACCGGTAGTTTTATACTGTAACTATGCTGAGCAGACCTTAATTACAGTTTCTGGGAGAGAGTGTGTTATCTAGCATGATTAACAATCTGAACAAGGCCAGCACACTCAAACCCTCGGTCATGATGACTTGTGACTTTGTGCTAGCACAGCTATCGACAGCCCCCAAGTGTTCCGTCTACCCAATTTAACTCACAAGGCTTGGGTCAACCCGTGGTATGGTTTTCAGGTACTTTCCAAAGGTGCCACATGCTGGGATTGCCCCCTCCAGACTGATAACATCAGGGAAACAAATCAGCCATGGTGAGTTTCAAACCCAAGTCTCATGGTCAGAAAGTGACAATGCGCCCATTATATATATATATAAAATAGAATTCTTTTCATTTTTCATTCAAAATACTCAAATTTTAGGAATACGTTTTCACAGCGTCGCCCACGTAATGACAACATGACCATGTTTTAAACGGAGCACTGATCTTATAAAACTTTCAGTTATTTGTTTGGATAAGTCTTGTTCTTATGTACATCGTCTTTGTCATGTTGTATTGATAATGTTATAATTTATGAATATGTCCTGAAGATGGTTTATTAGACCGAAACGTCCGACGTTGACATATTAACATTAAAACAGTAAATTGTATATAAGGATTTTTGTTTGTTTTTTCCGTATATATTTTTCTTCATACTGTCGGATCTATATCCATATATTTGCTTTATATATATATATATATATATATATATATATATAGTGTATTTGGGTAGTAATCCCACTTTTATGCAAGTTTTATTAAAAATGACTGACAAGGTGCTGTGGTTGAGTTTTTATATAATTTCTCATGTGTTTGTACAAGTTTCTTTTTCAGAACATAAATTATATAAAAATTGTACAAATGTTTTCCAAACGCTTTCGGCTATATTTTTGGCAATTATCAAGGATGAATTTTATTTTACTTTCATGTAAGGATTGCTGCACTAATTCGTTATACCTAATGTTTAAATGAATTTCATAAATGAAAAATTATTCTTGAAGCTAAAGGATTAAATTTACTATTTCCTGTAAGCAAAATACGCTAGTGTATTTCAAACAGAAATTCTGTTGGTTGGAGTTGATTAATTTTTTTTTTTTTTTTTGGCTAAAAATATCTTATTAGTGCCCTTTTTTTTTTTAGCCATCTGTCATTGCAATGAATTTTTCTATATTAAAAAATCTTCCAAAAATAAAATATACTTTTCTAAAGTTTTATTTGAGGAATATTAGCTGATTTAAAGTATAATTAATCTGATTTAAAA